CGTGCATTCGAACTTTTGTGTCAAACAATCTGAACATAGAATCGGTCCCAAAAGAAGAGCAAAGACTGGCTGCCGTTCGCGCAGGTAAGATCGTACAATTCTAGGCACCACAATAGCAATGTACGGAGCACAACAAGCTAACATAGCCTGGAGGGTTTGGCATGTAAATGTGACGGAGAACGGCCAGCGCGCCGTCGTTGTGTTCTGGCCTGTTACATCTTAAGACTTTTGAGAGGTTATGCCATACAGTCGGATCAATTTTGATTGGGTGAGGTGACAGGGGTGAGGCTCCGTAATAATGAATATGAAATAGCAGACTTTTGCATAACAGAATTCCGACTCCTAAACACGGTAATCGGGCTCATTCAGAACAATCACTACAGCTCATGCCTTTTCTCGGGGAATGGATATCCAACGGCAGTCCAAGCTTCCCTGACCTTATCCACATGCTCGCCAGCATTCTCAATTGTAAGATCGGCGAACTCTTTGAATGTAGCTTTACCATTTGTGGGAAGCTTACCGCTACTCAGAGCGCGGTACCAGATAGGACCAACACCTTCCCAAGCAAATCCTCCAATCTTGGTAGCAGCAAGGAAGAAAGCGCGATTTGGGATACCAGAGTTGATGTGAACACCGCCGCTGTCATCGCTGAGGGTGAGTTTCTTGAAATCCCTCCAGTGTGCAGGCTGAGGGTCCTTGCCCACTTGACCATCGTCATAAGCGGTTCCAGGATTTGCCATATCCCGGAGAGCCCTGCCTTTGACACTAGGACCCCAGATCCCTTCCCCAATCAGCCAGTTGGCTTGATCAACAGTCTGGGGGCTGCCTTCGCCCCATTGTTTAACCATAATTCCAAACGCATCTGCAAGGGACTCATTGAGAGCACCACTCTGGAATACGTACGGAAGGCGACTAGTAAAATCCACCACACCATGGCTGAACTCGTGACCGATAACATCGAGCTCATCTGTGAAGCCGTCAAAGATAACACCGTCTCCATCACCAAAGACTAGCTCTTCGCCGTTGTAGAAGGCGTTGTAGAGGTCCCCAGCATGCACGAAGCCATCAAGCTTGATACCATTATTATCAAAGGAATCTCGCTGGAAGAAATTGAAGTAAAAGTCATAAGTCTTCCCAAGCCCAACATAGCACTCGTTTGCATTGTTGGTTGGATCAGTCTCTTGCGATAGAAGGTCACCACCTTCTGAAATCCGGATTTTGTCACGGGGAGGATGTAAAGCACGTGAATTCTGCGCATCGTAGACAGTACGGTTCAATTGACGTACACGCCCTGCCACTGTTCGATGCTTAGTACTGTATGCAAGTGTGTGGCCGGCTGCCTCGCGTTGTTGTTCTGTCGCAGCATTCCGTGCAAGTGCTTCAAGGATGTAAGGTGGAACAATACCTTGAGTGGTTTGTTGCGGCTGAGCCGCTGCGATACTATGCCTATGGCGTTCACGAACATCTTGAAGTTGCTTTGTTTTTTCAAGAGTGGATTGGCACCGATGGATAGTGTCCTGTGGTGCCAACCCCTTTTCAATGATGCCCTCCAGTACATATTCTGGTACAATGGCACATAAAAGAGCCATGCTCACGACTTGGCAGGTATATCGGTCGATACCCTTGGCTGACTTTGAAAAATAAAGAAGCTGACTGGTGATATTGAAGTAGTTGTTTCTCTTTCCCCCATAAGTCTATCCCTTTATATACATTAATGCTGATGTAGACTTCACACGGTAACATGACCACCTGGCCCATTTTCCTTAGCTTCATTGTTCATTATCGAGATCCTCACTTCCGTCATTGTTTGTAATTATTCGTAATTATTTGTACAGATAATGCAAATGTGACGATTAGACTGCTAGCTATCTTATGGCTAGACCATTCTGAATGCCATCCAGACTATCCTGCTTCCCATGCCTTGAATACAATCCCTAGAAACCCAGCTACCATTTCTCTAGCAATTTTGGAACAAGGATCCCATTTCATGTGCCCATGGACTAGTGCGGTCCACGTCGTCTTTCTGTGTGGAGCAAGCTAGAACACATTCATTACAGGAGCACTTAATTTTACTGTTCATAGAACATCAAAACGCGGCTCGGACGTATTGACCATGGTTTAAAGAGGCTCAAAGGAACCTTGAATAGAACATTGCTGAGGCTAATTTACCTCGTATCCCCCAACACAGTTCAGCACAGATAATAAGCGATGTGAGAAATCTTAACTTGTGACAGGATTAGTGAATGTTTAATTATAATAAAGTATGCAACAAACCAACCAAGGCTCGGATGAGCCGGTAGAGCTCTAATTTCAACCGCATTGTCTAAACGGCAGATCATGCCGCATGCGGCCGCGTTGATCGTATGATCTCCACAAAAAGCATTACTTTTAGGCTTGCCAGCGGAGACCGTAAGGGTTCATCTTGTGGTTGTCTAGTCAAATCAAAAGTTTTAGGTTGACGTGACCTTTGGAAAATGCGATTTTCCTTGTTTCAAAGAACCGACTTTTTCTGGTTTAAAGTAAACGGTCAGAAAACAGTGACCCGGTGGTATAATAATAGACTGAGAGTTCAACCCGCAATTAAAGGGACGTACGATGCGCACGAACCAGGAACGCGCTTCTCCAAAGATAAATCCAATATCGTTGGTGTGGTTTTATCGACTTCCTAGACAGAGCAATACACCCACACAGTTCGTAATTTACTATAAACAGACACAATAGCGATATCTTTGGGCACCCCAACCAACCGTCAAACATCAGCCAATCCAATACCCTTGGGATTACGAATTCAATTGCGGTGGGGGCACAACCCAGCAGTCTCGAGAGTGACATAATTGAGAGTGGGCTCTCTAAGATCACGATTGTACCAACCACCTGATGAAATTCTTGGACTAGTTGCAATTTCTGTTTTTCGCTTTGTGTATTGAGGAGTGGATCAAGAACAAGAATGTATGTTCCATCTAGCTTGGACGCAATATTTCGATATGTGAGAATCTTAGCGAGACTGTCGACTGGTCCCAGTAAGGGTCCTCAAGTATACGGAATATAGTAGCGGTGAAGATAAACAACGAAATAGACAATTCCAAAAGCTTTTGAACATTCGTGCTTGCAGGCCAGTCGAAAGGCAAGGGAGTCTCTCGAGCTGTCCTGACTTCTGATAGTCGATGATCTAAGAGAAGCGATATGTCACGCTCTATTGCTTCCTTACGGATGTTATGGGGGATACGGTCTTGGTAGTCGTGATCTGCAATCTTTTTGAATCCTAGACGCAATGGTGTTTCGGGCCTGCTAGTCAAAAAAACTCGCAAGACGTACAGCCTTGGTTTCTGGAGCTGTGATAGAAGTTGGAGTATGAGCCGTATGTCCTTGTCCTCGTCACGTTCATCCAATGCGTCAATCACTGCCACAACGGTCCGGATTGGGGTGCCGGATTCTTTTAAGCGTAGGAGTGGTTGAAGGATCAGTTTATCAAACTGCTCTTTTATGCTCTTCACCACGATGCCTGGATTGTCATTGACTGCTTCCTGGACATTAGTGATCACCTGGGGGATGCAAATTGCGATTTGCCTCGCGACCGTCGGGAAGAGCTTCATAGCATCCCCTCGGTTTCCTTCGCCCTTCTTGAAGAAGAAGCTTGCTCCTAATGACTTTTCTTGGCTAAGTGATCTTGCCACCGTGCGAGAGATAGTCGATTTTCCTGTTCCAGCCATTCCAATTAATCAGGACATACACTTTCCCCGAGGTGAAAAAGCCCATTCTCTAATCTGATCAAGAATATCGGTTCCCCGTTCCTGGAAGACATTCATCTTCATGTCGAGCCGTAAACGAGTCAAATTCGGCACCCTGCGCAAATGGTAATCCGTCAAGAGATAAGTTGGGGTCTATGCGGTCCGTTGTCTCACCCACATGGTTAATGCGTGGCCCTAGGATATCCAAAATCCTCTTCTCTCCCTCCACCTGTTGAGGGATAATTCGATATAGAAGATCCTAAGCATATGCTGCCGCGACCATTGCTCCATACCCTTGCCATTCTTTGCTCTTGTGGGAATTGGAGTAGTCACAGATTCCACGGATCACCGGACACGGAAAATGATTCATTAACCCGGCCGCTTCCATCTTAAAGCATAAAGTACCCTTTTCTGCGACTACTCTATCGCGGATCAGAGCATCCTTCATTAACTAATTAGCTGACGCGATCAAGCCATAATGTATCGCAGGGTTGTCTTCATCCTGAGGGCGTGGGTTTCGAAAGACTAATCTGGTTGGGTCGTCGCCGCAATCTACAGCGCAAGTTGATTTCTTTTCTGGTGGATGGATAACGTGACTTCGGTACAGCCGATCGCTCTCAATATCTGGCCGCATATATCTTTTCCGCAGCCTTGATTTTCTCTCACGGGCCTCATTGACTGCTTCTTCAAGTCGATGGCCATTTATTTCATACTGGGCTCGTAGCCCATTAACCGCCGCACGAAGGACGGTAGGTGGCTGATCAAGGAAGCCTGTGGGCTGGAAGCTTTGGCCTTGGATCGTTTTGCCAAAGTCGTACTGAACCACGCCACTTTGACCGTTGGAAGGGATTCTGACCACAATTGGGCTTGGAGTGTAGCGAGGGCAGAGGAGTAGTGAAAATAAGTCGCTTTATCGTACAACTCGCATATTTCTTGCAGACCACCACTGAGTATAATTTATATGATTAACCCGAGGCACTCGAAAATGGGCAAAGAAGAGGCGAAAAAAACAGAGGTTAAAGTAGGGCGAAAAAAATAAGTAAAACGGTATATTCTTGTGGAGACTGCCTAGTATTGTATGAATAGCACTGTAGGCAACATTCAATACTCCATTTCCTACCCATTTATTAAGGCGTATCAGATGCAAATGCTCAATTTCCTACCCACTGCCGGCAGAACTCGTTTTGGCCTGATGGCAATAATAGACTGCCATACTACAGGCCTCCATTTCCCACGACGTCGAAAGGTTTAGCAGCCACAAAGGCATCAGCTCTATAAGGGATCGTCACAGTGTTCCAACGTGGGTTCAATTCCTAGAGACGACGGGGATTCATGGGTCAAGCGCGTCCCCGAGAGGCTACTGCTTTGGCTTGGATACAATGCGTCGGTAGATCCCGTAGGCCCGTAAACGTCTCCGGCCATAGGCAAGAACTTCTCCTTTCCTACATCTTCCGGTAGCTGGAAGTCCAAGAAGTCCCACATACTAGGACTCAGGCCATTGGAGAGAATGGGCATTACATCTAGATCGCGGAAGCCGTCCGTGACAGGCATGGAGAGAGTCAAAGTGGTGTCCCCAGGAGTTGATATTCTTGAAACGGGTGAATCAGCGGAAGTGGTTGGACCATTCAAGGTCTTCAGAATCTCCACCACCTGGCGGTAGAGGGAACGCTTCTGATTCGATCCCGCATGGCGGTTGGCACCGTCATCTGAATTCTCTTCCAACTTCATCAGTGCCTCGAGGGCCACAACACTGCGCGACATCGTGCTTTGGAGCGGGTCTTGGAGCATAGCGTCCCCGGAGGATGTGTCAGGTGACACTTTGGCACGCAACAATTCAATGGCTTCCCGAATGTGGTCTCGCGTCATTAGCCGACTGAGTTGGGCACTTGACTGCTCAGCCTTGGTTGACGGGGAATCAAACAGCAGCGCCAAGACCAACACAACGGTAGCATTGAAGAGTTGCGTTTCGTTGGTGGACAGTGAGCCACAAACCGTGCAGCGGGCTTGGATCTGGGCTTGCGTGTTGATAATATTATGAGCCAGCTGCTGGCAGGATGCCCGTCCTATGGGAGAGGAGAGAGTAGCACGATGGAGGCGAAGGAGTAGACTCCATAGCTGTTGATGTAACATGAATCGCTGGACTGGGATGGCGGCCATGGGACCCATGGCTGTGAGTCCGACAGAGCTTCCCAATCTAAAGTAAAACGGCAAACTCGCCACATATTTTTCGTACTTTTGATTTAGGTGCTGACGCCGCTGGGCAACTTCGTTTGCGGCGTCCCCGAGATCAATTAATTCCCGCACAATAATAGACAGTTCCAAAGCGTGTACCGTATAGGAGAGCATGGTAAACTCAGACCGAGGGCGCTCGGGAATCTTGCCATGTGTCCTGAGCAGATCGTCGTCATTGAGGTGCAATGGCATCCGGGTATTAAATTGTGAGGGGCGGATAGTATAGTAGCCAAGAGCTTGACTACGGGACCAGTCTCTCATGACAAGAGTCCACCTAGTGGTCCGGAACGATTAGCGCTTCGCCCCGAGTGGAAAAGAAAAAGGTATTCAGGGTGCCTACCAAATGCGAATCGCAATCTCGGTGCGAATTTGAGGTGGCTCAGCGGCCACAGAGCCATAATGTAAGGAAGGCGTGGCATCCAAAGTGGCATTGCCTAAGCGATGCAATCCAAGTTTGCGCGCACCCGCAATGGCCGTTACTAATACGGCATCAAGCCCCAGCGAGGTCTCTTTTGTATCCAACAGGAGCATGATAGCCGCCTGCAAGCTGGAGATAGAGCCACAAAAGAGGGAAATACCCCCGTGGAGACAACGTACGCCAATCGACCGCCACGTCGCTGCAGGCTCATCGGAGGCGCGCAGCTGCTCTACGCGAAAGGTCAACAGGGTGGGCTGGACACCCAGAAGGGACGGGGTTGGATGGAAGGCGAGTCCGAGCACAAGCTGCGTAGAAAGAGTAAGCCGATGCTAGACCAAGCGGGTTTAAAGGAGAGCGGCACCGCGAGAAGCAAACCAGCAAGAGAGTCCATGGATAGCGTACTGGCGATGGCTGCGTCGGGGGAAGCCATACTCAAGCAGTGGCGCAATTGGTCAGCTTGCTTCATGAAGCTCGGGGTGTGCACCACATTTCCCAGTGGTCCCTGACAACGTGTAACAAAGATCTCGTAGAGGAGTTGGATGATATCCCATTCTGGCAGGGCGTGAACCACATCTCCGATCAAGGCAAGTTTTTGCTCATGCCTCTGTGGATCCTGGGTCACCCAGTATCGATTGGGGATGTCAGGGGCCACGCCCGCTGATTCGGTGGGGAGAGGAATGACATCCACGAAATGCTCCAAGATCTGCGCTGTTTCTTCGACCCCCGGTTCTTCCTCTTCTTCCGGCGTCACCTGACTATGGTTCTGTTCTGTAGGTTTGATTTTGGTCCGCTTGGCTCTCGGTTGCCGTTCATCTTTGGTACATAGGTGGGCGCAGTCGCGCTTCACGCATTCCAACTAGCAACAATGAGATTGGCATTCTCATGAGATTCTAGGCATACTCACACAAGGTTCCTTACGGTCGCATTTTAATTTGGAGGCGCGACACCGTGAACAAGAGAGGGTGAGCTTCTTGGAGATGGGAATATCCATGTTAAGTGGGATGTTGGAGGACAGGACCATGTACTAAGCCCATTCGGCTCGGCCAACGTCAAGTGGGGATTCACGGAACGGGTCCAATCTCCCGTGATCACCGTGGTGTTGATCTGATTTACATTCACATTTACATTCACATTTGTTATCAAACAAATATCCTCACATCTCTCTAAATCACCGAGTGCCCAGGCAATGGAGGTGTCAGATCACATAGACGGGAACGCCTCTCCCCATAAATTGGCCCTGTTTGTTCCTTTTGATCAACCTGCTGGTGGCTACAAAATAGATGAATCGCTTTCGTATTCAGAGTCCTATGCATGGCGATCTAGTCTCATGGATGCCGTCCGTGGACCTGGACGCCCTGGATTGGTACCCGTTTGAGGAGAGATCCGCGGAATCCGCATGCTGCTTCCCTTCATCTCGCAGCCTCACCAAATCATGACCAGAGGACACCATTTCGGAAGGTACAACATCTAGACAATACTGGATGCCAGTCTTTCAAGACGATGATATATTAGATCCATTCTCCCGCGACAAGGTGGACTCAAAGCATCTTATTGGTAATCTGATCAATATCCATTCGAAACACAACATGTCTTACGCCAGAAGCGCATTATATGACATCGAGACCAAGATCTCACAGATTGTCTCTATCATTGCAGGATGCCACTACCGTCCCCAAACTAGGTATATTGCCTAGCATCTACTCGAGTGAACATAGTCCAGTTATTTTAAGTTACCGATATATCATATCTGAAAACAATCTACTGAGACCCTTTATTCTGCCAACATATCTATTATTTATGCCAAGTTGGTTAATACGGGACAAGAAGGATGAAGGAACAAAACCACAATCAGCATATCACAAATCCCTTCAAAGATCTGCTGTCTCCGAAATGGCCTCAGGGCGGGACAGGTCCCTTTCCTTGGACTCAAATCTGTGGTCGCGAACAAAGAAAATCACAACAAAGAATCCCACAGCCGCAAATCCAATTCCTAACCAAAACGCCCCGCGGTAGCCGCGAATGGGGTTCTGTCCACCCTCGTTAACATGAGACTCTACAGTGGCGGCAATACCGAGACCAATGGAGATAGAGTACTGCACAACCGTTGAGATAAAGGATCCGGCAACACCTTGCTCCTCAGGCAGGACGGCATTGGAAATGAGAATCCCTGACGAGGCAAAGGACAAGTCGGGCCCGCCAACAACAAGCAGACAACCAGGGAAGATGAAGGCCCAGTAGACGTTCGAGTAGTTCACAAAGCTCATGATCAGGTTGCCGATGAAGAAGGAGAACATGGACACGCCGAAGATGTACTGAGCAGGCGTCTTGGCGATAAAGAGACCAACAGCTGTTGTAGCAAACAGTCCACCAATGACCAGGGGAACCATTTGAGCCACTGCGGCAAGCGGCTGGGTCTTATGGATAGTGAGGATGTAGACGGTAGTGTAGTAGAGGAAGATTCCAAAAGACATCCAGCCAAATGCCATGGCAGTGACTACGGGTGCGAAACCAGGGCGGCCCCAGAGGGAATTGGGTAGGACGGGGGCAGAGACACGGGACTGGGAGAAGACGAATCCGACGAGCAGGAAGACGCTAACAATGAGCAAGGCGTAGGCGTAGGGCTCTTGCCAGCCAACTACTGAAGCCTGGTTCCAGGCAAAAGAGAACAGAATCAGGGCCGACACGCCGAGGAAGCTACCGATGTAGTCAAACTGGCGGAGACTGAGCCCCGGAATCGGGGAGCCGATTCGGTGAGGAACAATGACGAAGGTCGCTAAACTGAGAACGAGGCAGCCGATGGCCCAGAACCAGAATCCCCACCGCCAGGTGACTTTCTGACTGAAGGCGGCGCCGATCAAACCACCAAAGATGTAGCCGGAGGGAGCGCAGAAGCCTAGGAAGGCAAAGGCGATGTTCTTCTTCACAGACAGAGGTGGGAATGCACGCGCCAGCAGCGCGAAGGAGTTGGGTACTAGTGCGCCATTCCCGATTCCCATCATGCCGCGGGCGATGTCGAATAGAACGACGTTGTGGGCGAAGCCGCAGACCAAAGACCAGACGGCCATCCAGATCCAGCCAAAGAGGAAGACGTATTTGTGGCCGAGGTGATCACCCAGGCGACCGGTGACTAGGACGAAGACACCACCACAGAGGGCATAGGAGGCTAGAAACCATGACATCTGTCCATTGCTGCTTGTGCCGAGAGATGCACCGATCTGTTCTATTGAGTAGGCGGCATTGCCTATACCGCCAACGGAAAAAAGTTGCGACAAGCCAATGATGAGGATAAAGATAGCCTCTTGGAAAGTCGAGGAGAAGGCGGTCGGCTCAGTTACCGGTTCGGCTTTTTCGGCGGCTCCTGGGCTCGAGATGGCTTCTTCTTTCCGAGGTTTGCTCATTAAGGTGGGAGTGGTGGATCCGTCGGTAGGCGACATGATCTGCTAGGGGATATTGATGTGAGGTTGAGGAGGTAATGAAAGAGGAATTGAATCAATTTTATGAACCATGATCGAATTCATTTTGTATTGCTTTTCCCGTTCTTTCTCCATTGCTGGCGCCATGGGGATATGGAGTTGGAAATTGGGGGTGAAAGTCCGCGGAGTTTCAGAATAGTCCGATGTCACCACAGGTGGACCGCTTATGCTTCCGTCCCCCTCTAATGATCCATGCAGGATCAACATGAAGCTGAGTCAAGTTGAAAATGACGGAATTAAATCACATCTTGGTCATTGTTCCTTTAAAGCACGGAATGTTCGAGTCTATCGGAATATTCGCGATCTTGACCAAACGCCGAAAACCAATAGTTGACGAAGCAAGATGAGCTTCAACCCAGCGACTCAGTGATTATCTCTGCTATGTTAGAGACAGTACTCCTCTGTCTTTGATCGTCTGAGAAAGCTCTACTTCAATTTCGAGTCTCTTGAATGCACGATTTAAAATGCTCTGATCATTATATGCGTTGGTCATGAAGACGAAAGCCGTGCCGATCTACTAATATTTTACTTCATAGTGCGACCGGTGTCAAGAGACAATGAGGCCTTCTTAAACAGTGTCTCCTTACTGCGCTGTACTTTTTGATAAGCCCTTCTCACGTGACTGGTTCTTAAGGCCGGAGTGATGGGACCAGGATATGGGACCAAAATTTTTCTAGTCCCATGGGAGTTGGCAAGGTCTACTTACTTATAGTTATAAGTTAGGGTTGATATATCTTAACTAATTATCCTTATATACCCCGCTAACTAGACTATATATTTTATACCTCTTTTTAAATCGCTATTCCTATATACTATACCTAGGTTACGGGTTTGAAATTTAGTAGGAGGCTTCAAGAGTTAGTTAGATAGAACTCTACAAAGTTTAGTAAATATTAGATATACTTAGGGATATAACTCAGGTAAGACGAAAATCCTAAGTCAGGGTAGTCCCACCTTTCCGTAGACTAACCAGATCGACTGAATACCGGTAAGTAAAGTATTGTAAACTCGAGTGAGGCTGATTTGTCCGCCTCCTATGGGATAGGGCACAGAGGGGAATAAATAAGGATAGTAGATATCATTATATAGGGGGTATCATATACACCAGTTTTTGACTAGTAGGAATATCCCCATAACCTAGACGTTAATGGCGTCTCCAAGGTATTGACCAGACTCATGCATTTTGGCTGGTGACCTCGACATTCCGAACCTGGAAAGTCGTCTCTGCAAACCACAATATCAGTTCATATACAGACAACATAAATTGGACAAGGATACAAACTGGTGGAAGGCCCAGGAGAACCAGAAGAACCCTCTGTTTGGTAATTGATAATTCTGCACGGTCAGTCAGCCAGATATAATTTAGTCAAATTGGTACTGTGATAACTTGCAGGCGTAGTCCCTTGCCAACATAGTCCCTCGCATACTGTGTCGTTACTAGCTCTCCATCAAGGTACAACTTGACGCTAACATCCGACCCATTCGTATCACGCAGCTCGGCCTTGACGGAATGCCAGTCCGTCGGATCTTGGTAGTCTATGTCCAGCTCTGTGACCTCGCTTGACGTATTGAATGTGTTGAACGAGATCTTACCCGAGCCTTTCCACTCGGCAATGTCAATCTCCGGAGGCCATCCGCTCGCTGCGTTCAGCCAGAATGCTGGCCAGGTCCCCTTGGATACAGGTGCGATGAACTCGGCGTTAAGGTCTAACCCTCCACCTTCCTTAACTGCGAAGGTTGACTTGGCGTGGATCGCCCCCGAGAGGTAACGGATGGGCGAGGGCTCACCTGATACAGGCTCGGCTGTCAAAGTGAGAATACCATCACTCACGGAGACATGGTCGGTATCCATGCGCGAACCGCCATTGTGGGTGTCGCCCCAGGGATAAAGATAATTCCAGTATGTGTCGAAAGAGTTGAAAGAGTTAGAAGGAATTTCTGCGGTCGCTCGCCGGTTCAAAGACGGGTTCAGTGATAGGCAGTAAACACTCGTAGAGAGTAAAAGAAAGGATAGTCCACAGAGATGCATGGTCTTGGTTTTATATTTCCCTTTAGTGCACAAGCTCAGTTCAAAACTTCTATGCCTTGTCATTGATCGGAATACAACATCGGTTTAAATAGATACCTGCTTGGAGACTAACTGTAGATCATTACTACTTCTCCCACGGCATTTTCGGACAGTGAAACAGGGGGGTACTTATATTCATCATGCATGTTGCAAGAAGTCACCTGAATTACTCAATTGCACCAGATATTGTGGGGCTTACCTTGCAGATCGGCACTACTGCCCCGTGAGCTCCGATCAGGCCGTATAAATCCGCTTTCCAATGACGCGTACAATCCCCGAGCATACCTTTTTAGCTTGATTTCAAGGGGGATTTGCTCATGCAATCTCGCCTTTTGATCCAGAGTGTCTCGAAGCTAACTAGTATAGACTGATATACTCTTGATGCTGTTCTGGGCTCCGTTGCCGACTAGTCAACCCCCGGTATCAATTTGAACATCAGCTAGACCTGTTGCGCTCGAAGCGGGATCTATATATACCAGAGCGTTCACGAAAATCTCTTGTCCAACACCGTGAGCCAACTTACAGTCCCTCACTCTTTTGACAGCACCTCGAGAGCACGGAGTAATTTCTAAGCCCGGATTACTATACATGGATAGGCAACTAAATGATTGAAATAGCTGCATTAGACACGTGGAGATAATGCTCACTTTAGATGAACATCGTTTTGTTGCTGTAATAGCTTGAGCCCCAAGAATAATGCGGAAAACTTCCAAGGCTGGAAGCCTATGCATCCATGACTCATGTGATCCAATTTGAGTGCCTCATAAGCACAGCCTTATTTAACAACTTACCTTGTTATGGTCTATTACTTGGTAACAAAAACCTATATATAAACTGCCGTAGTCGCCGGTTTTAACGAATCTAAGGCGGTTAACCTTTCCACCTCGCCTAGTTTTGTACTGCACAGTGCACATACTTCCCCCGTGGGCATCATCAGTTAACACGAAGGACAGGCAACCGTATCGTACCTTGCACCCTATTTTTGATAGGCCCACTCTGACCGTGAATAGAGTGGACCGATATTTTACGATGTGGGGTTTTTGTTACAACCTGTGGCAGTTGTGCAGGTGGTCGAATCCTCTGTCCACAGTGCTAATGGCCTAGAAGCATCTACCATGCGAAGCACTGGTAGTATTCAGTATTCTCCTTCTATGTTGCACACAAGTGGGTTTGGCCTATATCCATGTTGGTCGCCCATAGGGTTGTGAACTTGTACCCTTTCCTACGTTGGTATATTGTGAACGATGGCTATTACCCTCCCTGTTATATAGGGGTTTTGCGAGCAACGATGATTTGCAGGAATGAATGATTATCTGGTTCAAATCCTGATTTACGTGAAGGTAGAGTAGAAGGAAAAGAAAGCTAGCTACATGTGTGGGCTATCCAACAAGTCTATACGATTCAACTTGAAAACCAGGGTTAGGGCAATATCGCAATACCAAAATTGCCCAGGTAATGTAGCGCTTGCTAAGGTGTAACCGAAATATATTTCATGGATCTAAATCCTGGCGCAGAGAGCTTGGAAAGACCGACAATCAGGACAGGTGTGTAGTGTGCCATTTGCGAAGCATAGCGGAGTTGAAAAAAACATGCGTCACGCGCATGACGCCTGACAGGAGCGTTTTGATGCTGCGCGTCAGCCCGGCGTTGATGCGTAGTTCGCCTGTGACGGAGTTAGATGAGACATTATCGCCTCAGTGGAAACTAACTAGGTCGAAGTGGGGTGCATTAAAACACCCTCAACAGCTTAAGAGCGTGCTAGATAGCTATGAGAGCTCCGTGGCAGAAGCAGTTGTCAACTTCTGGGAAATGAGCCAAAACAACGTCACGACGAGATCTCTTCCTCTGGACAACTGGATGGCATTGCGGATCATGTCAGCTAGAACAGCGCTGGCGTCAGGTCGAGCGGAATCTCCAGACTCCGACGAAATAAAATGGCAACTAGGGTTCAGTCTATTTCAATTCTCCAATAGACCCATTTCCAAGATCTGCTAGTTCAGTAGTTCAATAATAAAAAACCAGCATTGATTCAGCCCACTATCCTGAAGCACAATATGGCTGAATTCAACCAAGAAAGCATAGATTTCAACGTCGGGCATAGAAATATATAAAATGGGAATGACGACCATCCAGATATATCGATTAGATGATAAGGAATAAAATGATGCATGAGTAATTCTTGAGATACGATAAGACTTATTTACTATAAGAAACCAAGAAAGCATTATTAGGGACCTTGTTTAGCAGTGGTAGTCGGAAAACCGTCGCCAAAAAAAGACAATGTCATTGTCGAGCCTCAACCAAGTGAGACAATCGCTACTGGTCCTCCAGTCGTTTTTTCTTTTTCTTTTTTGTTCTTCCTTTTTCACCTTAGCACATCGAATGTCTCTTGATCTAAGAGAAAACTACACACATTAGTCTTAGCGTGCAAACAATCAGAGCCAAACGGCGCAAGGCCGCGCCGGCATCAACCGAAGTGAGCCGGGAAATTCTCCCGGGTTAGTTCCACCCGAACTTATAGTCCTTGAACTAGTAAATTATGGCCAGAATCCGCTACTCTTAGTGTTATTGGTGTCATTTAGTTGTGGCATCTTGTAGTAATATCGCTTATCACTTACCCCTCCAATACTCACATAGCTGCGGGGTTCTGTAGCTTTGCCTGTAAAGTTGTACGGCTATTGTCCATCCGCAATATGCGATACGACTGAACATCGTATGACGGTCCCTACAATTTCAGACTTCCTCCCACCGGCCTGCGTTGCTAGAACTGGAGGTGGGGTCCCCGGGCTTTGTTCATACGCTTGCAGCTATGGGTACTGTCCCATCAACCTTTGTTCATATACAAAAATAGGAGCTCTCGTCCAACCGCCCACGTAGACAGAAGGTACTAGTAAGGCAGGCCCCTGCTATACCAAAATATTTGACAATTTATTTGACTTCACCTATAGCTGGGGTTATTATCCATCTGGAATCTGCTATCAAAAGACGGCGTATCCATCGGAAACATAAAGTATCTACCGACGAGGTGATAAAGCGCAGTTTGGTGGATCTCCGCAAGGCTTCTAGAGCAAGACCTGCCGTCCTGGTACATAAATCCACCCGTACGGAGTATGCGATGCTCGGTAGAGAGTTGTGATCCACCTCAATTATCTTTTTGCTACACGCACTAACCACCCTAAAGTACCCGTGATATAGTGTATGGGTTCGATTCCTACTAGAAGCTCGCTCGAGGTACCTTTGATCGTTCACCTTGGTCAAGCCTAAAACCGACCAAGCTAAGAAAGACAGTAAAACTTGAATGTCCTGTCCTAGGGCCAAATGGGATAATGGTTTTAGGGCATTGTGAAAAAGCGCGGGCTGGAGACAATGTAGAGAATTATCAATTATTGGCAGTAGGCGTCTATTTCACAGAGAAGACAAGCCGTGCCATTCCTCTACCAGTACTCCCTGCTTGTGCAAGTGCAACTTAATGCGGTGTAACCGACTATATACTGTGGGATGATGTTGGTGAGAGTATTCCCGCTGTCACCGGCCAGGTATATTTCGGAGACTCATTCGCTGTAGGAATGGGGACGAGAGACACGCCTTGGGAAAAATGCCGAGTTGGATCGAATAATTTCGACCGTCTGTTACACGACTCGTTTGTACCGAGCTTTTATTATCAGAATCTGGTTTGTTCTGGAGACACTGTTGCTGGACTTTACGACGAACTTCACAGGTGGCAGAACCCGACAGTGGAGAGCTTCGCCACTATGACGATCGGTGTCAACGAGGTAGATTTCTCGAATATTGTCAATCATTGCATTCTGAGATATCTCAACTCCCCCATTGGGTGGGATGCGGCGTGGTGCGTTTACTACAAAAGCGCCGCTAAGGAGCTTATGGGCGATATCGGCGCAGATGGGCTGCAGGATAAACTCACATCTATTTACCTTCAGATCATTGACTGAACCCAGCAAAATCCCGCAAGTATCTCCATACCCCGATTCACGTGCCCGTGCTAACTTACTGTAGGGTTTCAATCTGTATATCGCTGGGTATCCAAGATTCTTCAGTCCCGATACCACACAATGCAACGAAGTTTCCTTTCGCTACTAGGGATAGGATAAGGCCGACCATAGTGATGTTTGGCTGACAACCTCCCGGAGGGCTGATATGATGGACCTGGTGACATCCCTCAACGAGGTCATTGAAGCCGCAGTCCTTGACGCCAACAACCTGGTAGGCAGAAACGTCACTCACTTTGTGACGTGGATCCTAGTTTCGAAGACCACCGCTGGTGTGAACCGGGCGTGACAGAGGCATATTCCAGTCATATGAACGCTGCCTTTTTCCTCGGCGGCTGGTCGGACATTGAAGAGGGAGCCATGGTTTTAACAACCGCTGATGATACCGCTGATTTAGCCCTGCTGAAAGCAAGGAGAAGTCTTCTGCTTCCCGACGGAAAGACATGCAATACAACCCTCGGTGTTTGCCCCGATCCTGTCCCCATTTACTGGTTCGATCTCGCGTCAGCAGTTGTTTCCAATCCAGATGGAAATATCGCTAAGCAAGTTGCACTCGCGGACACAGCGCTTGCCTGGGGAGACTTTATTTCTCAAAATATCCCGTGGTTCTTGCCGACTCGGCAAGCCAAGGCGTTCCATCCCCGAAGTATCGGTATGGCTTTTTACCGCGATATCATTCTCGCTGCCAGGCAGAACGTTGAGTACGGTTATTGATATCTGTTTAAGCCACTATTTTTACTCTAGCAAATTCATGTCTAGATATGTCTTGGCCATCGCAGCCCTTCGTTTCGTCTGACTACAACAGGTAGCTGTTGACGATATCCGTGCTTTATCAAAAGATTTCAATTTATTTGATTTGTTAACATCTTCTCATCATTTTCACAATGGTAATGGGGGAATTCAAATTCAGATACCCCTAACGATTCTCCTCACTGTCGCATGAACGCTGCGCCTCGTCCACATCCCTAGGCATACTAGAAAGCGAGCGGTTAGAGTAGAGCAAGTCTGGGTCTTCTCCCTCCTAAAAAGCTCATCTGGGTCCTCAAAATTGCCCAGTTGATATGTGGGCGATCGCAGTAGGACACGAAACCCAGCCGTTCAATAGTCGCTGGGACGGGTAAATCGCGGAATCAGCGACAGTACATTGCCGACCCCTGGCGGTCTTGCTGCTTGCTCGGCGATTTTGATGCGGTTATGCTCAATATAAGCAAAAGGCAAAGGGGTCGGGCGGGCAACATGACTGAATCTCGAACAAAGGCATGGCCCCTTCATTCTAGAAAGTTTGTATGAGGTAACCCAGAGCTTTCCGCCGTCATCATCCAATGGGACAAGGCTGTACAACATAGACCGAGATGGGAATTATGTGGTCGGGTTGTGTAGGTTAGGTAGCGGTCGACCTACCCGAAGTAGTTTAGGGCAATAGTGATTAAAGCTGCCTTCCCGTATCCCTTAACTTTATTGAATTGAAGTTTCATTATGTTTCGCATAACTTGAAAAAAAAATAAAAAATATGTATGTTGTACATATCTTGTACAACAGGGGGGACGGCAGGGGGGTCTACCTCCCCATCGGGTTGACGGGTTCTAGTCTACTACACACATATCTTCAATATCTATATGTTGTATAATTTTCATCTCATCTATCCTATACCTAACCTCTCATATCATGAAACATGAGAACTCCTGCATATGTGTCTTGGAATAGAGTTACGCCCACTTCCCGTTACCCCCACAGTCAAGATGTTTCAAAGTGAAGGGAATTGACTGGATCCAACACAATGACGAGAGCTAACTCAAATAAAAATACATACGGAGCATCCTCCGTTCAAAATCGCTCAATCAGCTTACTACCTCACCCGGACGACTTGCCGAATCTGACAATATGCACGGCAATCTAGGCACAGTCAATTGCCGAAAAGAAACTGTTTTTCACTCTTCGGAATCTCTACACTTAACGTTCTTTTCCCTGCTCAAATTGGCAGGTAAATCCCAGGCAAATCCCAGGCAAGCGCTCATAATTCCGTTTCGTTTCAGGTCAAGAGTCCAAATAGGGCATTCTCCTAGTGGGTTCAATTCATACAATCAGCAAACCGTTTCCTTACTTAAGGACTACGTAATTTTGGCGATTCTTTCAACTATTAGCTGTATCATAGGATAGAAACCCATGGCTTATAGAATTTGATGAGGTCTTATGGCACTAATGGGACGTGATCTTCGTTGTCGTAAATCTGTGATCGATCATAATGATTGCTTTCCAGCCAAGTAACAGACTCGATCTATTCTTGCCGAACTATTATCTAATGTTCCTAAGCCATAAAATCATTGAAGCCTTTTCCACAACTGTACTCTTATAGCTCAGTATCAAACACAAAAAGCTTCCGTTGCAACATTTACAGTCGTCCGATAACTACCCACCGAAATGATCAGTGGATCGATCCCTGAATAGTATAGCGGACGCGCAGTACTCTGAATAATTGCCTTAACCTTTAGCGGTACGGAGGGCTCACCGGAAGATGAGCGCCGGTCTGGCGTATACTCGAAACCTTGATGACCAAGACTATGGAGTCCTCATCTTAACTCGTGTCGATCCTATGGTAAATCTCCGTTCTTTCCAGTTGATCATTGATCGATTAGGTAGAAGTGTAAAGGGGAAAGTTCCGCTGTTACTGCTATAAAGTCTGTAAATATCCCGCCTAGAATGTGAAGGTGCATCCCAATTGTTTCGCACAATACTACAACTTGTTCGCAAACTTTCCAAAATGAAGACCACCTCTTTGCTTATTGCACTAGCTTCAACTGCGTTCGGCCAAATCGAGACACTATGTCAGCAGTATGGTTACTATTCCAAGGGTAGCTACAGTCTCAACAACAATCTTTGGGGGATGGCTTCTGGGACTGGCTCTCAGTGCCTAAACGTCAATTCCGTCTCGGACTCAGGAGTCTCTTGGTCCACCACATGGAAATGGACCGGTGGTGACAATAGTGTGAAGAGCTACCCCTACTCGGGTTTTACTGGCCTGAAGAGGCAGCCCGTCAGCGGCATTGGTAGCATTCCCACTTCTGTGAAGTGGAGTTATGACAACACCAATATCCGCGCCGACGTCGCATATGATATTTTCACTGCAGCGGATATTAACCATGATCCCTCTAGTGGTGACTATGAGCTCATGATTTGGTATGTGCGGTGCCTCGGGTCTTTGTCGTCGATTGCTAACGAACCAAATACACAGGCTCGCTAAATACGGCGAAGTCCAACCCATAGGTTCGCAGATTGGGACGGCCACCGTTGGGGGCATTACCTGGGAGCTTTGGAATGGTGCCAATGGCTCACAGAAGACGTACAGCTTTGTCGCTTCAAGCCCTATTACGTCTTGGAGTGGGGATGTCAAGGAATTCTTTGACTACCTAACTGAAAAAGAGAAATATCCAGCCAGCACCCAGAACATCCTTAGTACGTAACTCCAAAGATACCTGTTGCAAAGCGTGGAGTATACTAATGAGTTGATAGCCGTGCAATTTGGGACAGAGCCATTCACTGGCGGGGAAACTACATTCACGGTATCGAACTGGTCTGCCAATGTGAAATGAGCACAACCCATGAGGGTTCCTTCTTCTAAAGAGGCTCTCGGTTATCGTTGAGGTTAGCAAGGGAAAGAGGGATACGACAGACGGGCGTATGGATTGGACTAGGGCCTGATCCTTGGAATGGATCTAGTGTGGGACTATTTGAACGCAACACCCCAGCTGGGGTCTGTGTATTGTTAGTTGGTTAGAGTTAGCACATAGTGTTGAATTTTAACAGTGTGCTGATGCCAACTATAGAATGTGAAGTACTACGGGCACTCTAAAAACGTATATATTTGGATAAGGAGCATCGTTACTAGTTGCAGTAGTATGTAGACCTCCGCAATGGGCCGGGTTGGGCCCGGAGCTCAAGCCTATAGCATAACCCGTAGGGGGCTATTGGCCCTACCTTTAAAGCCTAACCTAACCCACGCCCTATTAGTGGAGCCTATGAGGCCCCTAATAAAGCCTAGTGGGCTTCTACCCTAGGCCTATAGCCCACCGGTGGGCCTAAAGACCGGGCCCAGAGCCCAGCCCATTTGCGGGTTGGGTTAGGTTGGGCCCTGGGCTTTATGGGCTGGTGTGGAGGTCTAGTAGTATGTGCAACAGATGGGATGAGCTCTATCAGTTAGTAAATTGTTCAAATTAGGCTGGCAATTATTGATTTAAGTACACTGAACATGCTAGTATGATTGACTTGGCCATAAATGTATCGAACGGCCTCGGTTTTGAGGTAGAAATTTATCAAGGCGCTTTGGAGCGGAGCGGATGTCCACCTAGCTTTTAATGAGCAAATCAACATTTGTTTCTAGTCCTGACTAGACACGTATGGCAAGTATATCTAATTACCTATGGCAAGTATATCTAATTTACTTATAATCCTCATGCATGCCTTGGTTAAACATTAACCACGCTTTTTCTCAACAGGGTTCTTCTGCAAACTTTCATACCACTGAATCATAGATCCTATCATAAAGGCCACCGATCCCCAAAATGTAGCAAGCGACGATTGATAATTCACGCCAGAGTTGCTACTCGCCGGTCCCAGCGCACCACAAACAGTAAACCCAATACTGCCAATCAAATTCCAGAGCCCAATGTGCCACCCCAGAACATGCCAAGCAGGAAGGTACCACTTTGACTGAGTCTCAAGCATGTACATGTATGAACTAACAGTAAATCCCAACCCGCCAAGAGTACTAGTACCCCAGTAGAGGCCATCAATAAGTCCCTTGCTCATGTGGTCAATAATATCGGGAATGCCAACAATTGCACCAATCCAAAAGATAGTAGCGCTCACAAATAAGATCAAGGAAGCTAGAAAGCCAATTTCATGAAGATAATGCGTACACAATTCCGACATTGACGGAATCCATCGGAATGTCCTGCCATCTGGTGACGAAGTAACGTATCCAGTGTCGTCCCGATGAAAATGGGCGATGTCATTGGCATAATGATGGTGCTTCTCCTGGAGGAATGATTTCCGATTCGCATGATGATGCTCACACTCCGAGACCTTCGGCTTGATCTCTTTCATCGGATGGTGAGTAATCCCATCCTCGATAGATTCCTCGACGGCGGTTTCAAGCGCCCAGCCGAAACATCCAGTATGATTGGTATTAAAGGCTTCAAGCATCAGCAATACACCTCCGATTTCGAAGATAGTCGCGCCGACGAACCCCGTCCAACCGCCGGCAACGACAATCTCACCGCGAAACTCGGTCTTCTTGTCTGCGAGCGGCAACCACACGAAGAACCCATTAACAATGAAGACTGCCGACCCGATAGTGAAGGACATGGCGACTAGATATGACACGTCCCAGTAAGGGACGTAGGTCACCATGCGAAGAATGATCCTGGCTACCGTTGAGAAGGACTGCGTCAAAGGTGGTGTTGTAATTCCAGTTTCATGTGGTAATGCTTCTGTATCGACGCGAATGGCATGGCGGCCTTTTCTGTTGTCGCGAGATCGCCAGAGACGCTCGAGTTGTGGGGGAGGACGAGTCTCTTTTGGGCGCTGGAAAGGCTTGTAGTGTGCCGAGGTGGGATTTAGGAATGATATTGGGCCCGTGACAAGAGCCTCATCTAGTTGGAAGCCAGCATACCCTCGAGGTTTGCGACCGGTCTGGAAGTGTGAACGCCGCGTCATATTGACAGAGGCCGAGGTGAGACTAAACCTTTCAGCCCTAGGAACTCATTTCGGAGATGACTCGATGCACGGGAGTTTTTGCTTTTCGATGATCACCTTCAGAGTAACCGCTAAAAGTGTGGTGTTCAATCTGGGTATGTTCCGTACATCAAGAGGTCGACGTCAGCGCTATGTTAGATATGCTCATTAAAGGCGGCGTTACTCGACACCCGAAATAGCAACCACCTCTAGGGAGATCTGCTCCCTTATACATCAACTATGAAAGGTGGTAATTAACTAAGTACGTGTGATTAATAGAATATAAGTGTCATTGAGTGTATCAGACATGCTACACTATACATAATGGTCCATGGTTACCCCTACCGGATAAGTACCGGATAGGGGGTAGGAGAATCACGGAGTAATGGTTTATCCGATGCCTTCAATGTCCTCTTCATTGAAACTGTTGCATTTCTCCAAATATATATATAACGTCCATTATCGTATTCACAATACTGCTAACCATTAATGCTAAACAGAAGAAATCAGCAGGTACAACATCACTCATAATCAAAAAACAATCGCTTAAAATGTCGAAAGAACAGTCCCAACTGCCTTTACACATCGACTTGACCTTTTCTAGAGGCCAGCCTTAGACTCTGTCTCCGTATTACTGCCGTCATAAACCTCGTGCTCAGCCGCTTCCGTGCGCGACCGCTTCAGACCGGGAGGCTTCGTTTCCTGAACCGCCTTGCCCTTATTCCGACTCCTGTCAGGCAACGACTGCTCTGCCTCACTCCTCAGATCACCATATTCATCCCCTGCCTGCGACGCGCGAGCGCTCTTATTCATGCTCCTCCTTGCGCGCACACGTGCACGACGGATCATCTTGTTATGGTAGTCTTCCTGTTCTAGCTCTGTATCCTCATGGAGGATGCGACGAGCAGCCTCGCGCCCAACAACGGGCAGTCGATCGACACCCTGGACTCCCTCCGGCAGCAGCTTGGGATCCAAGAGGCCAACTTGCACAAGGACGCTGGCTTGGTCCCAGTATACGTGCTCAGAGTAAAGACGCCCGCCGCGTATGCTCACAATGCTCACGAGTATAATCTCGACTCGCTTATTTGTCGGCGGGACACCCGGTAGCATCCATTGAACCTCCTGTGTGTGCTCATAGCTTACGTATAGCTCGTCCACGATTCGATCAGCTCCTGTGGTACGAGATAGCAGTCGCAGACGCATAGACGGGGGTAATTTGCCGATGAAGTAATGTTCGTAGAAATGGCGCAAGGCTTTTTTCCCAATCCCGCCGCTGATTGTCGGCGTATAAGTGACACCCGGGGTTTTGTGTTGGACATAGCCATCCATGGTCTTTTTGATGTTCGCCGAGAAAAACTTGCCTAACAAAGCATTAGTCCGCCGTCGCAGAATCTTTTTGCGGTTGTAACTTACCATCCACATGCTGCTCATACCGCTGCTCGTAATCTGGATCCCTGGAATATCCCTTCCGCAGGACCTTCAAAGTCCGTGTCCAGGCTAGATCCGCCGCCAGATGATCGTATTCCTCCAAATCTGTCTCCGCAAACCCGGGCTCGGCATTATCATACGTAAACGCCGAGTACGCTAGATCCAAACGCTCTCCAGTTCCGATACCAGCGTTGATCGGGCGGGTCTGGCGTCGTTTCTTTCCTTGCAAACCAAGCGCGACCGGCTGAACAAGTACATCCACAGTCTCGCCTGCCAAGTGCACGAGAACCTGGAGCGAGAGTGGGAATCGCGATCGTGTATCGGGGATCAGGCTGGGGTAGTAAGCGACCAGGGCACACAGTCGACTGGCGTTGATGGAATTGAGATAGTAGTCGAGACAGTAGTCCGCAGCGTCACCATAGGCTAGGAATCAAGTCCGTCAGTTCATGTTCATGTCATTTAGAGAGCGTTCTGTATATACCGATCACACCGTAGTTTTCGCCTACACCGAGACCATCCTTTACAGACTGCAGCCGGCGAGCGTACTCTTTTCCTCCGCCGTTATAAGGGAGGTATACGACGTCGAATCCTTCCTCTTGCCAGTTCTTAATAATCTCCAGGTCGAAATCTTCAGACTCGGCGGTGATGCATAGTCGCGCATTATTGTTGCCATTGCTGTAAAGAAACCCACCGCTGCTCAGGCCGGGAGCGCTAATTGATATGTTGGCCATTATGCTTGTGTTGTGATATTTGTCAACAGGAAGAAGATAAAATTTTTAATATAGAACAGGTATAAAAAGTGGTTGAACCCAAGTTAATATAGAATGGGGCCCTACGTCATTGGCGTCTAGATACGTCATCCCTATCCATGGAACATCCATGCATGGTTTTATATTAAATGTCTTGGCATTGACAGGTTTGAAAAGAATATTCAACAAGAGATCTATCTTATCTCTGTCCAAAATAAATAAGAAAACAATAAATCGGCCCTTCGGAGAGAATTCTAAACAGATAAACCCCACCGGGAGGAATTGAAATATCCTCTCCAAAGAGCTAGTTGTGGTGTTCCAAAACTTGAGCGTTCCATTCATTGAATAAGTTGCGAAAACCTGGTCGTTTGGCGAAAATGGTGGAGTATCATCCCAAATATGATCTGAATGACCATCCAGTGTGTGTTTTAAGCAGAGAGAGAGAGAGAGAGAGAGAGAGTCTGTTTCAGTATCCCCATTCCAAAGCTGAATACTACCCCTCAAACAAGAGACTAAAATACGACTACAGGGAGAAAAGAAAATACAACGGGCAAAGGGAAACTGGGCAACAAGGCTAGAGACGGGCTTTATTAGCTAGCACGGAGTTCCTCAACTGAAAATTTCTAGCATCCCGAAAATACTCGGAAAGCTTACTAGACTTGACGGTCTACCATGATCAGTTTTAATCATGGGTACGGATTGCAGGAGGTGAATGATTCCCATAACTTCATGTTCAAGAACTAGGATTCCCATTGCCTCCATCTAGGGAAGAAAATGTGTCTGTAAGAAGGCGAATGCTTCATGCCATGTCTTTCGGCTATCACCCCGCGTGAAATTGGGGGCTCACAAACGACACAAGCACGGAATTTCGGGGGAAGACAAGAGCTGATACGTGAGATACCAGTCTCACATCTTTGAGCCCGTCCGAGGGGCGATATAGTGCTGACTATCATATCATGGATGAGATGAAGCTTTCAGGCAGCCCTGCTCAGAGGCAACAGGGGAACATGGTATCGAGTGGACGTTGTACTTAGGTATGGTGCCCATCATGGTATGGAATACTGGGATCAATCATCGGTACTCCAGCCTCAGGGTCATTCTCGAGAACATGGAGCTTAACGCAGTCATTCCCAAAATTCTGGAACCGATCTGTCCTTCGTTCCACCGAGCTGCCATTGGGACGACAAAGAGTTGCAGAGTTGATCTTCGCCGCCGTAGCACGGACTTTTACCACTTTGGTCAGTGGTAACCGACTGGGAATCTCTATTGTATCATACATGTGGTTCGGAGGCCGGGAAACCTGTCGCCCGCGTATCGGGTCAATGGTGCAGTCGAAGATGAGTTTTGCCGGTGGTAGTCCGGGGATAGTGCAAATTCTGGAGTTCAGCTTTGAGATGTGAGCTCTGTCGGCTTCTAATATATTTCTAAATCTTTCGGATACGGAGCGAAGGGCATTTTGGTTCCTTCTAAGCCCATTCGGCGCCGAACTCAAGTTAGTCGGCGCCGAGAAAATCTTCACCCCCGAGATCCCGAACTATGTTCAATAACTTATAAGTATCTCCCTTCTCTTTCATATGGGTTAATCTAGATTAGTTGCAAAATACCTCATTGTTTACTATTATACAATTTCGGCAACATACCATGACTTCATCGATAGAACAGCAGCTTGACCAGCAACCGGACGAGGTTTCAACCGAAAAGCCCTCCGAGGTCAAGGAGGATGAGACTCAATTACCAGCGGGCACCCGGCTGTTAGCTATTATTCTTTCTATTCTGCTCGCTATGTTTTTAGTTGCCTTGGTATGAATGTTGTGTTTCCTATTCCCAACATGGATTACTAACAAAACTTTCAACACTATAGGATCGCACCATCATTGCCACAGCAGTCCCCCGAATCGCAACCCAATTCAATTCTCTCGACGATATCAGTTGGTATGCGAGTGCATATCTGCTGACAAGTTGTGCCACTCAGCTATCTTGGGGCAAGGTGTACACCTTCTACTCTACAAAGACCATCTTCCTAGTCGCGATACTTATTTTCGAAGTCGGATCGGCCGTCTGCGGGGGCGCCCCCAACTCCAAGGCCTTCATCGTGGGACGCGCAATAGCAGGGATTGGATCAGCGGGTATATTCTCCGGTGCGACAGTGATAATTGCACAGATTGTGCCGCTGGCCAAACGGCCGATGTACGTCGGGCTTATGGGGTCTATTTTTGGCCTTTCATCAATCATCGGTCCGCTGATGGGTGGTGCATTCACAGATAATGTAACATGGCGCTGGTGCTTCTATATCAACCTACCCATTGGCGGCTTCGCCGTGGTTATCCTGTTCGTTTTCCTGGCTGTCCCTCACAAACCCCAACCGTGCACCTGGAAGCAACAGATTCTCCGCCTCGACCCCCTGGGCAGCGTGTTCTTCCTGCCTTCTGTCATCTGTTTTCTGCTTGCCTTGCAATGGGGTGGCACAGCGTACCCCTGGAGCAATGGGCGCATCATCGCCCTGTTCGTCGTCTCGGGGATCCTGATCATAGCCTTTGTCGGCGTGCAAATCTGGCTCAAGAAGGGGGCAACGGTGCCGCCTCATATATTCAACCAGAGGAGCATCCTCAGTGGAGTCACCTTTTCTCTGTGTGTGGGTGGAGGGCTAATCTCTATGCTGTACACGCTCCCACTCTGGTTCCAGGGCGTGCGCGGCACATCGGCTGTGAAATCTGGGATTGACACGATTCCTATGGTGCTGGCATTGGTTGTTGGAGCCATCATCTCAGGCGCAACCATCACTGCAACAGGATATTACGTTCCTTGGATGTTCGTTGCGGCAATTTTCATGTCGATGGGCGCAGGGTTGATGACAACCTTCAAGGTGGACACCAACCACGCCGCCTGGATTGGGTACCAGGTGCTATTTGGTATTGGCATCGGCACAGGGATGCAGCAACCATCCATGGCTGCTCAAACTGTCCTTCCTAAGGATGAGGTCTCCATTGGTGTCTCACTCATATTCTTCGCCCAATCTCTCGGTGGAGCTATCTTTATCGCTGTCGCCCAGTCGCTCTTCCAGAATTACCTCGGTGCAAACCTACCCCACATCCAAGGGATTGATGTAGCCAAGATTCTAGGAACTGGGGCAACAGGTCTGTCGAATGCTGTTCCGACTACCAAGTTGGCTGAGGTTCTGGTCTTATACAATGATGGCCTCCGGCAGTCGTTCATTGTTGCCGTGGCGGTGTCCTGTTTGATGATTGTCCCCGCGCTGACGATGGAATGGAGGTCAATCAAGGGGAAATCGTCCGACACGACTTCCTGAGCAGTATTTTTCGATGCGTATATTATATAGTAAAGAGGTAAGTTTATACAACATAGAGTGTTCACTCAAAATATTAGAATGTTAGTCAGCGTTAGACATTCCTAACCTCGGTCAACTTATGATCAACCAAATCCCGTTATATGTATCACAGAAATTGTAAGCCTTATGATCTCTATATGTATAATTCTCAGAATATACATAGTGATTGGCTAGAATAGTTGCTAGAGGTGGCGGGGAAATAGGGCGAATCAACTAGAAATAACTACCTTGTCCCATTTGATACTATTAATATCCCTATTAATGTACATGTAGCTTTTAGTATACGGAATAGACAAAGTCTAGACCTGTGTAGCATATATTTTTGTTAAACATTAAAATCAGTGGCTATCCATAAAACATGTCATGTTCCAATGACCATATGGTGGATATATAACATGATGTTTAATATATATAGACAGTTGTCCCTTGCTGTCGCCGGAAAAGGAAAGAACCAAATTTCCTTCCAATTCCACCATAAGATCTTCTCCCTCCACAATACCCCCTTGGTTAACAATGTCCCTGGTGCAGCATGTTTCTGTCATTGATGGTGTTGATCGTGAACCCGAGTCGGACTTAGTTGATGATTGTGACTTCGTCCCTATTCGCCGACAAATCAGCTACGATGTCATTCAACCTCCGACCGAGGCTATCCCGGTCGCAGAATTACTCCCTGGAACACCAGCGTACAAACATTCCCCCGCAAAGAGAATAGGTATGGACTTTTCATCCAGATAAAAAGACAAACTGTTGACATCATCCAGCTCAGGTTGTCATCACTGTTATCGCGTGCTGGAGCGCGTCGGGGATCGTGTTTGGCTTCGCGGCCCTCAAGCCCATCCTCGTTGACCAAGGCGTTTATCACGAGCGTTGCACCCCCGCCGAAATCGATGAAGGACTTGAACTTTGCGCACAGCAGGACCTAAGGTATCTTTGTCGCAGAAAACGTATCGTGTTGTGATTTTCAGTAACCATTGCTAGACTCAACCTGTTCTTCACCATTGCGTCGATAACAGCCAATGTCTCCGCTCTTCCGGTTGGGACAATTCTAGATCGATGTGGATCACGCGTCTGTTGGTTCATTGCTTGTCTGCTGCTTTCTATCGGCAGTGTCATCATGGCCTTTGCATTCCACGAACCCAGCTTCGATGGCTATATCGCAGGAAATTTCTTTCTCGCTCTCGCTGGTACCTTTTTATTTGTTCCATCGTTCCAGATTGCGAATGCGTTCCCCAAATATGCAGGGTCGATAGTCGCGCTGGTGACTGGTGCATTTGATGCCTCTGCTGTTGTGTTCCTCTTCTACCGGCTCATATATGAAGCATCGGGCAGGTCCTTCACCCCGGACAAGTTCTTTCTCGCCTATCTGATAGTCCCAGTGTGTATTTTCATCGCACTGATGACCATTATGCCAGCACGCGACTATGTCTCGACCCTGCAATTGGAAAACAAGATAGAAAGGGCCGAAGATGCCACACGGGACGTCCACGACTCCGACGATGAAATCGAGAGCACCTCGGAGCTCAATCGGGTGCGGAAGAAGCGAGCGGAGCTGCGAAAGAGCAAGATCCGCCTGATCGATGGGGTGCTTGGTGATAAAGACGAGCGACAGATGCGTGCGGAGCGAGAAGAGGATCGCAAGCAGACGAGTTGGGTCTGGGGTGTAATGCACGGCCTGCCGGCGCACAGGCAGATGGCTACGCCCTGGTTCATCCTGATTACGCTGATGACTGTTTTGCAGATGATTCGCATGAACTACTTTATCGCAACGATTCGCTCGCAGTATGAATACATGCTTGGATCAGTCAAGAAGGCAGACAAAATCGGTGCCTTCTTCGACATCGCATTGCCGCTCGGGGGTGTTCTCTTCACACCTGCGATTGGGTACCTTCTTGATCGCCTTAGTGTGCCAACCATGCTCGGGCTGATTGTGATTTGCACCACGGTCATCGGTGTGCTGAACTCTATCCCGGCCGTTTGGGCTGGCTATATGACGGTTGTGCTTTTTGTCTTACTCCGGCCACTGTATTACTCGGCCATGTCGTATGTTGTTTCCCACCCATGCTACATTCCAGGTGTTAATTTTCACTCTAGCGATTATACTACCAAGGTTTTCGGATTTGCCACATTTGGGCGCGTATACGGTGCCATTATTTGCCTCTCGGGAATCGCGAACTTCTCCCAATATGGGCTCGACGCATTGACACATCATACGTTTGATGGAAACCCAATTCCTATCAATGCCGCCTTGGCGATTGGGGGATTCATTGTTGGAACGGCACTCGTGATCTTTGTTTTCGTGTCTGTGAGACGGATGGGAGAGCAGAGTCGGGTGGATGAGGAACGCGAGAGACTTCTCTTGGAAGAGGATGAAGAGGAATACGAGGATGAAAGTTACCGTTGACCAGATTAACATTTTTAAGTTAAACCGAGGTGTAAAAAAAAATGAAATTCCATTTCCAACATTCTCTCCAGGGCCATCGTCTATTCTAGCTGTTCTTATAGTTAATCACTTCAATCACATGATGTCACAAAACCTACATCCTACATTCCGAACTTGACATGATCAGTTAGTGTACAATGATTTCATATACACACTATTAAAGGGACTAATGTTATTGGTAAAGTATTCCCCCCGATATCATTGAATGCTAAGCTTCCTTGATACATATCTCTTGAAACTCTCCTTACTTGACTTGGGAATTTGAGAAAGCATAAAAAGGAGAAACAATGAATAGAACAGATCATCCCTAGTCCCACAAAAAAGTGACGTCTTTTAAACTACTAGAAAGGAAATCAAAGTGTATAACGTAGTCAATACGCCTGCCAAGTTGCCAAGTACAATTTCCCCCGCATTTACTTCCCTTTCCCCCCAGATTATCCCCCAGAAAGTAGCCACCACCGAACTTAACTAACTCACTTATGAAAGAGATGACTCGTTAAAGGCTTGCCAAGTGGGGGGTGACTTCCCCCTCATTTGTTTCGGACATTATTGACCTATGTCTTCCTATACCCATAGCCGTACTTATCCCGAGGCACTTGACCACTTACTGTCGGCTATTGGGTTCTCGATGGTCTTGTTTTCTTGGAGATTTTCTTGGGCGGTTTAAACGTGGGCTGCAATAGGCGAGCGTCGATCTTGACTGGCTGTTTTAGGAATGGAGTACCAATTATTTCGGGGCTTATTGCTCCTTGCGCAATCCATAGGATATGGTTTTTGATTCTTGCTGATCTTGTCGTTTGCTAGATAAGGCTGCAGCTCTGTCATTTTATTTCTGGTCAAATTGAATTTATTTCTTCCATTCCCGAATCATCTTCGTTCGCCTCATATTTCACTCCAATTCAATTCGAATACATCAGCATGGGAACCATGGCTCCCATCGATGAGAAACCGCCTGCTGAAGATCGTATCGAGGACATAGGAGGGAAGACCCCTCCGAGTGAGGAGGATGAGGAGTTCACGCCAAAGGAGCAGAAGAAAATTATTCGACGAATTGATTTGCGTCTGGTGACCATGACCGGGTTAGCTTATTGCATATCGCTTATGGACCGGACAAATCTGAGTATGGCTGCCGTTGCAGGGTAAGTAGTTGTGTAGGTCAATTATGTGCATGGCTGATCCCTTGAATAGGTTGAAAAAGGAATTGCGACTCGATATAGGCGAGCGTTATGTACGTTCGAACACATGGATTCCATTATAGAAGGCGACTAGCTAACCTCTGAATAGTCCATTATCGTCCTTATGTTCTTCGTACCCTATGTTCTTTTCCAGCCGCCGATGACGGTCATTATTCGAAAAGTTGGCCCGACATACTTCCTGGGCTCCATTATTGTATGCTGGGCGGGAATCATGATTGTAAGGCGGTTCTCCGCTTCCTGGGGATTAAGACTCTGGTTTACTAACGGCCACAGGGAATGGGATTCGTACAGGACTGGGGCGCATTGGTTGGAACGCGTGTGCTTTTGGGTGTGTTGGAAGCTGGTTACTTCCCTGGCTGCGTCTACTTGTTATCTTGCTGGTATACCCGATGTAAGAGCAATGGCCAAGCTATAAGTGACTCCATGGTGCTGACTCTCCAAAGATGACGTCCAAAAACGATTCTCTGTTTTCTATCTTATCGGATGTGTCGCTTCTGCCTTGGCGGGTATCCTTGCATTCGGTCTGATGCAATTGAACGGAAGGCATGGGTTGACCGGCTGGAGATGGATCTTCATCCTCGAGGGAGTGGTATGCAGAGCTGATTCGGTTGAAACAAAACCACGGAGCTAACAATGGGTATAGATCACTGGCTTTATTGGCCTTCTGTGTTTTTTCTTCCTCGTCGACTTCCCTGACCGCGCACATAAGTCCTGGCGCTTCCTGAACGAAAGAGAATGTGCTTTCATCGTCCGTCGTATCAACAAAGACCGAAATGATGGCGATATGGAAGCTTTTTCTTTCAAAAAGTTCCTCAAACCTGGATTGGATTTGAAGATCTGGGCCTTTGCCATGATCTTCTTGTGCGTTTCCTTTCCGAACAACCCCCGATTCATGCTAACTTTATCCCAGCTGCCTCACCACTGTAACATACGCCATTGCCTACTTCCTACCCATCATCCTTAGCCTCGGCATGGGCTACGGCGTCGGCGAATCCCAATGCCTTGTCGCGCCGCCCTACGCTTTCGCAGGATTTGTCATGTACGGCACTGCCTGGTTTGGCGACAGGTACCGCATGCGCGCCCCAGTTCTGATTTTCAACGCCCTGCTCGCCATCATTGGTCTGCCAATGATGGGATTCGCTAAAAGCGATGCCGTCCGCTACCTGGGCGTTTTCTTCACAGTTGCCGGTGCCAACGCGAATATCCCAGCCTGCATGGCATATCAGGCAAACAATGTGCGAGGCCAGTGGACGCGTGCTTTCTCTAGTGCTACACTTGTAGGATTTGGAGGTCTCGGTGGTATCGCAAGTAGCTTGGTGTTCCGGGAACAGGACGCACCCGGGTACCGACCCGGAATGTATGCTGCTATCGCGTATGTCTTTCCTTCCGTTTCACATTGTGCTCGTGTACTGACTGTGTTTCCAGGTGTAACATCCTCATCATCTTGTTAGTTCTTGCTTTGAGTCTGTGGTTCCGGATCTGTAATAAGCAGGCGGACCGGGGAAAGCGGGTCATTGAGGGTGATGCGGCTTTCCGATACACGATTTGAGGTTTCATGGACACATGTGTATATATGTACATTCATGTCCTAGATCAAGATAAAGTGCAAACAGGCCTTTTCTATTTTTGATATTCCTAAAATGACCAGAAATTAAAGCTCAAGGAAAGCTATAACATCAAGCTTCCCCCCTCCTTTAGAGAGAATTCGTGGAGTAGAGACCGAGGCAGTGACTTTTCCGACGGAAAACCGGTCATTTGCTCCGATTGGAAGGCGGTCTGTGGTCGAGCTGGGGTCGATGGCAAAATAAAGTCAGCTGTGATTGGTCAGATAAGAAAGTTTCTTATCGCCTCTGTGAGTTTTCCGAAAGGTTCTCCGTCATCGGATCGGACAGGGAAAGAGGGTGTGGGCGAATAAATATTAATTTCTACAGGTCTGGCACTTTTTTGTCTTCTTCACCCTCCTGATTCATTGATTTTACTGGTTTACTTGTGGATGTGTTGAGTGCTGAATCTCTTAAAGCCCTCATTATCCGGTCTCAAGTATGGCGGCATCACTGTTTGCCCTTCGCGGCGGTCGACAGCTTGCTCTACGGTCGCGTATTCGCGTACCTTCAATTACTCGGGCTTCATCGTCGCCATTGAATGCTCGGAGACAATTGTATACCTCGCAGCCCGTGCCCCGTCGTGGTGTCTATACTAGCTCCATCTCCGACCATGGAGATCCCCACCCACAAGATATCTTCCAACCTCTCGATACCTTCCCCCGCCGCCACATTGGCCCCTCCCCGGACGCCGCGGCACAGATGCTTGCTGTGCTCGACCCTCCGGTGTCATCATTGGATGACTTTGTGAAGCAGGTCCTGCCTGCGGATATTCTCTCCAAGAAGGACCTCAAGGTCACCGAGCCCCAGGCCGATATCAGCCTGTACCGCTCCAGTGTTCAGGGTGGGTTGGGCGAAACCGATATGCTCAAGCTGCTGGACACCTACCGGAAGCAGATTGATATCTCTGGCAAGACATATATTGGAACCGGTTACTACCCCACCATTGTGCCCCCAGTCATCCAGCGCAATGTTCTCGAGAACCCTGCCTGGTACACCAGTTACACACCCTACCAACCCGAGATCAGCCAGGGCCGTCTAGAGTCTCTACTCAACTTCCAGACTCTCACCGCCGATCTCACTGGCCTGCCCTTCGCCAATGCCTCAGTTTTGGATGAGGCTACCGCCGCTGCCGAGGCCATGACCATGTCCTTCGCCACAATGCCCGCTTCCAAGCAGAAGAAGGCCGATAAGTCCTTCGTTGTGTCTCACCTTTGCCACCCCCAAACTATTGCAGTGATGCAGTCCCGTGCTGAGGGATTCGGAATCAACCTCGTGATCGGAGATATCTTGGCGGATGACTTCAAGATCGTCAAGGACCAGAAGGACCACCTAATCGGTGTCCTTGCTCAGTACCCCGATACCGAGGGCGGTATCTACGACTTCCAGGCTCTGGGTGACTCCATCCATAGCCAAGGTGGTACTTTCAGTGTAGCCACTGATCTGCTAGCTTTGACCGTCCTGAAGGCCCCCGGCGAATTTGGCGCCGATATCGCCTTCGGCAGTGCCCAGCGTCTGGGTGTTCCCATGGGCTTCGGTGGCCCCCACGCCGCCTTCTTTGCTTGTGCCGATAAGTACAAGCGCAAGGTCCCCGGCCGTGTTGTCGGTGTGTCCAAGGACCGCCTCGGTAACCGGGCTTTGCGTCTAGCTCTACAGACTCGCGAGCAACACATTCGCCGTGAGAAGGCCACTAGCAACATTTGCACTGCTCAGGCTTTGCTTGCCAATATGACTGCTATGTATGCTATCTACCATGGCCCTGTCGGCCTGAAGTCCATTGCCCAGCGTATCATGTCCATGACTTCACTGCTGCGCGAGAAGCTTGTCAGCCTGGGCTATGATGTCCCGGTGCGCTCCAACAGCGCTGACGGCGGTGCTGTTTTCGACACTCTGGCCATTGAACTCCCCACTGCTGCCGATGCTGATGCCATCATGGCTGAAGCTCGCGCTTCCTCTGTCTTCCTCCGCCGACTGAGCGGAAACAAGGTCGGTCTCTCTCTGGACGAGACTGTTGGCCGGGATGAGGTGAAGGGCATTTTGGATGTTTTTGCCTCTCACAAATCTGCCGCTCTCGTCGAGGTTGATGGCACTCTTGGTCTCACCACTGTCCCCGCCAGCCTTAAGCGTACCTCCTCTTACCTGACTCACCCAGTTTTCAACACCTACCACTCCGAGACTGAGATGCTCCGGTATATCCACCACCTAGAATCAAAGGATCTTTCCCTAGCCCATTCTATGATTCCTCTTGGATCTTGCACCATGAAGCTCAACGCTACCACGGAAATGATCCCCGTCTCCTGGCCCGAGTTCTCCCAGATCCACCCCTTCATGCCTGCTGAGCAAGCGAAGGGTTACACAAAGATGATTGACGATCTGGAGCAACAGCTCGCCGATATTACTGGCATGGCCGAGGTTACTGTGCAGCCCAACTCGGGTGCCCAGGGTGAGTTCGCCGGTCTTCGTGTTATCAAGAAATACTTTGAGGCCAAGGGCGATGCCAAGCGCAACTTGTGCTTGATCCCTGTCTCTGCTCACGGTACCAACCCGGCTAGTGCCGCCATGGCTGGTATGCGCGTTGTGACCATCAAGTGTGACACCAAGACTGGTAACCTCGATCTGGAGGACCTCAAGGCTAAGTGCGAGAAGCACAAAGACGAGTTGGCTGCGTTCATGATCACCTACCCCAGCACCTTCGGTGTGTTTGAGCCCGGTGCCAAGGAGGCCTGCCGCCTGGTCCACCAGCACGGTGGCCAGGTCTATATGGACGGTGCTAATATGAACGCCCAAATCGGTCTCTGCTCTCCTGGTGAAATTGGCGCCGACGTGTGCCACCTGAACCTTCACAAGACCTTCTGTATCCCCCACGGTGGCGGTGGCCCCGGTGTCGGGCCCATCGGTGTCGGCGAGCACCTGCGTCCCTTCCTGCCCTCGCACCCTACCAGCGAGTACTTGCAGTCGAAGCGTGGCGATACCTCCTCCCCTCCTATCTCCGCTGCTCCATGGGGCAGTGCCAGCATCTTGCCTATCACCTTCAACTACATCAACATGATGGGTGACCGCGGTTTGACCCATGCCACCAAAATCACCCTGCTCAATGCGAACTACATCCTCTCCCGCCTTAAGCCCTACTACCCGATCCTCTACACCAACGACCATGGCCGCTGTGCACACGAGTTCATCCTCGACGTCCGCGCTTTTAAGGAAACCTGCGGTGTCGAAGCCATCGATATCGCCAAGCGTCTCCAGGATTACGGCTTCCACGCCCCAACCATGTCCTGGCCCGTTGCCAACACCCTCATGATCGAGCCCACCGAGTCCGAGAACAAGGATGAGCTGGACCGCTTCTGCGATGCCTTGATCTCCATTCGTAAGGAGATCAGCGAGGTCGAGTCTGGTGCTCAGCCTCGTGAGGGTAACGTGCTGAAGATGTCCCCGCACACTCAGCGCGATCTGCTCGTCTCTGAGTGGGACCGCCCTTACACTCGTGAGCAGGCTGCTTACCCCTTGCCTTTGCTTTTGGAGAAGAAGTTCTGGCCTACAGTAACTCGTGTTGATGATGCCTTTGGTGACCAGAACTTGTTCTGCACTTGCGGACCTGTCGAGGATACCGAATAGAGACAGATCTAGAGAGATCTATGATACCCATGCTGCGCTAATTGCTTTTTTGTTTATAAGAGGGCTCATTCTTCTGATGCCCACCTCTTCTCTGTGTATACATTCAACATTTCTTATTTTTGATGAGGGTAGAAGAAGACTACCTACGCACTACGTCCTTATGAGGACTGGATTGATTCAACATAATCATCCAGTATGCCAAGAATAATACAATTCAAAGAATCAAAAGTATTCTAGACATTCCGATTTCAGTTCAAGAAAATTTTAACGAATAAGAGTAACAGATGTATAACAATCTTGACTATGGCTTCATTGAAGTTTACATGTAAACGATGTTCAATGTTGATGATTTGCCCTTATCGGTGCCATATTACCATACAGAACTGCTATATAATAAATTACACTATCAATAACAAACTCATCCGCTCCAAATACCGTATTCTTCATGTATCACCATCGGAGATGGCCGACCCCCGCCCTCTAATAACCGCCCCAATCAACAAACATTGAACCAACTACAATCTTCACCTCCAAAATATTCGGAAATTCTCCACTCGATGTCTACGGTTTCCGGATTACTTGGCACAAGAAGAGGAAACTAGAAGACATATAAACGTGTATCTGACCCTCTCTTCTCGCCTTGAGTTGATCCCTCCTTGTATTTCCACTGTGGGGGCTGATCTACGCTTGCATCTATATATACATCCCGATCTTTGTTCCTGCAGACCGGCATACACCACAGCTTGATCCTTGACTTGACCATATCAGTGCCATCGATTGGTATTTTTGAACATAGGAATATGTGCTCCTCAACGGGCTATGCTTTTACTGTTTATCGGGGAACATTCATTCAATCAAATCGGCTAGACTCGGACTCCAAACCTGAATTGTCTCGCAACCGAGGTGCATTATGGGTCTCTACTTCTGATGGCCGAATTCAAGGTTGGGATTGGCAAGCTAGTGATGAGAATGGGTTCGCTGGATTGATGAGTCGAAATGGGTGGGTCGATATCGACGCCGTTAAGGCCCACGGCCAAGTAATTGGTCATGATTCAAAAGTCGGAGTGAAGATTGTTATCGCCAATGAGGAACAAAATGAATTCTTCTTCCCCGGTTTTATTGGTATGCATTAAACCCAACGTTTTGATCCCTGAATAATTCTCAGAACCTAAGTCCTGATACTTACATATCTTCGCAGACACCCACATTCATGCCCCTCAATATCCCAACGCCGGCCTCTTCGGCTCATCGACACTTCTGGACTGGCTAGAGACCTACACATTCCCAGTAGAGTCACGGTTCGGGTCATCACCCGACCCAAAAACGGGGCATCAAACCTCCGCCGACCCCGAAGACGCACCCCTTCTAGCCCAGCAAATTTACGACCAAGTAATCTCCCGCACTCTATCCCACGGCACCACCTGCGCCTCCTACTATGCAACAACCCATGTTCCAGCCACAAACGCTCTGGCATCACTCTGCCATATCCGTGGCCAACGTGCCTTTATCGGCCGCGCATGCATGGACAACCCAGACTTCTGCGTAGACTACTATCGCGATTCCAGTGCCGAGGACTCCATCGTTGCAACCCGTCAAACGATCGACTACATCCACACTCTGGACCCAGACGGCAAGCTAGTCAAGCCGATCGTCACGCCGCGCTTCGCGCCCACATGCACGAGGCCCGCACTACAGAGCCTCGGTGACTTGGCAGCAAGCTACTCACCCCCATTGCATATCCAAACGCACATCTCGGAGAATATTAACGAGCTCGCGCTTGTCAAAGAGCTCTTCCCTGAGGCGGACAGCTACGCCGCCGTCTATGACAAGTACAACCTCCTCACACCGCGCACAATTCTCGCGCATGCGGTGCATCTCACGCCAAACGAGCGGGCTTTAATCCGTGCGCGCGACGCAAAGATCTCGCACTGTCCGGCGTCGAACTCGGCGCTAGGGTCGGGCATTTGTCCTGTTAGAGCGCTGCTTGATGAAGGGATAACGGTTGGCCTCGGCACGGATGTCAGTGGTGGATACAGCGCTAGTATTCTTGAGGCGGTGCGGCAAGCTTGTCTAGCTTCGCGGTTGTTGAGTCAATCGGCTGCATGGCAGAGGGATCATCTTCCGGGTGCGGATGAAGATGGGTCGTCGGATGGACGGGAGAAACTGTCTGTTGCAGAAAGTCTTTATCTTGCTACACGTGGGGGAGCGGAGGTTGTTGACATGGCGAATGAGGTTGGTGGGTTTGATATGGGGATGTTATGGGACGTGCAGTTGATCCGGCTTGGTGAAGTTAAGCTGGTGGAGAAGAGTCCGCTGGACGGTGTTTGTGATAGCAGTGTAGATCTTGTAAAGGGTGGTCCTGTGGGGAATGTTGATTTATTCGGGACGGAGAGTTGGGAGGAGAAGATTCAAAAGTGGGTTTGGAGTGGCGATGATCGGAATGTGAAGGCTGTCTGGGTTGGGGGAAGGTTGGTCCATTCAAGGGTTTGAGTGAATCTCCCTTGAGCTTGTCTGTTTATGTTGTATGTATTTTTTTTGGACTAGGACTTCATTTTTACATTTTTATTACATCCCATTTTCAGGGAATAGAGCAGATTTATCATGTAATTTTGGATATTCATGTTTAAAACTTACCTTCCAATAGCATCATTGATTTAGATACTACATGTAGAGGTCCACGGGTTAAGTGACGTCGGATAAGACCTGGCCATTTGCATTCTTACTATCTCGAACAGCATCTCTACTGCTCTGCCGCATTCTAAATCGGCTACCGGTATTCATTGGAAGAGCTCCACGCAATCAAAGATCTAATGAGGTAGGTAAGCTTCCATCGAAAAGATGAGATGAGAAAGATACTCACGAAGTTGGGACTCAGGTACTTGTCTCCCGAGCTACCAGAAGCAACACTGATAGTGATCTAAACCGAGTTAGCACATATTATCTGAGTAGGCTCCGAATCTCTTACAGTGTTGGTTCCAGCGACGATAGTCCCCGCCGGAATGGAAATGTCGTAAACCTCGCCAAACCCTCTATACGCCCCGCGTGTCACACCACGGGAGTTAAGATTAGTCGGGGCGGCCGGGATGGAGGCGGAATAGCTATTGACCTATGCAAGGCGTTAGATATAGGCTAGGAGGTGGGACATAAAGGACGGGACTTGAACACACCACAACCTGGGGTCGGCCAGATGCAAAGGAAAGAGTTGTGCCAATTCTCAGCGTTGCAGCTCCAGTCTGCGAGGAAGATGCCGTGAATTTGATTGTCAAAGGTGAATTCACGGATTTGAAGAGAGCCATGGGGAACGAAGAGACCTTGGAGGTGCCGACTGTGTAGGTAGTCGGAGACCAGGAGGACATTCGGGAGTCGGAGGGGTGCATGCGCAGCTGGTTGGCGGCGTTGAGGAAACCGTTTGGTCTATGATAGTCAATATCAGAACAGGTCCGTAGACTACATAGTAATATCAATCCACTTACGTCCCATCCCAATCTCCAATCTTGAAGACTGTTCTTCCTGTCTTTACAGACCCAGAGATACTCTTCGATATGGTTGATCCGGCAGTAACAGTCACGGAGGAGCTGGCAACGGCATACTCGCCCTGGTAGTACACCATGGTGTAGGTGCCAGGCTTCATCGCAGGGGAGGTAAAAGCACCGGAAGATGAAGTGTAGGTCCAGTACTGTGCAGCAGAGTTATACCTATATTGCCTTTAGAAAGTTATTCATCTCAGTACGATATGTATTTAGCATACCAGTGAACCACCCATTTGAAAGCGGAGTCAGCTCCAGATGCAGTACCCTTAACATAGCCTCTTGCGGACGTGGGAACGTATCCTTTGATATCGAGGTCGCCAAAGAAAGATGTGTCAAGGTTGGAACTGGGGGTACCGGTCCGGCTGAAAGTCATCGAGTACGGACCGTGCAGGCCCTGGCGGTAGGTCTCGGTCTGAACGTGTCCGGAGTTCTGTACAGAGTAAGAGGCTATTATTAGTTTCGGTAAGAGGAGTCACATACCATGTACCAGTATAGGCCAGTGTAAGAGCCGACATTGTTGGTGTTAATATCGCTGGTGCATATTAGCCTAGGTCAGTAATAGTGACCGAGAAGCTTACCGATGGAAAGGCCCGCCAGCGGATGTCTCATATTGATTTAGAATCATGCACACGCGATGAGCGCTTCCAGAAACACCTGTTTGTGTTATTTTCAGTCGCATTGAATAGGGTATGGATATCTATACAGTGGATTTTGTCATCGATGAACCGCTCGCTAGAGTAGAACTTGCTTCGTGTTTGTCCATCAACCAAGAACTAAAACATATTAAGCTATAGCTCATTGAAAATGGCTTTGAGGAAAGACTCACCACATCCTCTCCCTCAACAACACTACCACCTCCAATATTGGACACAACGCCGAAAGGCTCTTCATTCGGGAGCAGATCTGAGTTCAGGCGCGCGATGTATCGAAGTTCTCCAACACTCGGCTCTAAATAAAATAATTAATGCCGACACTACACATGAGCAACACAAAGGGCACGAACCTGCGGTTGTGTATGTTGCCATGTGGATGGTCGAATCTCCTTTGTGCACAACATAGTAATGTGTCAAGGTAGACGTTGCACAGGTCACCTTGATGTAGTCGCCTATATTGATCAGGGCATCTCCTTTCAAACATATTGGTTATCGACTCACCACTCTGAGTCGCAGTCACAGTTGCGCTACCAAGACCAGATCCAATATGAGATGCAGTCGACTTGTATTGAAGCTCGGATCCATGGTAATTGATCGAAGTAATGTCACAATTGGTCCGGCTGACAGTAAATTTAAGGGGGTTTGAAGAGCCAGCATCGATTATATAGGAAGCAGTGTTGGTGGTAATTCCAAAAGCCGCGGATACCTGCTTAGCCAAAAGGGCTAGCGAAACAATGGCTAAGGACTTGAAAAACATCATGTCCGTGTAATTCAGAGAAATCTACTCACACAATACATGAAAGAAAGAGGAGCAGGATAATATATGGCAGAGAAATTGAACTTCTTATTGAAACTCTGCATGTTAAAAGGTGGAGATTTGGCTGCTGGCTCCGTCCCTAAAAGAGTCCGTGAATGTCCATACTTCCACCAATGCGTGGCTTTCCTGATTACTTGGCAGCTAGATGATTTCTATTTCAGGAACAGTCTGCAGACTTGACTTAAAACGCTTTAAAAAGGAGACACAGTTTAATGGGAGGATTACGAATTCCCCTGAATGCTCGAAGCTTTTAGACCTGTAACTCCGTGTGGGGACTCCGTGTAGGATGAGTGTTTCAATGCGATCGGGAACCTATACTGGTGGAGGAATCTGATTCATGTTGAGACATCTTGAAGCGGATTGGATACCTTAGTTTAAACAGATAAATTCCTCGATCACTTTAATTTTATGAAATAGAAAGGGGATGATTCTATGTTGTACTCCGTAATGGGAGCGCGGACCTTCTTTTCCCGAAAGACCGAGATGGAAATTGGAGAATTGGATGTCATCTGCGAGTTCTTTGGAGTTTGAATTATTTTCTAATGGAAAAAGTAAAGCTCTCCAGATATGCTATTAATCATCCTAAAAGATGATAGAATTATCAGCCTTATACTCCAGGCAAAATAAGCATGTCATAGAAATTTTACCAAATCATACAAGGTTGGCATTGCATTTGTCTCAGAATCTACAAAAAGATATAGGTCAGGCTATCAAGAAGATACGTAAATAATAATAGTAAAGAATCATGGACAGAGAAATATATGTAATTGTCGCTTGCGAATTACACGTAGTGAACAAAACGACGTGATATTCCAAGATATTGGGCGATACAAAATAGTTGTAACAAGATTGACAGAATATTGGAAATCACAAATAGCAAAAATTCACGATTTAGCACCTTCGAACCAGGTATATGCATCCAAGGTAGGAATGCAAGACAGGCGGAGGGGTCGACCAGACAAGTTGGATGCACTCAGGAGCACAGCTGATAGCCAAGTAAGCTTGGGTTCTAAGATAAAAGCTTCGAAATAGCACTTACATGTCTTTGCACGAGTATGTCTGCTCTAAGGAGACCAGCCTTAATAGAGCCCACCACACTCGGTGCCCGGCACAAGTGGTTTCCTTGGTCCTCCTCCTTTTTGCATACATGGACCATCAGAGGCGTCTGCAACTGCGCCCGCCAAAAGCATGCATAGTGCGAGGATGTTACCAAGTTGGAAGTAATTCATTGTGTGTAGAGGAAAGATAGAATGTGGTGTCAGTAGCAGTTCATCTCCTTATTTATATGCCGAATTAGGGAAAAATTGGTGACATGTAGTAGATAGCCCGTAGGGGGGTTTGGGGGGTGTTCCTTATTCATCTGAGGATATTCATTTATTGACTCACGTTTACAGGCCGAGATCAGCGTTCTGTGATCCCCGAACAAAAATCTAATATCCATGATAACATGGGGTTGATTGGATAAAAGGGTTCCAAGGTTTGTCCTACGTTGTGTTAACAAAGAAAAAGATATTGCGTTGGTGAACAGAAACCAGCATGAATCCTTGACAGTTACGCGTCTCGCCGCCTTACATGCCCAAAATGGGGCTCAATAGACGGGAAAGGACGTGTCTATAAACAGCATTTGACATGCTTTGGGCCTATCAATATTTCTTCTCAATTTGAGATCGCCCATCTTTCTTGCTGTGAGTAGGCGCTAAATTTTCATTTATTTTCGAGTTGGAAAGCTCATTGGTTTCAGTACAGTTGACAGATATTCAATGAAAAGTTCTGGACCAATACATGCTTATTTCAAATATATACATACACTATTTAGGAATACTCCGTTATGCTGCCTTGAATTCTCACAGCCCCAAAATTCTCCGCATTCCAGAGTTCTCAACAACATAGCCTCCTCCTAGTTTGAATACACCCGGGCCCTGCAACATTTCTTCATGGCGTCCCATAGACATTTCCGTCAAGAAAGACCCAAGGTGCTCTGTTGGAGAATGCATCGACTTCATAAGATACCGTATACCTGGGCCTATCAAAGCCAATCCAATATTTGAGACAATTCCAGTCACTGTACCAGATGGAATATATGGTTTGATGGCATGGTGTGTCGCCGGATCAACGAATGCAGGCCTCACGCTATCGACCCGAAAGGTCGGGTTTAGCTCTGATAGCGTTCCGAGAAGCTCCTCGGTCGTCCCTTTCACTCTCGCAAAGATCGGTGAGAATCGCCCCGGAGTTTGAGTGGCACCTTCACCCGATACATGGATGAATCGGAAGGGATGGTTTGATGGCTTGATTGTGGAAAACGCATTGGCAGCGGCAAGGGTATAATCCTTAGTTATCTTAACGTATTCCCTGTTAATTGTTAGTCTTCATGTCCATGTAATAAGGGGACTTATCGTACTCTTTGCTGACTTTGGTCTGGCTTATCCCCAGGGCCCAAACACATCCATCCGCATCTTTCAATCTATCGAGCAGCTCTGGCTTGTATGATTCAAAGTCTGTGTGGGTAATGATATGCACACGTGGGTCTTTTGCATCTTCTGCCATTTGCACGGGACTCCGGCTTAGGATGGAAATCTTGGACACTGCTGTGCTTTTGAGCATGGCGTCGAGCACCGAAGACCCGACTAGGCCAGTTGCCCCAGTAAGAATAAGATGCATTTTGGAAATTGAATTGCTTTGGATTGATGCAAAAGGAATGAAATCCAAAATATAACCTGGGAGCAATGTCTATTATATATCTTTTATTTACTCCATTCCCAATTCCTAAGTCCGCGAGGTGAGTAATACTTGTTGCTGATGCTGACAACGCACTAACCATTTAGGGTTAGTGAATCGGATATTAGTGGGTCTTCTCCCAGTGGTTTATTGGTTACCATGAATGACCGACTACTCTAACCCCATTTGGATGGAGATGTTTACTATCCTTAAGCAGCAACAGTTCAATATTATACTCTTATCTCCGTCCTCAGGGTCACAAAAGGTCGAGGGACTTAACACATACATAAAAAGCACGTGCAACGTTAAATTGGACACTCTCGCAAACCCTGCTATTCCCAAACTTCTGTGTCAATTTCCTCATAGTGTCATCAAAGCGTATATTTCCTTTGGGAAGTCTAACTAGTGTCGAAAGAGCGTGTCAAATTGGACAAAAGCACCTAGCCCCGGGGGTACAGATTATTGTTATCCCCTTTGCTAATTACAACCACTTGTCTTCGTCTAGCCCTATCGTTGACAAGTTCCCACGACTCCAGCATGATCTCGGGCGTGCTCCGAGCGATTTTGATTGTAATAACTATCTAGACTTCCCCCTTTGATTTCGCAACTAGAGCTGGGCATCGGCATCAACTTAAAGGGTGACTCTAAGAACACCGCCTCCACCACAAGCGAAGGCCATTCATTTGTACGGGTTCCAGGGAGTGTCTTTGGTAAAATCTGGCAGTCAGGCTGTTTAGCGGAACCGTTGCCAGCGATGCAAGCGGCTGATACACAGAATAGCCTATTTCACAAATAAATGAGGATAGAATCATATTTGAGAAAACTACTGAAAAGACAACTGAAAAGACATTACGAGGCCATATCAGCGGCCGACCAGTTTTGTCTCCACCGTTTGATGTTCAAGGATTGTTCTGCAAAGTTCAGAAGTTGCGCGTAACGATATATATGCCTGGGATAAGGTGAGATGGACTATAAACCATGGCAACATAGGCGAGATCCTTGTGTTATGGGAGCGACTTTAGACGCATCTTTCTTCGTATTCTTTTCTTCCTCGCTGTACATTTCTCATTGTGCATACCTATCTACCGGCAACTAGTGCGAGAAAAGATGATAAACCCTCGCTCCAAAGCGCGAATTTCGAAATATCAAACGACCTTGCAGCCCCGATGGTCAATGATAAGACACGGGCGAGATGGTTTGTGAACCAATTTATGGAGTATGCCGTTCACTGATAGCCGTGGGAGAAATGTCGAGGATAAGCTTCGCTTCGCTTTAAGACGAATACTGCTCACTGGGGATACATCTCTAGAGCGATCACCAGGGCTGAAATCTCGCGTACATAGCAGATGACTACTTCAGCCAACCTATCTACGCAAATGATCCCTAGCAAAGATGATTAGGGTTGAAACCCTTCAGCACTAACAGATTTCCCATACCACAGTGTCTATGTCCGATGTCCAACCTGCGACCTTTTTGGTGTGTCGCTAACCAATAGCTTGTATAAAATCTGTCGTGCCATAATCTCCAGAATAACTCTCATTGATTACTGAAATGTGCGAATTTGGGTGCTAATTAAGACAGCGTGGGCCATGCCTCGCAGACAGTGCTCCGACCAGAGCTCTCCGCGTGGGACTTGCCTACATTCTAGAGTAGAAGCTTACCTCCTTCGATATGCACTGGACAACACAATGAGCCTATCTATGCTGCGGGTTCGACCCAGTGCATCCCATGCCTCTAGGCTGAGATTCTGACTAACAATCAGCAATACCTACGTATCCCTCCGACCGTCAAATCAACCGCAAGTGATGTCTAATAGGGAATGGCTTCATGCCATCCAATGACGTCGCCTTAGACCATTGGAAGACGCTTTGCATCAACAATGCGGGCGCTTCTAGGCCTGTGTTCAACTAGACCCGGTGCGATATTATTGCCACCAACGTGCCACGATGCATAAGAGTATACGATACTAGCGCGCAAGGTCCTGACATCCAACTATATCATTTTCCTGCGTTCTCATGGCGTATACTTCCTGACCTCCCAAGAAGACATTGATTTGGCTTGCAATACAGCTGGGAACCTGTGATAGGATGTGAAGATGCGGAAGGCGTGCCGAGAGGGCTCGCTTTGCCTTCCCTTTTCGGACACAAAATGGTCTTTTCCTTCTTTTGGTCAATGTGCTCCGACTGTGAGAGTTTCTCAAATAATTGTTCTGAGGTGAGTATGAGGAAGATGGGTATAGTCTAGCATCCTAGAATATATGTACGCTTCCATTGCCTCTTATCACCGGGTTGGACATCTACTAAACAGAAAGGCGTAACTGTTGTGTAACCTTAGACAGGTGATGGAAATATGTTAGACTTAGATTGATAACGAATCGTCTTTTTTTTTTTACAAAAATGTTGAGTTTTACGGACTAGATGATTCTGAACTACAAAATAGGTAGGTTGTTAGACAGCCTTGTGTCTATATCCTATACGTAGTAGCTCGTTAATCTACTTCATACCATATTCATATTACACAGTACCATGGCAATATTCTGTGACTATTTCTATTCTTGCTTCAGATAATTGACGGGAGTCTCGTGTCACTTTATGACTTGAAAAGGGAAAAGAAGAAAAGTGGAAAATAGGGGGAAATGATAGGCCCGGAGCTCCGTGTAGAACAGGGGACATGTCAACCCAACAATATCGTATGTTTCTCTGTTAAATGGCTTCTTTCTGAGAACATTCCGGATCAACATTCCACTATTATCATTTCCACACATGAATCCTTATTGATTCTCAAGATCCCGAGACAATAATTGGAATCAGAGACATGAGAAATCTAATTAACAGAATTAAAATACAAACAATACTAAGCTCGGGCTATTTTTCGGAGTCCGGTTGACCATTGCTTCTCACAGTGACCAATGATCTCTCCAATTTCACACCCAGTTTCGGGATCAGGTACAAGAGTCGCGTGTCTGTATTTAGAAAAAAAACCCAGATGCGGAAATTTTTGTATGTTGTAAATCAAATCGCATTCGACTTAAAAAGCCCTACAACATAGAGGCTTTCTAGATTTCATCGCTGAATCTGTCGATCGCATTCCTGCCGAATTAGGAAATGATAGTCAATATGAGCCAACACACCACTAATGCCATGCACGTTGATGCATAAGGTCAGACGGAGTAGAGAACTTGAGCAATAAAAACAACATGAGGGGTGCCTAATTTGTCTACTGTTGTAATTAATTTGAGACTGCCGCCCTAGTTAGGTTACATCCAACACAGAAATTAGACTCTTGGTAACTTCTACTCGTCCCTGGGCTATACAGACACAGCCGCACACGACGGCTATGTCTCGGGTGTGCCTTGTGTGCCTTGTTATATCCACTGTTGGAGCCTATCATATCCCTGAATCCATCCAGCTAAAGTTCTCGGTGGCTGCAGGCTTGCCATAAACGCAACCATATTGTTCTTATCGTATTGTTCTCGGGGTAATGGCCCAATGTACCTACCTTCGTCTTATCATTTCCTCAATGGTCACCCGTCTCCGTAGTACATATATATTCCGTGACGGACCCGGCAGTGGAGACCGCAAACTGCTCTGTCTGTGTATCCCTGGATTTTGAGGAACTTTGAATCCACCGTCAGGATGTATTTTTCTACTGCGGTCCTGGCTGTGCTCTCTGGTACAGCTGCAGGGATTGCAACGTCGCAATTTAAACGCGATCTAAAACTTTCTGCTGAGCTGGGCGTTCATCCGGATATCCTACTGCGTTCAAAGACTTCAGTACATGCTGTTGCTGGCACTTGGCTTGATTGGGCCATTGAGCCGGAGTATATCTCGGTATGTGTGGTTTCTTATGTTGGGGATAAAATGCTGACAATTCGTAGCTCCCGATTGATCATAGCGACTCTTCGGTTGGTACTTACCAGAACCGTTATTGGGTATCCGAGCAGCATTACAAGAAGGGGGGACCGGTCTTTGTGTATGATGTTGGTGAGCAAGAGGCCGCGGCCTCAGCTCAATCCTCTCTCGGCAATTCGACTAGCTTCTTTTATCAGCTAATCGAGGAATTTGGTGGAATGGGTATCGTTTGGGAACACCGGTTTGTATCTTCCTAGCAAAAGGCCGGGTTCAACTAACACCAACTAGATACTACGGGAAATCCCTTCCTTACAATGTCAGCTTAGACGCAGAGCCTGAGCATTTCATGTATCTCAACAACAAGCAAGCTCTGGCAGACATACCATTCTTTGCGGCCAAGTTCACTCGTGAAAATTACAGTGATGTGAACCTGACCCCAAGCGCAACTCCATGGGTTATGGTCGGAGGCTCTTACGCCGGTATGCGATCTGCGTTCACCCGTCATTTGTATCCCGATACGATTTATGCTGCCTATGCTTCCTCCGCCCCTGTGGAAGCACGAATCGACATGAGTGTCTATTTCGACCAGGTGTACGATGGCATGGCAGCAAATGGGCACTTGAACTGTACTAGGGATATCAAGGCTGCACTGGAGTATATCGATGAGCAATTATCGAAGAGTGAATCCTCGGCGGCCATTAAGCGGCAGTTCCTCGGCGAAGGCGCCGAGAAAAACACCAATGGCGATTTCTCCTCCGCACTCCAGACAATCTACTGGCTATTCCAGTCGTATGGTCTCGGTGGTGGCACCGGCAGTTTAGACTCATTCTGTGCGCATATGGAGACCGACTCGGAGACTGGCGCACCGGCGCCCCCACAAGGATTTGCCCCAACCCGGGGCAAGAAATATGCCGCGCACCGATATGCATCATGGCCGGTTTTCACACAATTGGCCAATTCGTATTTCGACACCAACTGCAAACAACTTGAACCCAGCCAGCCGCTAGTCTGTGATCTGTCGGCCCCATCTAGCGACCCGGATACCATCAGTTGGACATGGCAATACTGCACCGAATGGGGATATTTCCAGACCAACAACTTTGGACCTCACTCCCTGTTGTCAAAATTCCAATCCCTTGAATATGCACAGGAATACTGCAACCGATACTTCCCAGCGGCTATCAAGAAGGGACTGTTCCCTGAACGTCCACAGGTTGAAGCGACCAATGCTGAGACTGGCGGATGGAGTATTCGTCCCTCTAACGTTTATTGGAGTGGTGGTCAATTTGATCCCTGGCGTACTTTGTCTCCCTTGGCGATGGGGACACGGTTAGCCCCGGAGGGAGTGAATTCCACAACGGATATCCCCAAATGCAATGTGGAGACGGATAAAAATACAGTATTTGGTTATACTATGGAGAATGCAGAGCACTGCTTTGATTTCCGTACTTCATTTGCACCTGGAGCGATTTCTCGAGGATATTTCACCAGCGCATTGAAAGAGTGGCTGAAATGTTTTGAAGCCAAGTGAATTTTTTTTTCATAGTTTGGCCCTATTCCCCTTTTGTATCAGCTTGCGATCCCACTTTCTTCACGTGGAATTCTACCGAGGTGGACATATTTTTCAAATTGAACATATTTAATTGGTACTTTCGCTCTTCTTATATATCAAAAGAAAACACAAATATGGTCAATTCTACTATCGTTGCAGTTGTGCTGTTGGCCTTCTTGGTGCGATACTTTGCACAACTACACCATCACCGTAAACAATCCAATGCTCTACACTGCAAACCACCTCGTTTGGGTTCCTCAACTTTCTTCGGTATTCCAGGTTTTATTCGATTAACCAAGGCTGTTCGTGAAAAACGTTGGATCGATCATCTCTACAACGAATATGCTGTCTATGGAAATACCTATCAACAGAGATTTCTCTCTCGAAATATAATAACCACTATTGAGCCTGAAAATATCAAGGCACTTCTCGCTACTCAATTCAAAGATTTTTCACTTGGAACAAGACATCAACAATTTTACCCATTGCTAGGTGATGGCATTTTCACACTCGATGGTGCTGGGTGGTCGCATGCACGGGGATTATTACGCCCACAGTTCACAAGGGAACAGGTAAAACATCAAATATTTTATATATATATATATATATATATATTGAAAATATATTAACAGTTATATATAGGTCGCTGATCTTTCTATGTTAGATGATCACATCTCCAATTTAATCGACTTAATTCCAAAAGACAGAAGCAGTTTTGATATTCAACGTTTATTTTTTTTACTGACTCTAGACTCCGCCACTCATTTCCTATTTGGGGAATCGGTCGGGTGTATGCTTCCACCTTCTGGGAAGACTGGCGTTTTAGAAAAATGTGCTGTCGGTAGTGCGCAGGGTTTTGCCAATGCCTTCGGAACTGCTCAAGATTATCTCGCTGCACGAAGTCGCGCCCAGGGTTTATATTGGGTTGTCAATCCCAAGGAATTCCGTGAGGCAAATCGACAGGTGCATGAAGTCGTTGATCACTATGTCAACCTCGCTTTAGAGTCAAAAGGCAAGAACCTCGATGGTCGCTACATATTCCTCGAAGCCCTAGCGGCAGATACAGATGACCCAAAGATCCTACGCGATAATATGCTCAATATTCTATTGGCCGGCCGCGATACCACGGCTAGTCTGTTGAGCTCAACGTTCTTCTACCTTTCCCGTCACCTTAATGTCTGGAACCGACTACGTCGTGAGATCGTTGATATCTTCGGAGATGCGAAAAACCCACGGTCGGAAATGACACAAACAAAGTTGAAGGATATTCCTTATCTGCGATATGTGTTGAATGAAGGTGAGTCGATGTCCAAATTGATACTATATACTCTAGATATCCAACTAACCCCAAAACCAGTCCTTCGCCTCCAACCCCCTGTGCCTATCAACTTTCGCGTTGCGACTAAAGATACCTCATTACCGGTCGGCGGTGGTCCAGACTGCCAATCCCCGGTCTATATCAAGGTTTGCCTCCAAGACCTCAATACTGAGAATTTCCCCCCGACTGACAAACCATCCAGAAAGGTACAATGGTTGCCTACAACGTCTTCGCTATGCATCGCCGAACCGACCTATGGGGTAAGGATGCCACCTCTTTCCGACCCGAGCGCTGGGAGGAAAATGCCAAACATGGATGGGAATACCTGCCTTTCAATGGTGGGCCGCGTATCTGCCTTGGTCGTAAGTTGTGTCTTTGTCCGGAATTGAAAATCACTCGGAGAATGATTTGCTAATCTACCACATAGAGCAATACGCTCTCACTGAGGCAAGCTATACCGTCGTTCGTCTGATGCAGCATTTCGATACCCTCGAAAACGCGGACCCCCATCCTCGACAGGAGCCTGTTAAGCTATCTAATCTTACGATGTCGCATGATCTCGGCGTGCCCATTCGTTTGTACTCTTCGGATAAGCCCTAGGTTCATGGTTTCTCTCATGATTGAATGTGTATATGGATATTCGAAGGGAAGCATACCCGCTTTTGATGCTTTGAGGATACGCTTGGTTGTGTGGATATTTAAGAAGCCATCTTTTATATTTTGTTCAATCGCTTCAACGTAGATTGTTCAAAAGGTAGTCCAATATGCCGTAACCTGTCATATCAAAACCCCATTACCAGATCTCGACTATCATGTCCCTCCTTGTGACCCGGAGCAAGTACCAGATCTAGAGCACCTACGCACAAGCTTAGCCTCATTAGAGCACGTATATGCAATCTAAAATCTGCCTTGCAGGCTGTGCGCGAGGCCCAAATACCAAAGCGGGGAGCTACCCTGATAGCGCACGGTGCCCATGTTAATGCAACAGCCATATTCTCTGCGATTGAATTGCACGAAATCATGATTCTGGAAACATTGGTGTCACGGGGCGATTACGCCTATCTCAGGCGATCTGTCGTAGTGACTCCTGGGCCAAGGAGGGGCTATGGGCCCGACATTCTTGATTCTGAGGTCGCACCTCTTCTCTTTGCCAGTGCCCCCTACGCTGCGATTCACCGAGTCTGACCTTAGCAAGCCATCCGTCCGTTCAAACAATTTGGACAAAGACGTACTCGGCGCCCCTATAATGAGATGCTGCTCAACCATGGCGCAGATCCATTTGCTACATATGTTGAGGAACTCTCACACTAGAGACCTATATGATCTGGATAGTCCTAGTATCTGGCACCCACAGATTGACTCCAAAGAAAGACTTTCATCCATGAGATTTCGAAATCCGGGCATATATTCGGTCTATTTTCTTCAACTACCGTCTTTCCAGCTTGAATGACGTGATTCAAGCGGTTGTACATTGCTTCTTGCAGCATCCCCGAGCGAGGTAACACTGAGAGGTAGATCAGCCATTACAAACCCGACTTTCCGAGAGCTTAGAGACCGTAGTGCCGATGTCATAGCACAGGACAATGATGGTAATACGATTCTCCATTATGTACGTCCTCCGAGGGTTACCTTCCGCTTTCTTGTTCCTTTGAGGGCTGACTCGGAGTGGCTCAAAACTTTGAAGGAAGTTATCCCAAGAAATCTTGGACTTCTCCGTCAGCGCGATCGAAAGGGCGAAACATTCTTTCACCGCGTCCTGCTTTTAGGAGGCTTCAATCTTATCGATGATCTCCTTGAAATGGGTGCTGATCCTCTCCGGCCGGACTCCAATGGAGATACGGCACTCCATTATTTGGCTAAGCATCTCAAAGAGAATCAGTCAAAAGCTCACTTCAAGCTATTCCTAGAATTGGACGTGGATATCAAATCTCGAAACTGCCAGGGCGACACACCTCTCTTCAAATATACAGAGAATAGTGTGAGAAGTCCTCCCCTGAGCAGTACTGAACGTTTTGAGCAGGAGGACGGCCGCACCGAAACCATCTTCGATCTTTTTGAAGAGTCTAGAGCTGATTTCTCTACGCAAGATAATGCAGGCTCCTCATTGCTCATTTACTGGCCTCTAAGGAGGAAGGTGGCGGGTATAGCACGGAAACCCCGTACAACGTGGTCTATCGCTTCAAGATTCTGATAAGCCGGGGACTTGATCCTATGATGGAGGATGCACGCCAAAGGACTAGTTTGGACGTTGCCACTGTCTATGGCAGTGAGCATATTATAAAATTTTTTGCACGAAATCCGATGGAGTAGGGATGGCCTAGGGAACCAACGCGTAAATGGAAAGACTAGTGGAGACTAAATCCTAATTATGTATATAAAAGGTGGTCTCTACGGTTCATCCTCTTTATCACTTTCCCGTGTAGGGTGATGATACTTCCAAGGTTGTCCCGTACATAGTATTATTATTCATTTACTCTTCTAGGTATCGGACAAGCACTACAACTAAAAAGACATCTGAAAAGGTATCGAAATGACTTATAGCAGACTGATAGAAAATCCTTAGAAATATTTCTTAACTTTTCTTCTATTTTACTGCTTTTGTGGGCGGAAAACCGAAATTGGAATCGGAACTGCCAGCTACTGACATAAATAGTCGCCATTCCATCCCCAGTGTCCTTTCTTCTTCCTTCACCTTTCATCAACTTGATCTTTTCACTACAGTTTCGCAAACTATCTTATCAAATCACTATCACATCAAATCACCTCATCGAATCGCCATCTCTGTATATCCAAAATTCATCATGTCGCATGACGAAACTGCATGGAGAACCATTCTAGCTCCAGACGATGCAGTGATCTTACAAGAATCCGGACTTATCAGCCCTCTTTTACCTGATGGCACGCGTCGAATCCACAAACGACGTTTGAATCGGTCTAGTGATGAGGAAGAAGAACATCTCTCGCTGTCCCCCTTTTCGCTGTCCTCCGTCTCACAGTCCCCCGTGTGGAGCACCTCAAGCTCTGAGTCATTCGTCAGTATTCCGGAACACCTTATCTCACTTGTCACCCTTGAGCATCTTGGATACAACTCACAAACTGCAACTCGCATTTGGGATCATTGGACCAGCTGGCCCCCTGGAGAACCAAAAAGAGAGTCTGATGATATCTACCATGGTGTACCATTCATCGACGTCGCTGAGGGCTACATTCGGAACTTCAGCGATACCTGCGAAGATAATGATGCCACATGGTTCCACTGTATGAACCAGTATGGAATCAATACCGAACTCCAACAAGCTATCATGGACCCAAAGTTTCGTCATATCCGCCTAATTGGAACTTGCAAGTTCTGGGTTCGGGACACTCTCAAGTTGCGATACCGTGGTTTACAAGCAATACAACAAACCTCTCGTGAACGTGACATGGCTAGTCGACGTGAAGCCCCCCGTCCTGGACTATCCCGCGGTTCCTGGCAACGATCAATCTCGGATTCTTTAAGGATGGTCCCTTGGTTGTCACACGAAACTGCTTTGTCACAAGCTGCAACAAATGCAGCTACAAATGCACCAGGCTATACGACTCTGTACAAGGGCATTGACCAAGCTCGTGTCAGTGGCCTCTTTGTCGACAATAGCAAAGTTCGCTTTGAATGCCTTACGTCTACCCCACCTTCTGATTTCTCGGGAAGACACGCAGATTCCTACTTCGCTGCTGATCGAGAAGTGGCCGAATACTATGCCTGTTATGTTAAACGCCGTAGCACCTGCAATGCAGTCGTTATCATCCACATCACCATCCCAAACTCTGTTATCGAGTCTCTTTCGCCAGACGATATCCAGATCTTACATGAGCCAGGTGCAGAGTGGAAATCGCTTGTCTTTTACAGCAGACTAGGGCTCAAGCTGCCATCCGAACTCCGCAAATACCAACTAGCCAAGCTTGTTATTGGCGCTATTTGTGGCAAACCGAACTTGGTTTTTGCCAATATGCGATCTCCGGATGAAGTCACGAAGCAAATGGTTCTCTAAACCCAAGATGGACGTAAGGCTGTTCAGTACGTCTTCAAAGGCGATGATGGTGAAACTTTGTTGGAGAAATCTAGCACCGTCACGGTCTTCCCTTTGACAACCTTGGAGTTTGAGACATGGCATTATGTCTAGTTGTTTTGCGGGGAATTATGATCCTCGTTTTGCTTCTCTTTGTGAAATCTATATGGTCGATATGTTAACTATCAATAATCAAGTCAATCCCCGGACATATTTGTCAGTTCTTATTAGTAAAGCTCTTAATCATTGTACAGGGATATATAGTCGGCCGCCTATGTGGCCTTGTGATGACTTTCAGATATTCCTCTTGAATGTCAATATGTTTCCCCTCCCGCTCTTCCCCTCCAAAATGCCGGTTTTGGATTATTCGACTTTTCGAACTTATTGGATTTCGTACGCTACCTCAATCGCTCTAGACTGAATTGTTTGCGGATGTGTCTCCAGCTCTATCCAGGCGTTTTTTTTTTCTATTCATCGGTATCTAGTTAACTAATTAGTCAGTCACCTTAACTAGTTAACTAACTAGTTAGTTAGTTGCTTGTTTGTAGCAAATCCAGGCACTCAGGCATCACAGTGCAAGTCCGGAGTTTCCCCGGAGTTTTACCGTTCGTTCACGGAAACTACCGAGTATACCCAGAGAGGAAATAAAACAACACATATTGATCCAGTTTGAACGAGATCCTTTTCCTATTGGACCCCGCCTTCATCTAATCTCGGTCAAATTCATTCTCGACATGCTCGATATATAAAAGTGTGTATATCCCGAGGAAATCACAGGGATTATCCAAGATCTACGTCATGAAGCTATCAGGTTCAGTCACCGTGGGTTTGGCGAGCTGCGCATTCGCCCATAAATCTCAAATTGACTACAACTCCGCTCCCCCAAACCTTTCTACCTTGTCAAATGCATCCCTTTTCGACACATGGAGACCCAAGGCCCATCTGCTCCCTCCATCTGGAAAGATAGGCGACCCTTGTGGTCATTACACCGATCCTAAGACTGGCCTCTTCCATGTGGGCTGGCTTCACAACGGAATTTCAGGAGCTACGACCGATGATCTTGCTACCTACAAAGATCTCAATCCCGATGGAGCCCCTTCGATCATTCCGGGAGGAAAGAACGACCCCCTTGCCGTTTTCGACGGTTCCGTCATTCCAAGTGGTATCAACGGGATGCCAACTCTTCTATATACTTCTGTATCATATCTCCCAATTCACTGGTCTATTCCCTACACCCGGGGAAGCGAGACCCAATCACTAGCCGTTTCCTATGATGGTGGACGCAATTTCACCAAACTTAACCAAGGCCCGATGATCCCCTCGCCTCCGTTTGCTGTTAATGTCACCGCTTTCCGTGACCCTTACGTTTTCCAGAGTCCAGCTCTGGACACAGCTGCCAACAGTACACAAGGAACTTGGTATACCGCCATCTCTGGCGGTGTCCACGATGTTGGACCTTGCCAGTTTCTCTACCGCCAACACGATGCGGATTTCCAATATTGGGAATATCTCGGGCAATGGTGGAATGAGCCCGCCAATACAACTTGGGGAACTGGTGACTGGGCCGGAGGTTGGGGATTCAACTTTGAGGTTGGCAACGTTTTCAGTCTGAACGCAGACGGGTACAGCGAGGACGGCGAAATCTTCATGACCCTCGGTACTGAGGGTTCCGAGCTCCCCATCGTTCCTCAAGTCTCTTCAATTCATGATATGCTGTGGGTGGCCGGAAAGGTCACAAATGATGGCTCGATCACCTTCAAGCCAACCATGGCGGGTGTGCTTGACTGGGGCCTGTCGGCGTACGCTGCTGCGGGTAAGGTTTTGCCAGCGAGCTCTCAGGCTGCTATAAAGAGCAGTGCACCCGATCGTTACATTACCTACATCTGGCTCACTGGAGATTTCTATGAGCTAGCGAAAGGATTCCCTACCGCTCAACAGAACTGGACAGGAACCCTCTTGCTCCCGCGGGAGCTCAATGTCCGCACTATCCCCAATGTGGTAGATAACAAACTTGCGCGTGAGTCGTTGTCATCGTGGCGTGTGGCCCGCAAGGGACATGGTCAAATTGACCTCGAGACTATGGGAATCTCAATTGCTAGAGAGACCTACAGCGCCCTGACGTCTGGATCGTCTTTTGTGGAGTCTGGTCGAACATTATCAAAGGCTGGATCGGTAACATTCAACACCTCACCCTCAACCAAGTTCTTCGTCCTCACAGCCAATGTCACTTTCCCGAAGTCTGCTCGTGATTCCGATATTCAAGCCGGTTTCCAGATATTGTCCTCCAATCTTGAATCCACAACTATCTACTATCAATTCTCCAACGAGTCCATCATCGTCGACCGTAGCAAGACAAGTGCTGCAGCGCAAACGACTGATGGAATTAGCAGTGACAATGAGGCAGGCCGTCTGCGGCTCTTTGACATCTTGCACAACGGACAAGAACAAATTGAGACATTGGAGCTCACCGTTGTGGTGGATAATGGAGTCCTAGAAGTATATGCCAATGGACGCTTTGCTCTAAGCACTTGGGCTCGGTAAGTTTATCTTATTTCTGACGTATTGGTCAACAGCTAACCGCATGAAGGTCATGGTACGCCAACTCGACTGAAATTAACTTCTTCCACAACGGCGTGGGAGAAGCGACATTTGGAGATGTGACGGTTTTTGAGGGACTGTACGATGCCTGGCCACAAAGGAAGTGAGTGAAAAGTCGTTCTTGATTGCTGTCAAGACTTTACTTCTTTCAAGAGGTTCTACTACAGTTTATGGATATGTACATGGCTGTACATAGGTGTAATAGCTTCAGTATTTGCCCGAAAGGTTGGGATAATTGTGTTGGGATATGTGTATTGAGCTTTGATCAGATGCGCTAATGCTTGCTTGTCAGGCGCCCTTTAGCTATTTAATTAATTAGTTAATTAATGCGTCTTGATAGTAAGCCCTGGTCTGGTATATTGACACAGAACGTACAATATTAGAACACGCCAGTTCAGAGCCCCAGAAAATTGCCCCAAGCATCCACATCGACAATGAATGAGAATCTATGTCTAATCTATGTTTCTATTGTACAGCATGATATATCCAAATTAAATTTGTTTGAGTCACAGTCAGCTCTAAGCAATATTGTCGCCTGTCCAGCACTGCTAATAGCTAACCTTCTATTAACTCTGTCCTTGGGAGAATAGCTTGTAGCAACGAATGCGACAACACAAACTCACCCTGCCACATATTACACGACAGCTCGAAGCTGTCTGTTCTGGGCCAGACGCGCAGCAGTCAAAAGGAAACCACCTAGTAGCAAAGATGCTCCTGAAAACATTGACAGGGCTAAATACCCATATTTCTCAACTAGAGCACCACTAATGGGCACATTTGCCATAGCACTGCGGTTCATGTCAGCATCTCACATTGTTCTTTCAATAAAGAGTCGACGTACGATAGAGCTGTGGAGCCTGTGACAGTGCCTATTGCCAAACCAAGTGTGGTAGAAGTAGCAACCTGGGCGGCGCAAGCTTGCTGGAGTGATAAAATGCCCTACAGATCTAGTTAGTATTCGAGGTATATTACCATTCGAGAATAACTCACTCCGGATGCGAAGCCGTATGCAGCGGACCAAATTATAAGACCGGCCACAGATGTTACCTTGGTCCAGCACAATGCAATAATCCCTGCGGAGATAGTGGCTATGATGCAGCAGTTGAATTTTCCATACTTATCAGCGATGACGCCAGGGAGCACTCGGCCAAAGAATGAAGCGCCATTCACAATTGAAACGGTATAGAATGCCAGGGATGTCGAGAATCCCTTCTCAACCGCATAAGAAGTCGTATAGAAGAAGGGCGAGAACATGCCAAAGTACGTGATGAACATGGCGAGACACAGCAGCTGAAGAGATGGCTTTCGTAAAAGAGCCAGGGCCTCTCCTTTGTGGTTCCGTCGTTCATCCTTTTCCTCGGTAATATTTTCGTCGCCTACCTGGTTTGAATTGCGACTCTCCACATTGGTTGTAGGTAGATCTGGGGATCTGGCAACTGCGCAAGAAAAGATGAAGCAAGGAATCATGACAAAACCGACAATTCTCATGGACCAGGAAAATCCGATGTTGGGATTATTGATCATTCTGTCGATTGCAATAGGCCAGATAACTCCGCCGAGCGACGAGCCCGCCAGAACAATGCCCATTGCCGCAGCACGCTTCACTTTGATATATTGTCCGACCAATGCGAGCATTGGCCATGTCACCAGACCCATAGAAATACCAAGCACGACCCCCTGAGCGAGTAGAAATTGATAGAATTCCTTACATAGTGAAGTCATCATAAGTGCAAAAACACACCCGAATGAGCCAACATATACCATGAACTATTCGAAATAACGATTAGTTTCTCGTCCAACGATACAGAGATAGTATCCTTACAGTTGGTCCAAAAGTATCAAGCATTGCTCCTGCCCCAACAGATATAGCAAACAAAAAGAATATTGATATAGCCCCAAGCCATGCGATGGTAGATGTGGAGCTTGAGGATAGCTGATTCTTTGTGTAGTATTCTTGGAAGATACCAAACGAGTTCATGAATCCCACAGTGCAAAAGGCACACGTAAAGGCCCCGAATATTACCAGCCATGCTCGGGTTCTAGAAAGGTTAGTGATCAGCTATATCGTAGCTAGAAGTATATTTCACGTACGTGTATTCAGTTGGGCTATCTTTCGGTGCCATTTTAGCCGGTCAATGGGAATCTCAAGTCTGAGGAATTTGCTTTTCTTTGAAGTAAAAGACAGTCAAAAGTCATGTTCTTTATAAGAAATCCGATTAATTCCATCAAGGTAAATAATCGCACTCGGAGTCTCCGAACTACAGTCCGGAGGAACAATCGCCGCATGTGGTTTAGCGTCACGGAGAATCCGCGGAATCTCCGGGCGAACAATCTACAGGTCTCCTGCGCAAGGCAAACGATGATGTTACAGCCTTTTTGCTTTCGCTATTTCGACTAGTTTTGAAAAATGTTTTTGGCAAAACTCACAAGATGAAACGACGACCCATATCAGGGGTCGCCACCCCAGGCTCGAAGAGACCTTCTCGACAAGATCCCGTTTCCTGCGAGTCCTGTCGAAAGAAGAAGCTGAAGTGTGACAGAGAGCTTCCGTGCAGTAGCTGCACTTCACGAAAACTGGAATGCAGCTATGGTGGTTACGGCTCGGGCACAACGACTGTGCACCCCATGAGCCAAACAGATCAGAGACCCATGTTGGACGATCGCGTGTCTGGGTCACCTCGAATCTTGCAGTGGACTCCACAGCAGGACACGGAAACACAGAGCTGCAACAGAAACGAGTCACTTTTAACGGCCGACTGGCTTGAGACAATTGTTATGGGACACCGCATCCCGAGCGCAGTCCCCGCCACGTTGAGGGCGGAGCTTGCCCAGCGCCGTGAACCCGAGCACTCGCCTACACAGCAAGACAACACACCTAGCGATCGATTCCCCGCGATACATGAACGGCTCGCTTCGCGAGAAAATCCATCGACTATCCATCTACCGTCGTACTTACCGTCCCTGGCAGAAGCTCTGGGTCTATTCCGGTATTATTGTAAATACCTTGACTTCCAGTATCATGTCATCATACCCAGTCGTGTCGAACAACAAATTGAGACAATTTACGACCGTATTGCGCGAAATGAGACTATCAATTTGGCCCATACTGCGCTACTGTTCAGTATCACTGCTGCCGCCTTGTATTACCAACTCCTGATAGAGTCACCTGAGCACGCGGAGCCATTCAGTCAGGAGAGCATATTTTTGGCAGGTGCGGCATTGATCCAGAGCAATTATATCCCTTATCCCAGTCTTGAAGGACTGCAAGCGACAATGATCATTGGTCATCATCTGTCCAATATGAACTTGCCCTCCTCCGTCAGTCCTTTATTCGTGCATAGGTCATTTTTGAGTCAAGCCACCGGTATGGGACTACATCTTGTGGACTCTCCTCGGGCTGTGGCTGAACGCTTGACCAATGGCTTTGATAAAACCAATATTGAACTCAAACGACGGTTGTGGTGGGACTTGGCAACATATGACTGGTACGTTGTGGGCCAGAGACCTTGCCGGTCCTATAACTGATGATATCCCAAGGTTAATAGGCTTTTTGAGTGGACCCCAGGAGTGGACGTACTCAATTCAACCTCAGCATATGGTTGTACAAGAGCCTCTCAATGTTGAGGATGAGGAAATTGACCATAGCGAGAACGGTGTTCCTCTGTCTATTCCAACAGCAATGTCATTCAGTCTATGTCGATTGAAGTTGGCTGTTGTGTGTCGCCAAATAGTGGACGAAATGTCATACTACCATTTCCATGCACAAGAGGTGCCCTATGAGAAGATACTCGGGCTCGATCAAAAGCTTCAAAAGATATACGCTGAAGTTCCCAGTTACTTTCGGTTTGATCAAGCCTCCCGTCGTGAGTACTCAACGCTTTATCGTGACCGACCAGCTCTTGCATGGCAGCGAGCTCTAGTACAACAGGGCTTCCATTCACGGCTATGTCGCTTGCATCGTCACTACCTCGTACGCGGAGCAAAGGATCCCAAATATTCCTATTCTCATGTCATATCTCTTCAATCTGCGCGCAAGGTACTTGAAATAAAACGCATTATGGATGAGGAAGAGCCTGTGTTCACACCGCATAGCTCGGTCATATGGGCAGTCATGCACCACGTTTTCATGGCGGCTGCCATTCTTCTGATAGATGTTTGTTTCAACTGGGATGACATTCTAGCTGAAAAGCGAAAAGAGGAAGTACTCGACGCTTGTCGGATGCTCAGCCGGGCGCAACAATCCTCGCCCACCGCCCGTGAGGGAATCAATGCTATGATGGGGATCTTGCGAAAGCATTGGAAACACGAAAAAGGACCGAGCTCCCGCGACTTACAGGAGTCTTTTGCCTCTTCAAATCCAAATGCCACAAGAGAAGGTGCTTCACGGCCGGATATCCCCACGCCTATTTCATTGTGTTCCAAGAGCATCATATTTCCTGCAGGGACTTCCAATGGTCAATCCACAGCATACCCTTCAGCAGATGGATTACATAGTCCACTACCACTTGAAGATATATGGGCGGAGATGCTAGAAACCAGCGGTAATGTTGAGCTGAATACACCAGACTGGACAGACTTGCTCACCGAGTTGACAAATGTTACTTTGCCAATCGACCTCGGGAGTGATATGGTAGGTTAGTTATGTAGACAATATGCGGTCGCTTATACAGTCTCTATATTTAAACGATATACGAGTCGAGTAATCTGACAATTCTAGATGTCCGTGTCTTTGTAGACGTCAACTGGTCTTTTTAATATCTTTCGATATCTCTTCTATAATGTCTTTCAAGATGTCTACAAATTTCTATTCACAATTGCCTTCGATGCACATTGTACTTGTTTTTACTTTATAATATCTGCACTATACAACATAGATACTTATTCAATCGATTATTATACAGTAAGTTACAAAATCAAGGCCAATTTCTCTGGCAATAAAAGTCAATAAGATCAAAATCCTGGTTGCCATGATACGCAGAAACCCCCTCTGTTTTGCCCCAAAATCAAAACAATCAATTTCCAAGACCATAACAATACAAACTTGAAGACACTTGTCCGACATCTCAAATCATACAGCAACTATGAAATCCGATATCCAATCAATCGTTGACCGCATCAAGACTGGAAAGGTCACGCGAATCGTTGTCTTGACTGGCGCTGGTATCAGCACTGGCGCTGGGATCCCAGATTTCAGATCTCCAAACACAGGGCTGTATGATAAACTTGCTCCATTGAGACTGCCTTATCCAGAGGCGATTTTTCACATCAATTATTTCTCCCACACACCTGAGCCATTCTACGCAATCGCCCAGGCACGTCACCCAGGAAATCTCAAACCGACAGTCACTCATGCATTCCTGGCACTGCTCGCGAAAAAGAATATCCTCCATTTTCTTTTCACTCAAAACATTGATGGGCTTGAGCATGATGCTGGTGTTCCACTTGAAAAGGTTCTCTGGGCTCATGGAAACTGGAAGAGTCAACATTGCTATAAGTGCAAGTCGCCATATCCCGACGACCTCATGAATAAAGCGATTCGAGAGGGCGAAGTGCCATATTGTCTTGAGACCGAATGCAGGGGTGCGGTGAAGCCAAATGTTGTATTCTTTGGACAATCTCTGCCGGCTGAATTTGAGGACAAGCAGAAAGTTGTCCTCGATGCAGACTTGATGCTTGTCATGGGCACTAGTTTGAAAGTGGCACCTTGCTCTAGACTACCAGGTATGGTAAAGGAGGGTGTTCCTCGGGTTTTGATCAACAATGAAAAAGCAGGAGATCTGGGTAATCGAGACGAAGATGTGTGCATCCTCGGGAGCTGTGACGACGGTGTTCGTCAATTAGCTGATGCACTTAGGTGGGGAGAGGACTTGAACAATCTTTGGGAGAAAGCGGTCGCTGCAAAGAAAGACGATGAAAGATTTGACGGTGGCCCAAGCCTAGATGAGTGCATTGAAAAATTGGCTAGTGGGATGAAGGAGAAGATGAAGGTGTCGGATGGGCACAAACGCATGTTGGAGAACCATCTGAGAACTAAATTTGAGATAGGGAAAAGTCCTATACACTCGTAGAATTCACATGCGTCGCTTGATTTCGCTCTAGATTATGCTAGCTTCTACTTGGATATTTCATTGGTCTAAAGAATGATGCCACCATGATGTGACATTTCCTCAAGGGTATATCTGCAACTTTTGACGTATCCACGACCAAATACCTTTCTCTTATCCAAATGTCATTTCTATCAGCTCATTATGCCTTACCATAAGAACGACCTCCCCTATATCCGCCGCTATATCACCACCCACAATACCGAGGGTGAATCAGTATTTCTCTCCCATGCACAAGTTCCCGACTACCTCCCGTCGACTCCAAGCGGGGATGATGGCGAGATTGCCCTGCTATACGCTACGACTAGTATGCCAGCCTCAGTTGGTTCTGAAGCGGATGTCGCCATGTACGACGAGTTCCTGCATCAACCTCCTGGAATCACAGTCGACGGCGGAACCGTTTTCCGTCTAATCGATCTCCGTCCTGGAAGGGCAACTCCAATGCATCGAACAGTGAGCGTCGACTATGGGGTCATAATCGAAGGGGAGGTTGATCTTGTACTGGACTCAGGTGCCAGTCGAAGTATGCATCGTGGCGATGTGAGTGTCCAAAGAGGTACTGCACATTCATTCCGGAACCGGAGTGACACAAAATGGTGCCGCATGCTGTTTGTCTATCTACCAATGGAAAAGTTGAATATCCAAGGGAAGGATCTGGAAGCTGAGGTATATGATGAGGGATTCGACAAACCGGAAGAAGAAAATGGCCACGGGGATTAAAATGAGGCTAGGTAAATAACAGCGAAGCCCTACTCTAGGGCTATTGATCAAGAAACGTCAGCATTCAAGACTATCCAGGTAGAAGTCTTCAGAGCTTGTTGCTAGAGCCTCGTAAAATTTCAGCCCCCATCTTACAAATCCCATGATTATCAATCTGAACAATGGGTCTAATCCATCATGTCAGCATATCTCTAGAGCAATTAGATATCTTCATCTCTGTCTTATTAAAGATATCTTCTCAATTGACAGGGTATATTAAGGGGGCAAATCCCCAACTTGCTTTCTCTTCTCTACTGTTCTGTTATTCACTCCTCGCTTTGAAGACACTCTCTCAACTCCTCCTGTCCAATATTCATTCCATATATTTACTTTTCTTGCAATGGACACTCCGATCCGCCGTGTTATTACAGGCCACGATGCTCAAGGAAAGGCTTATTTCGCTTCCGACGAAATTTTGACACCATACGATCCCACAACCGCTCCAGCATTCTCAACCCCGGGGCCTGACTCCGGGTTCGGGGTTATCCAAATTCATCGGTCGCGTGGCTTTCCAGTAGACAACACGCGCCAGCTCCCCGATCCGCATCAGACTCTTATCCCGCTGGCTGACACCAAGGGACCTTCCTGTCGCATCCTTGATCTACCCCCGGCAGATGCAGGGTGGTTCCATCGGACACTGAGCTTGGACTACGCTGTGATATTGTCTGGAACCGTCGGATTTATCACAGATGGAGGCGAAGAGAAGATCCTAAATCAGCACGATGTCATTGTCTGCCGCGGCGCAAACCACGAATGGGTGAATCGAGGGAAGGATGTTGCTCGGGTCTTTGTGGTGGTTATCCCTAGTAAGGAGATTGTGACAGAGGATGGAAAGAGGTTGGAAAAGACACCTGCAGGTGACATTTATGATCCCAAGGAAGAGGAAGATTGATCTAAGACGTGCAGACTTGGGATGTAGGATGTTCTGTCCTATACTTCTCGGAAAAGCGGAATATTCCGAGCGCTCGGAATGCGGAAGGGAACTTCCGACGGAATTAATTCCAGTTCCCCCCATTCCCCACGCCTTTTCTTCGACATTTCTATTTTTTCCGGTGCTTTAAAACATCCGTGACCTTAATTTCAAACATTCTACTTGTACTCTTATTCTACATATTTTTTCCCCTATATTGCATTATACTGTGCCAATTGCCGCACTTGCTGCATAGATATATTACCCCGCGTCGCTGATCGATAAGACGTGCAGGATGGATCGCAACCAATTCAAGACCGCGGCTCACTCTGCCATTGACGACAGTACGCATGGTCCTATCTTATACAATTATGGCCCTCAATTACATTCAATCTAACCAAGCTTTTGTGCAGTCGTCAAGTACTTCGACAGCGTGCCCGAGCATCGAGTCCTACCCGCCGTCGAGCCCGGTTACCTTCGCCCTCTGATCCCAGAGAACCCCCCTGATGAGCCAGAGGACTGGGCACAAATCCAGGAAGATGTCGATACCAAGATCAAACCCGGCTTGACCCACTGGCAGTCTCCGAATTTCATGGCATACTACCCCGCCTGCGTGACATATCCCAGCATTCTGGGTGAGATGTACTCCGCCACATTCACCGCTCCTGCTTTCAACTGGTTGTGCTCGCCAGCATGTACAGAGATGGAAACCATTGTTATGGACTGGGTCGCGAAAGCTCTGGCACTACCCGAATGTTTCCGGAGTACGTCAGAAACTCACGGCGGCGGTGTGATCCAGAACAGTGCGAGTGATGCTATTGCAACTATTATTGTCGCCGCACGAGAGAGGCGCGTGCGGGAGCTGCTGCTTGACGAAGGCCTTAAGGAAGGTACACCGGAGTACGAGGACCGCAAGTTCGATGTCCAAGCCAAGCTGGTCGCTATTGCCAGCGATCAAACCCACAGCAGTGCTGCTAAGGGTGCATTGATTGCGGGCACTCGCTTCCGTGGCGTGACCACACGGCTAGAGGATAACATGGAAATGACCGGACCTCGTCTCCGTGAGGTCCTTGAGAAGTGCGATAAGGACGGTCTTACCCCATACCACCTCACTATGACATTTGGTACAACAAATACCTGCAGCGTAGACCGCTTTGCAGAGCTCAAGGCAGTTCTGCAAGAAAAGCCGGCGTGGCAGCGTATTTGGGTGCATATTGATGCTGCCTATGCGGGTGCGTCGCTCGTTGCGGATGAATGGCAGTATATTGCGAAGGACTTTGCGGAGGGTGTTGACAGCTTCAACATGAACATGCACAAATGGTTGCTAGTCAACTTTGATGCTAGGTAAGCTCTTCGCCCATTATTTGTGAGCGAATTTGTACCTTTAGGCTAACATTCCCAAGCGTCCTCTTTGTCCGAAATCGCTTGGATCTGACGAACGCATTGGATATTACACCAACATATCTGCGCAATCCATACTCGGATATGGGAACCGTAATTGACTACCGGAACTGGTCTATTTCTCTCGGTCGCAGATTCCGCGCACTAAAGATTTGGTTTGTGATTCGGAGCTATGGTCTCAACGGCATGAAAGCGCACATCCGCAAGACGATCGGGTTCGGTGATCTCTTTGCTGGCTTGGTACGCGGTCGGCCCGATCTATTTGAGATTGTCACAAAGCCAGGCTTTGGCTTGACTGTTTTCCGCGCCAAGAATCCGGAGGCTGTACCCAATGGGGCATCTGATCGTGTGGCTAAAGATGAAGTTGCTAACGGTCTGACCAAGAAGATCTCCGAGTTGGTCAACGCAAGGGGCGAGATTTTCTTCACCTCTACAGTCGTTGATGGCGTCTGTGTTATGCGGTTGGTTAGTGCTAACCCTATGGCTGAAGAGAAGTATATTCGTAATGCCTTTGATGTTATCGTCCGTACAACGGAGGAGGTGGTGCAGGAGAAGAAGTGAATTTGAAGTGATGATGTAGAGTATATAGATATTTGGTACTTGATATCCCCTGTACATACATATCTAGGCGATATAATCAATTAGGTCAATGTTTATGAAATTGGTGCTCTCCACCCCATATTTCCATATATTGCTCCCCCACACTAATAACTGTGGATATAAATCTCTTGTCTCGCACCAACCCCAAACTAGATGCCCAGATTTGCCCCCACGCGGGGGTGAGCACTACTATAACAACTTCGTTCCTGGCAAAAACTTGTCATTCATTTTACCCCTCCAACTAGACCCCTATACTCAATAAGAAGAATGTCTTCTCAAAAGCCCTCGTAAGTTGGTATATCCCTAACTACCTGATCAATGCTCATGATCACAGGTACATCCTGGTCACTGGGGCCACGGGATTCATTGGCGCTCATGTCGTCGACAACCTCCTAGCTCGCGGATTCTCAGTCCGCGGCTCAACAAGATCAAAGCAAAAGGGAGAGCAGATGAAGGCTGCACGTCCGCAGTACGTTTCAAAGCTTGATTTCGTTGTTGTGGAAGACTTCACCCAGATTGGTGTTTTCGATTCCGTGATGGACGGCATTGACGCAGTCATCCATGTCGCGAGCGTGAGCAATTCATAATTCTTCTCTTACGACAAACTCGAACATGCTGACATATCTCACAGCCCTTCTTCTACGACACCACCAACAATGAGCAGGAATTGATTTTGCCCGCTATAAACGGAGTCAAATCGATTCTTTCCGCATCCGCCCAGCCAGAATCAAAAGTCCAGCGTGTTGTCATGACATCCTCCTTCGCCTCAGTGATCAACCCGAACAGCACTCCAGAGCCAGGATTCACATATACAGCCGCGAACTGGAACCCGCTTACATACGAGGAAGCAATTGACCCGAAATCCGACTCTGTCACCGCATACCGCGGCTCTAAGAAGTTCGCCGAGGTCACAGCATGGGAGTTTGTTAAGGAGCATAAGACCAAATTCGATCTGGTGACTCTCTGTCCTCCCATGGTTTTCGGTCCGGTTGTACACCCCGTGCCGACGGTGCAGCAGCTGAACGAGTCAAACATGGTCCTCTGGAGTGTGGCCTCAGGTGCAGATCCACTTCCTGTAACGCGGGTTCCCGGATGGATTGATGCTCGCGACCTTGCTGAGGTTCATGTTCAGGCTTTGCTTACCCCCGAAGCCGGTGGCAAGCGATTTGTGGCTGTTTCGCCAGAGCCGTTCTCATACGGATATGCTGCGGATATTATTCGCGATGAATTTGACTGGGCAAAGGAGACTGTGACTACGAATTATAAGATGGGTGAGAAACCGACTGGCTCTTATGGGATTGATGGGGAGACTGTAGCTCGGGAGTTGGGGGTGACATATCGGCCCTTCAAGGAGACTGTGATTGATCTGGTTGGGCAGATTCGAAAACTTGTGTAATATACATGTGAGATCATATAATTATATACAATATTTAAGCGCTCAGCCCTATGCACCTAAGGTTTGAAGATTAGGTTAGTATCCGAGCTGTTAAGGCCCCGCTTATATTTTACCCGTGTGCAATGACCTTTGGAAGTGTTGACTTGGCCATTTTATTTGACTTGGCTTTTTCGGATAGCTGAACTCGCATAATATACCACCGTTGAATCTGCATGCAGTCCTCCCTATGCATTGTCAAGGTTTTTTCAACTTGTGGCTTAGTAACAATATTTGACTATTCCATTTAGAAGGAGAGATTTGGTGGTTGTTAAGGGGTAAATCAAATAGATTAATAAAAAAAAACCTATACTGAATGCATTCTCGCAAACAGTAAGATACACAAATGCACTGATGGTAACGGGTTCAATTTTTCGGTTTGTTGAGACAGCCTTGAGTCTTTTTATCCCAAGCGAATGGAACCTTTACTCATCTCTATGTTGTAGTATTTATATTGTACTATGTATGTCCCTTCCTCTCTATCTAGCATAGTTCAATCCGTGGGGTTTTGTCCCTCTTGTCTTCTGTTTTGAGCACGCGCGGAGATACCTAAATAGGTACTCCGTATATGAGCGATTAAACGAACCAGCCTGGAGCCCCAGTTTTCTGTTTTATGTCATCAATAATGGCCCCCGCAGCCTTGAAGGGCTGAGCCCCTTTTCCACGCGTAATCGTATCTTTTGTCAGCCCGCTAATCTCAGCGGGGATACGGGTACGGAGTACAGAGAAAGATCAATTGGCTTTTCTCCACACAAAATCTGTCATTATTCTTCCAGTACTCCGTAATGGAGGTTAAGTAAGTCATTGAATTTCCTAGTGGGGGTAGAATATGAATTTGTTGTCCAGTTGATATCAGGATGAAAATAATGTGCTTCGTACCCGCACACACCCCTTTTTATTTGCGGCACCTTAAGCTCCTTTCGGATTAGACCCCACTTCCACGTGATTGCATATCTTCTAGCATAAAGTGGGGCTCTAAGGGTCACCGCCCTCTGATTACGTTGGTACTGCCAGTCTTAAAATAGCATAACTATCAAATATCTTCTACAACATACAGAGTACACAGTATCAAATTCACAATTAATATTAGGGGGAGGGGGAAAAAAAAGGGCAAACTCAGATATGATCGTCATTTATATACATATAATTTATTAATAGTTTTTGTGAGAAATATCTCCAATATTCCGCCGATCAGAAAATACACTAGTATATCTATGGTAGGCGGTAATTAGACATAATAGTCCCCACCTAATCCACAATGAGCTGTATAAAGGGAAAATTATATCGAATTATAATAGTAGCCAAGAGCCACTAAGTCAAAACTGGTTTAAACAGGTGTGCCACTAAGAAAAAGGGGTTGTGCCGCGATCATCTCGCGTGTCGATAATCAATTCCCGCAACCCCCAATGCAACACGCTCATTTTCAAACCTCTCGTTTTCAGATTCAGATGGCCAGTCTGTCAATTTTGGCATTTATATAGTGGTTTCGATCTTTTTCTTTTTTTTTCTTTTTTTAGGGGCTTTTTCATGATGACCACAGTGCATGGTTCAAACGATAATAACCTGCATGACATCAATCCTTTCGCTGAAAGCTCCAGTGACGAGCATGCCGCCCTGAACACTTCCTTTGAATCTGACCCTAGGTCTAGTGGTTCCTATCCTTGTCAATATGAAATGAGCAGTGAGTCCTGTACCATTCAATGCCTCTGGATAAAGCTGATATCAATTTCTTATCGTTATCAAGGACAAGCCGAGCTGGCCTCCACGAACTCAGGCTCAGACAAGAGCGCCATCTTTCATAAAGTGAAAAACTTTCTTCGAAAAGACAAAGCCCAGACTCCCAATGACGACAGTTTATCTGGTTGGCCCCACCATGGCAGACCCTGCAGTTCGATATCCATATTCAAACAACGAACGAAACGGATTCTCAACCCTAGAATCATCTTCTCCGGTGCATTTGCCGCATCGGCAATCATTATTTCCAATACCCAAAGCCCGGCGCTTGTAATATTCATATGGAACCTCCTTGCTATTGTGCCGCTGTCGATCACGCTCACAGAAGCCACTGAGAGGATCTCCAAGGATTTGGGTGAGACCGCTGGCGCTCTCCTCAACATCACCATAGGGAATCTAGCAGAGCTTATTATTTTGTGAGTCTAAATCTTGGAAGTCCCATCGTTTTCAATTATATACTGACCAGCATATAGCGTGTAAATTTCCATATAGCGCCAACTATCTTGGAGTCGAAGCTAATCTTCTACAGCACTGCTTTGTTGAAAAACAACATTAAAGTAGTTCAATCGTCACTCCTTGGCTCGATCCTTGTGAACCTCCTGCTCGTCCTTGGGTCTGCAATCATAGCAGGCTGTATCTCGAAGAGTGATGTAACGTATAATACTGATCTCACACACTCATTTGTGGGACTTCTCAATCTCACCATCTCTTGCCTTATGATTCCAGTAAGGCGATCCTTCAAGTGTCCTAATTACATTGGATGCTAATCTTGGACATAGACCGCTTTCTATGGCAGCGTGAAGAGCGTTACTTCTGCTGATCATATGTCATTATCCTTCAGCAGGGGGGTTTCCATCATCCTCCTTGCCACATACTTCTTATACCTTTTCTTCCAGTTTAAATCGCATGCTCACTTGTTCCTCTCTACGCGGCTCCAAGTGCCACAATCAACCGATGATCATGACTATACAGACCTCGAATCCCATCCCACCGAGCTCGCAAGAGCAACAAGCAGAGACCTTGCCCATCTAGAGATGCAGGAAGTGCGATCACGGTCTTGTTCAGTCGACGCGCAGACAGCATCAGCAATGCCACTGTTTCACAACGAGCCATCCCAAGGAAGAACAAGCCTCAACGGACAAACGGAACCACCTATCGGAGACTCTCTCGGATGTTCCTGCGAACGCTATGCTATTCTATCCAACCGAATGATATCCGTAACACTCCTCGCCCTATCAACAATTCTCATCGCTATCTGCGCCGAATTCTTCGCCTCAAGCTTCTCAACACTCAATGAACAGGGCGTCCTCGGTGAATCATTCGTCGGTTTAATCGTCATCCCCATCGCCGGAAATGTTGCCGAGAATGTTACAGCGATTGTTGTGGCCTCCAAAAACCAAATGGATCTTGCTATCAGTGTTGCTCTTGGGTCAGCCATTCAAATTGGTCTTTTGGTTTCACCAGCAATGGTTGTTATTGGCTGGGCTCTCGACAAGCCCATGACCTTGCACTTTGACAAGTTCGAGATGGTCACATTGATTGGTGCTGTTCTTATGGTCGATTTCATCGTCCTCAAAGGAAAGACCAATTATATGGAGGGGGCTATTTTATGTGCTTGCTTTGCAGCTATCTCGTATGTGCACTCTATCTATTCGTTGACGCGATTTCTAACTCGATACAGTGTTGGCGCATTCTTGTTGCCACTCGCTTGAGATGTGTATCTCTCAAGGGTGCTGATCCGTGGACGGTAGGACGATCTGTTCAAACATGAGATTGTCAATTCTTGCTGTCCATCGATCTGTTAATATTCAATGTAAATAGGAATTGTAGATATAACTGAAATCAAAATCCATTTCTTCGGATTAACCGCATTCCTATTCTGGAAATCCAAGCCGACGCCACCCGTTGAACAAGAAACGCCATTCGGGAAGTGGATCTCAATTTATGAAACATCACCTTTATTCAATATCTCTAACTTCTCACCTTGGAAACATAGGTCGTTTTAGATTGTCCAAACTGTCGCACGACCCTCGCCAAGTGAATTCGAAACAAGACTGTAATATGAGAATTCTTTCAGTTTACCCCGTGTTTCCATATGATTCAGTTAAAATTATATTGGTAACAGATTCGGTGGATAGCTTCTATAGGTCTTCCAGGTCATCGCAATGGTACATGATATCTCCGTGTCGAGCTCACTTAATCCAATACAACATACTGGGCAAACATATTGCTTCGATATTCCACTAATACGGGCCTAGGCATATGTGCCGTCCTTATTTGCCGAACCCACTCGAGGGGCTTGCTTCATTAACTTTCGATACACTGTTGGAAAGAAATATTTTTGACCCAAAGCAAGTTCATGAACACTTAGATTAATTTTCGGACCCGGTTTGAGATCAAAATGTTGACATCTTCACTGCTTTTGCTTGCCTCATTCGGCTTCGTCCAGTCCGCTACCTTGGAGGAACTCTATCTCCAAAATGCACCGTCCTCTCCACGCCCCTATGTCATTCCACATTACGCAAATTCGCATGCCGTCACCGTTGGGGATCAGCTGTACCGCTTCACAGTGACTGGCCCTTCATCGGAGAATGCGTTCACTCTGATGAGCACCAACGCGCCTTTCAGCGGAGCGCTCGGCGTGTTGCCCCACATACATCAGAAACATTCTGAGAATTTCTTCAGTTTCAAGGGTCGATTCCAGCTCTGGGCACAGAAAGGCAAAGAAGAGCAGCAAGCCCGCCTGTTAACACAGGGTGATTATGCGTCGGTCACTAGAAATACGACCCACACCTTCCAGATTTTGGACCCTGATACCGAGATGATTGGGATCGTTGTTCCTGGTGGCTTTGAGTAAATCTTGCATGTAACGAACTCGCTGAAACTTGACTAACCTGAGAAGGGAACTCTTTTATGCGATCGGAACCAACTACTCCTCAGCCACTGATACCCCATTCGTGCCCGCGGTGTCCAACAGCTCGACACCCGACCCTGGCATGATGCCCGCTTTGGAGAAGTTCGATGTCTACGCCCAGCTTGGCTTTGAGCCCCGTCGTGATCTGGTCAACGGCACCGCTCCCATTGACTCTAAGTGGCACACGGACGATAATGCTCTCCTTGGCTCTGGTAAGCCATACTTCGTTGCAAATGGATACGGTCCCAAGTACCTCAGCTCCAAGTACGGGTACCAGGTCATCCAGCCTCTAGTCACTCAGCAGTCCCAGGACGCCGACTACACTCTTTCAACCATCTCACTCAGCCGGCAGACCAAGGATAATGCGCCCACATATATCTTGTCTGGAGCTGCTGCTTTCGAGGTCCTGGAAGGTGTGCTCATGATCCAGATCGGGGACTACCCTGTGGCGACCTTGTACACTGGCGACGTGGCTTTCATTCCGGTTGGTGTGGCTTTTACTTATTACACCGAGGTGGCCTTCTCCAAAGTGCTGTATGTTAGCAGTGGTGACAATGGCGTGGATTCACAGCTGATTAGGGGTGGAAAGAGGTGGAAGTTTACTACTTTCCCGAGATACTGATGCACCTGTTTTATTTATTTTTATATACTTATAATTTAGGGTTTTATAGAATGTAGACCTGTTGTCTAACGAAGATGTCCTCTTATGCATTTCTTTTACATTGCGTCTGACTAGTGTGACTCACCCGGGAATGTTATAAACTTGACTTAGCGTTGTTCACCCCCACTGTACTCCTTACCCCTCAACCAATTCAACCCAAAATGTCTACAACCCCTTTGGTCTTAGAAATTGCGACTCTCGATGACCTCCCTGCTATTACAGAGCTATGGTTCACCGTGTTCAGCGATCCTGGTATGCGCAAGCTAGTCCCAGACACACCAGGAACGCGTGAGTGGTTCACTGAAGCCAACCGGGTCGACATGCTCACAAAGCCGTACCAAAAGTACATCAAAATCATCGACCCCAATACCAAAGATGCGCAAGGGCAGGCACGGATAGCCGCGTATGCGAAATGGGACCTAGCCATGCTCGACGAGCGTGGGCCTCGGTTCCCGCCTTGGCACGGGGACATGCCTAGGCAAGATTGTGATACTTTCTTTGGGGGTTTGGACCAAGAGCGTAAACGTGTGATGGGTGATCGGAAGCATTATTGTGAGTTAGATTTAGCCGCTCACTATGTGACTGTACCTTTGTTGACGCCCTAAATAGACCTTGATATGCTCGGTACACATCCCGATTACCGCTGTCGTGGGGCTGGCTCTATGCTTGTTCGCTGGGGTTGCGAAATTGCGGATCGTGAGGGTGTTGGGGCATATATCGATGCTAGTAAAGCTGGTATGCCGTTATATGCGAAACATGGGTTTGTGGATCGCAGTGACCCCACTAAACCAAGTGAAGTGTTCTCGATGGCTAGAGAATAGATTGTGGAATATACTCCGAAAGGTATAATATAAACCGGCTAACAACATACATACTCCATGGAGTTGCTGTTTGAGTTATATAGACTAAAAGGAGTAGTCAAAATGAGACATTGAGTACCTCCAATCATATGGATGTCGTTTTCGCGTCTAATGCCGATATTCTATTCAATAGATTTTGAAAACAAAGTACTATGTACTGAGTACTCTCAATTAAGAAAAAATATTTTTAAAAAAAAAAACAATATCCCAACCTCCCTCACCATGGGCATCCGTATGTACTCCGTCACCGGCCGAAAGATATCACACATATCACATTAAAAATAGTAAACTTCACTGCCAAGATGACAAAACGATTTTCATCTCCTTCCAAGGAGGGCGAAGTTACAGTTTTTTTGGTTTTTTTTCCCTCGCCAAGCATCTGAGATCGTCATATCTCCCCGAATTCAGCAATAAGCCACAACATATTGGTAATATCTCTCTGCAGCGTAAGCACCTGGGCACATCTAAAATTAACTAATGTATTCGGAGAACAGAAGTTCTTGGCTATCACCAACACAAACGGCTTATCACGGATGATCCCAACTGCATTACCGAGTCTAAAAATGGTAGAGATGTGCGTAGACAGGGATTAGGTGCAGAAGTTGGCCTTGGTAAGCTGCGCCTAATCCCTAATTTACCAGCTCCCCCAATTTTAAGGAATACAATAGTACTCTATAGAATGGAAAGATTCAGCATGAGACATTATACGCTAGGGAGATTCCCCTACATCAACATTCTAAGAGAATGTCCAATTCGGCCAATTACCAAGCATCGTGGCCTCGACCATCGGCTGTGACGCTTCAACGCCAAGACCATCCCCCCCCCCCTGCACTCCCTTCACTTCAACTTCGTTCACTGATTATTCATTTTCATGTCAGCTTCCAAGGTTTTATGTTGTACATCTTTTACTCTATCTAGTACATTGATGCCTATACATATTCCCATTAAGGCGAGCTAACGGTTTCGGAGTAAGAATATGTCTCTCTTCTCCAACACGCTCTCTCCATATGGAAGACTGGCGATCAACTCGCCCCACTATATGTGCAAGTGATACAAATCTCATCACACTGGTCTCGGCCGTTGTGCTGAAATAATCAAGTTGCTGACCTGTGGACCCCTGATAGTGCCTGGATTATCTTATGGAGCTCCCCATTAGCTACGCATAGAAAGTTTTAATTTCCTGTATAAAGTCCCGCCTCGGACCTTTTTAGTCTTTCTTTTGAAGTTTGAACCTTTGGCAACTTCGGGTCTTTCTATAGTTATTTTAACTACAATGCACGTAATTGCCCTAGTTACGAGCCTTGTGGGCATTGCCAATGCTGCCTGTCCTTATATGACTGGCGAGGCTGGCAATCCTCATATCGAGCGTCGAGCTGACGGAGATGCTGCTGCCAACACGGAAGAATTTCTCTCCCAGTTCTACCTCAAGGACCAAGATGTCTATCTGACCTCAGACGTCGGTGGACCGATTGAGGATCAAAACAGTCTCAGCGCAGGAGAGCGTGGAGCTACCCTACTGGAGGATTTCATTTTCCGTCAGAAGATTCAACGCTTCGATCATGAACGAGTAAGTTTTCCCCTATTCTATCTCAAGTTTCAAAGGCTCATAGATGTATTTTTTAAGGTACCGGAACGCGCCGTTCACGCTCGAGGTGCTGGCGCCCACGGAACATTCACTTCATATGGCGATTGGTCCAACATAACTGCTGCATCTTTCCTTTCCGCCAAAGGCAAACAAACTCCAATGTTCACGCGCTTTTCGACCGTTGCTGGTAGTCGCGGAAGCGCCGATACCGCGCGTGATGTTCACGGCTTTGCGACTCGCTTCTATACCGATGAAGGAAACTTCGGTATGACAGATCAGTTTTGACAAAGGATATGACTAACTTGGAGATAGATATTGTTGGAAATAACGTCCCTGTTTTCTTCATTCAGGATGCCATCTTGTTCCCGGATCTCATTCACGCCGTCAAGCCCCGTGGTGACAATGAGATCCCCCAGGCTGCTAGCGCGCATGACTCGGCTTGGGACTTCTTCAGTCAGCAGCCTAGCACACTTCATACTCTTCTTTGGGCAATGGCTGGCCATGGTATTCCTCGGTCATTCCGTCATGTTGATGGATTTGGTGTGCACACCTTCCGTCTGGTTACTGACGATGGAAAGACCAAGCTTGTCAAGTTCCACTGGAAGGGATTGCAAGGCAAGGCTAGCTTTGTGTGGGAGGAAGCTCAGCAGACCGCTGGTAAAAATGCGGACTTCATGCGTCAGGATCTTTTCGAATCCATTGAGGCTGGACGTTTCCCCGAATGGGAGGTAAGTAATAACCTCAACAGATTCATCACAATTACTAATTTGTTTAGCTTGGTGTTCAAATCATGGAGGAAGAGGATCAACTTCGATTTGGATTTGATCTTTTGGATCCTACCAAGATTGTCCCCGAGGAACTTGTTCCTGTTACGAAGCTGGGCAAGATGCAATTGAACCGGAACCCTAGGAACTACTTCGCTGAAACCGAGCAAGTCATGGTATGTCTCAACCTATTATCACCAACGAGTAATATTAATTTATTCAGTTTCAACCGGGTCATATTGTCCGCGGGGTTGACTTCACTGAGGATCCCCTCCTCCAGGGCCGTCTCTTCTCCTATCTAGACACCCAACTCAACCGTCACGGTGGTCCCAACTTCGAACAGCTCCCTATCAACCGTCCCCGCGCACCAATTCACAACAACAACCGCGATGGAGCAGGTATTTGCCCCAAATCCCAGCCCCATTCACAAATCTCCTTTCTAACAAACCCAGGCCAAATGTTCATTCCCCTAAACCCAAATGCCTACTCCCCCAACACGGAAAACAAAGGCTCCCCAAAACAAGCCAACCAAACCGTTGGTAAGGGCTTCTTCACAGCCCCAGATCGCTCAACAAGCGGCAAACTCCAACGCACCCTCAGCACAACCTTCGAAGACGCCTGGTCTCAGCCACGACTATTCTGGAACTCACTCGTAGCCGCTGAGCAGCAATTCATCGTCGACGCAATGCGATTCGAGACCTCCAACGTGAAGAGCAGCGTCGTCCGCAACAACGTAATCATCCAACTCAACCGCATTAGCAACGATCTCGCCACGCGTGTCGCAAAGGCCATTGGCATCAACGCACCAAAGCCAGACGACTCTTACTACCACGACAACAAGACCGCGCACATCGGTGCATTCGGACAGAAACTCACCAAGTTGGATGGTTTGAAGGTTGGACTTCTTGCATCTGTGGACAACCCTGCATCTATTGCACAGGGCGCGAAGTTGCAGTCTGCTCTTTCTGACGCGGGTGTTGATGTCGTTGTTGTTGCGGAGAGGTTCGCAGATAAGGTTGATCAGACTTATTCTGCGTCTGACGCGGTGCAGTTTGATGCTGTTGTTATCGCCGATGGTGCGGAGGGTCTGTTTGGATCCAAGTCTTTCACTAGCTTGCCTACCAAGGGTTCCGGTGCCTCAACTCTGTATCCCGCTGGTCGGCCTTTGGATATTCTGCTCGATGCTTTCCGGTTCGGAAAGACTGTTGGTGCACTAGGCAAGGGCTCTGAAGCTCTGAAGTCTGGGCTCATTTCTTCAGACCGTGAGGGTGTGTATACTGCTGGCAGCCCTGAGGATGCCTTTATCAAGGATATTAAGGATGGACTTCGGACATTCAAGTTCTTGGATCGGTTTGCCATTGATGAGTAAGGCAGTTTGCCATTGATGAGTAGGGGATGTCGGTTATGACTGTATGTATTGGATATATCAAATTTAAATAGGTGCGATTCTGTTCAACTTGTCTCGATTCGCAACTAGAGTTCACACTTTGGAGTACATATTATATCTAGCTTTCTGCTTAATAAATTTGTATTGTGAGTGAAGTGCCGACAGAGCACCAATCAGAAATGAAGACTATTTACAAGAGAGTCTCTTGGCTGAATTCACTGGGAAACCCCCAGGTGAACTACAGGGTAATCAGCCTCTAGAACAGAAACTATCCACGCCGACGCATAAAGACATCTGTATCCGATAGCACCGCTGCTGCACGCATGCTAATCTTCTTATTGGCAGATCTGCGGCCTGAGGGTGTGCGTGTCTTTTCTTGCCCGAGAATAGCCCACTCAGCAACAGTCGCGCCGGTTCCATTTTTGGCCTCCACATCAACAGGATCAAGCGCTTGGTTCCCCACGATCAGCAGAGATGCATAGCGCGCGGCTGGCACAGGTGATGATAAAGTCACATTTGTCGTGTTTCCGGTAGGGATGGCAATGATGTCAAGATTTGTGGTCTCATGATCGTATGGATTCGATTGGATGATGTTTGTCATGCTGTGGACAACTTTGTAGTCCGAGCTTGGGGCGGACAGCGCCATTGCAGGATCTTCCAATGTCTTATTGTGGAAGATCACTGTGGCATTGACTGGCGGCGCATGCGCCCAATCGAAGTAGAAGCCTGATACCATAGCGCCGGCCTCATGTTCGAGGGAGACTGTCACAGAGTTGACCTCGGCCGCAAGTGAGGGCTGCCATTTTGTCGACGCTGCACCATCTACTGCGGAAATGGGGAATTGTCCAGGTTCGAATGCATCTGAAGAAGAAACAGCCTGGCATTGTACGAGATTGCCTGCCACAGTGTTTTTTGAACCAATCTGTCGGTTAGGAATCACAACGGAACCCTTGACAGGGAGATAATAAACGGTGGTATCGTCTTCTGGGCCAGAGTGAATGGTGATTGTTTTGTTGGCAAATCGCTGGTCGGCAGTCTCCAGCTGGACGGTCTCTGTAGCATGGCTGATGGTTGTGTGTGTGTAGTTTGACCACGCCGAGATGGGCCATCCCCGCCAGTAGAAGGTACGATACTTCAGGTATGGAATCTGCGGAGGCAAATTTGGATCCACATGAAGGATTTCATCTGGTACCAGCCGCAGTCCAAGATACCCATATATGGCAACCTGGTTGGAGCCGCCATGGCCAGTCAAGAATGGATACGCCGGGTGCGTGCCTCCATTAATGGTAGCGTTATCCACCATCTGCTCGGACAGTTGGAAGAATGGCGCACGGGTATAAGGCTTATAGGAGTACTGCCCATATGTGTATGCTGAGCATCCAGAAGGCGACACTTCGTTTGCGACGACGGAAAAGATAGCCCATGTCATCGCAGGGCCATCAGGAGATTGTTTGCCTGCGTACTAGATTTAGTTAGTTTTGACATTTTTCTTTTGCTGACAGTCAAATACTCACATAGTCCAGATCATTCAGCGAATTCTGGCTGGTGTAGTTGGCAGTGTACCCCAGGGGATAGGTGACCATAACCACATCAGCTTGCTTGACCACAGCGCTTCCATTCATGGTAGTGAACTCAAGTGTGACCTCGTTTTCACGAAGAACCAAGACATTGTCTGCCATCTGTTCCCAGGTAGCATTTTCTTCGAGTCCAAATTGCTGACGGAAGACATTGGCATATCGGAGGGTCTCCGCCATGAGGGGCATTGTATAGCCACCCGCATCAACGTGGTTGGCATATTCATCCTGCTTTATGTTAGTTTTTTATGCTGAGAGAAATGGGGCGCCAAACTTACAGGGTCAGTCATGTTGGTTAACGCCCAATAAGACCCGTTTCGAACAAGCAGGTCCGCATAGAGCGTAGCCGCTGAATCGTAGATCGGGAAATGTTCTTCTTTGAATAGTTTTGTATTGCCACTTGTAACCCATTGGTTAACCAAGGATATTCCGATGTCTCCGTTCAGGTGATACTGGTAGTCCCAGCAAGCACCAGTAGCTGTGCAGTTGCCAAAACGGCCACTGGTCCAAGGGAAAATTGCAGCTGACGGACTGAAATGTGTCTGATTCTTAGAGCCAGAGAAAGCAGTCTTGATATTCTCTTGTGCTTGGGCGTACTTGGCCACACGGAAATTGGTGAAGCGCTCGGAAGCCTCTGGGTGAGAGGCAACAAGACCAGGTTGCATCCATACATCTGAATCCCAGAAGACTTGGCCACCATAGGAGTCAGAGGTCAAACCACCCACTGAAATACTGTCCACATTTACTGGTGCTCCAGCAGCTTCCTTGACTCCATTCTTGCCAACAGTATTCTGCAGCAAGTAGTAAGTGTTGGCCACGGAGATTACAGCGGAATCAATGATATGGCTATCTGCAGGCAATGTCCCATTGGGGAACGCGTAGTGATCGACCGACGCTTCGGGCATAACATTCTCCCACTCGACGATGTGGGTTCGAAGAGACTTAGTGTAGCCATTTCTCATCGCAGCGGAGGCAGCGTCCTTCGCCGTTTGTTTTGGATCAGCAAAGGCATCGGTAGAAGCAGCTCCGACATATTTGATGACGCGAACTGCCTGGCCAGGCTTGAACTTCACATCCACAGCTTGGGCGATAGAGGATCTGTTGGAGTGAACATATGGCTTGTCGGATACAATCTTGCGCGAGGAAAGATCCACATTTGGTGAACCAGTGAGGTTTGCGTAGACATAAGCTGTGACGTTGGCAATCCCATTCGGTCGCACTGCTGAGAAGATTGCACCATTGTCTTCACCAGTCTCCACAAAGTCGGTGCGCACTGCACAAGCTCCATCGATGACATTCACGATGGTCGCATCCGACCCCATGGTCGGGATAATCTCCATTTCGACCACAGCCTGATTAACGTACAGCTTGTGGGCGAATAGACGATAGGTAATCTGGTATGATCCCTTCTTTCCCCGGGGCGTCCACCTGTAAGACCAGACTAAGATACCTGCTTTAAAGTCGTATGTGGTTCGGAAATCGGAGATGGTCTTATTGTCGACTTTTGCATCCAAATAAGTATCATCCCCGAGATCCAAGATGATTCCAGCCCAGTGGGGAACACCACTAATCACACTGTCACCTCCATACTGGGACAACCAGGGAAAGTTGCTGCCATTTGTGGTAGGCTGTGAGTCAAAGAATCCACTGATTGTTGCAAAGGTCTGACGTCTAGAGAAAAGAGGCCAACCGTTGGTGTCATCGGGACTGTCAATCTCGAAAAAAGGACCAGCACTAGCAACATTGATTCCCAAATATCCATTCGCCACGGATCCTCGAGATTGAAAACGGCCCTGTTCCAAGTTGGTTGTGCTCAGAAGCCACTTATCTTCGTCCCAGGTCACGCCATCGAAGCCAGTCTGGTACACATTCTTGCTGAAATTTGCCGAGTTAGAGCCTGTATGTTCTCTAAGGCATCTTGTGATACGACTTTCAGGAGAGCCGCTGACAAGATTGAGAAGTAGCGGCAATAGCGCGCACGTGAAGGACTGTGAGATGTGAGACGGGCAGCCCTAGAGAGTACAAAAGGTACAAAAGTACGAACCTTGAACTGCATATCGCAGTTACACCAAGTTATCAACCAGGTCAGATCTAAGAAGTCACCTAAAATCAAGTTGAAAGAGAAGAAGCGATCAGCATTATACATAGGGAGAGGAAGAAGACCTCAGTTCTTAAGGAAAGATAGAATTTAATGGCGCTTTCCTAACTCAGCAACAAATAAGACGATCTAACAAATTCGAAAAAAAAAAAAAATCTCTTAAACCAGGAACGTGGGGAAGTCTGTTCTCGGGTTTGATTATAGGCCTTTTTTTTTGGTGGAGGTCTAACATCAGCCAAGGAGGAATGTCGTAGGAGGCTTATATACGGATGGTCCTGCAACCGGACTCGGGAAACCGGGAAATGCGGGGAGCCATAAACATCTGTGGATAATGATCCTGAATTATGTTGTATATGAAAGCGACATTGGCTATAAACACCGAAAGACTTTTAATAACCTTCACGGCCAAGACTTACCCGGATTAGGAGAATTAGGAGATCGTCAAAAAGGTGAGGGAATTTGTGGGGAAGTTGGGGACATCGGAATTCCCTCTCACATTAGTACTCCATACCCCCCTATACAATAGTATATAACACTTGTAAATATCGAAACCCATGTTATTCCTTACGGGAGAATATTAAAATAATCGGATTATTATTGCTTACTTTTTAAGAGATAAAAGGTCCAAGGTTGAAGTTGAAGTGAAGGAGATATTGTTGCCTCAGGTGTTCTATTTGTCAATACTCGGATTTCTCCATGAAATAGCTTGCATATATATCCTAAAAGATACATTTAATTATGAAAGTAGTTGGCTTCATTTCATATCTCATCTCGGATCAAGTAGCTAGTTCCCAGTACACCCTTCTCTGCACATGTTATTCAGTATGGAAATAAGATACAAAGTTAATCATTGTCAAAAAGTCAAGGAATAGGGTCGAGGCAGAGATAGGACATCGTATTGGACGTCACCTCAAGCGAGCTGATAGTAATACTCGCTCGATATTTTCCGTCATTCATTCATTCATTCTTTACTATTCACATGGGTCTGTCCATGGTGCGGACACATGCGTCATAACTAACGCTTGGTTAAACAGATTTGGCAAGGCTCAAGATGGGTCTTATCTGCCACACCAGCGATGTTCAAGTCTCTTCTTCATCATTCTCATCCTCGGAAACTTCTCCAGGCACACTAGGCGCAGCAGACGAGGACTCCCTTCGTCGTCGAACAGCGTTGCTTGGCCTCGAGTGCACAGTGAGCGCTCTCTCACCCACGAATTTATCACCGGGCCAGTCCTCTTTGCACACAGGGCATCTCTCCGCCTGTTGCATGCGGAAGAAATTGCGCGTGCAATGGTCATGGAGTCGACCTTTGCATTTATTGTTTGCACAGCGTTGCCCCTAGAATATCTCCGTCAGATCCGTTTCGTACTAATTTAAGATCAATCATACTTACCACAGTAATAATCTCTTTACAAGCAGCACAATTCTTGATCCGCTCCATGGGTCGCCCATCGAAACTCTCATCGTTATACGTCGAGACCAACCAGCCCCGTAACTCCATCAGTGCTCGTGGCGTGAGGCTAAGGTAGCCCTTCGGGCTCTTCTGCAGCCAGCCCTCTTCAATCAAGTGGATAATCATGGTTTCTGCTTGGGTCATACGCAATGATTGTACCGCTGCGGTTTGGGTCTGCGTCGAATCGTTGCTCGTGGGTTGCCGTTCGCTAGACGGGGCCTTATGGAGTTGGACAGCTTGCATTTGTGAAGCTACCATTGCTTCACATAGTCGTGTATTATTTGCCATAAACATGTAGTCAAGCAAGCGCTTGAGAAACGCGATCTCGTCCGGAGAATAAGTGGTCGCGAGCTGTGTCAAAGCATCACTCGTAGTATTTACAAGCGCATACACTCGCTTCGGCGCTGTGGCTGCGGCATCTTGCTGGGCTGGTTGTGGGATTTGTGGCATTGCGCTTCTAATTTCGAGGTCGAAAGGTGACACAGCGGTGTTGGCGGCGGAGATGAACTCAGAGAATTGGTCTTCATCAACCTCGTCAGGTTCCACTGTTCGCCCCTCTGTTCGAAAATTTCAATGTCAGCGACCACAATTCATGACAAAGGGCTTAAGCAGCAGTCAAGTACCAGATACTGTTAATATTGCAGCTAGAATGGGTTGCGCTTCTTCAAAGGTCATTGACGAGCGTGCCATGAACGCCTGGAGGAAGGCACGATTACTATTGTTGTATTCAGACATATTTTAACGATGACTTCTGGTCTGAGGGTTTCAGAGCTCGCAATATCAGTCACTTCAAGGTCCTTTGTGCCAACAGAGCACTGGCTTTGACGCGATTCAACGCGGCTCTAGATGAAAGAAAGATAAGAACGTCCGATAAGGAAGCTTAGTAAATTTGTTGATTCCTGAGGCAGAAAATTGCTACCAACCTTGGAAAACTATTCCTCGTCAAATTGGGGATAGACTTAGGGAAAAGGATCTCTAAACTCAGCTATGATGGCTTGGGCAAACAGGTATCCCGAGGTCCAGAGCTCACACATCTCAACAAGTACTTGATGCCTCGAACATCCATCCGTGAATAGTATCGTCTGGCTTAATTAGGTACATCTAGGAAGCACAGTTCAAGCATATATATACTCGGGTTAGCGAAAGCTTCTGTCATTTACATAGGACTAATAGTATGCTTATAAAAACTTGCGGTCCAATGTAGTTGAAACTACGTTCTGTACGTTCCTACCTCCACAAGACTTGAGATATATTGAATTTCCATACTCTTTTTCCAGAGTATAAGCTCCAACTATAATTAGGATGGACACGGCTCTCGCAGCTCAGACATTATGACCCTAAGTATGTTGTCAAGGCCATCTCAGCTAGTATCAACGGGAGATAGGCTAGTAGGTATCAGGATGCAGGGCGATAGTGCCCGGTGAATTAATTGTAAGAAGATCATTTTGCCAGGGATAGTAAGCACTTGGAGACTCCGACTGGCCAAAAAACGGTGTTCGGGCATTGAATTATGAATGTGATTCGTCTATGAACACAAGAAATAGCTTTGTCGAGCATCCAACCAACCAGCGCGCATTATGTTAGCTCCAAGCCACCGCAGCCCACTCCAGAAATGAAGTTGTATCATCGTTATACCTCTGAAACTTCAAGCAGAATCCTAACTACGATGACTACAGCTGTGTTTATATCATCACTTTCAGGCAACACGGTCTTTGCCTGTTCCCACACAGATTCTACCGCACCAGCATGCGCGACAACATATAGCCAGGTGACCTGACCGACTATGTGGCAATACCACAAGCTCCGTTTGAAATGTCTATACTGTGGAGACATGGGTAGAGCCTGAATATCGGACAATAACTCTAGCGGCTCAATATATCAACAAGATAGACGACGAGGTCATGAGGATGCACTCTTCACATGACGCGTCGACATCGGTGTCAAAGTCAACCCATCAAGCGACTTCCCTATGTTGGTACCCACGAATATTGCGAAACCAACCGCATCCAGCTCTGGCAGTTCCGGCTCGTTGACTTCTCCCTGTAAAATTGTGGGTGGTGCTGTTGGAGGCGTTGGTTGTAGACGCCGGTGCTGCTAGAGGTTGTGCCATCTTCCTACTCTAGAAAAGAGGGAAGTGGCACTAGCAGGATGGATTGGACGATCCAGGGAAGTCGATACCAGTCTGTTCCTAAGGACCATTCGGGTCATTCTTGTCGAGGAATGCAACAAGCTGCAGAGGTTGAGGCAAGCGACCCGGTCCACAAGATTTCAGAGACACCAAGAAGCATCCCTCACAATGCGCCGCGGGAATTTGTCTCAATGCCTTCAATGCCGAGCTACTATAGCCGGATGATGGAAAGCACCATTAAGTGTAATAACCGGTGTACCAAAAACATGTGTTGGGTTTATTTGCGTATTATGTTGTGAAGATGTTAGTAATTAATAATGAAGGAATTTGTGAATTCAGTTCTAGAGAAGTTTCAATGCTGCGCCTTTGAATCAGTTTCTTTGACCGATATCACTCAGAGTGGGTGCTGGTCAACGTACCAGATTCGGCTTCAACTAAAATACGCAGGAATTACTGAGCGAGGTTTATACATGCAGTCAAGCTGTGGATTTCATTGATCGCGCAAGTCTGATATCATAAACTGCAAATGTGAATCAACAAAGGTAAAGACCGAGACCCCACGCCCTAAATACGCCGCTGCGCAAGGAAGGTGGAATCGAATGACCGACTGATATCGCCGAACGCCAAGGGATCGAATGTATGGAAACAACAATGAGAAGATTCAAGCACAGCAGTACCACTAGTATCTCCGGCGGGCGGGTTCAGGGCTAGGGCTTCGGCTGGCACTGCGGGGATCTCTGCCACGCTCCTTCAGCCACTTCTTGGTGCTGAGTCGGAGTTCGCGGTCAAGCTCGGGAGAAGGATCTTTGCGGTGAATGAAATTGCAGAAGCCCCCTCGTACACACCCTTCACCGCTATTGAGACGACAACAGGCTTCTCGGAAATCCGTGACAGGTGATAACTCGCAATATATGGGCCGCGCTGCGTACCAACGTGAGTTCAAAGCATCACAGGCCGCCTGCGCATCTTCCTCGTATTTGAATCGGCCGTAGACGTTGCCAATGAGATCTATTGTCAGGAGACCAGATGGTTAGTAGACAGGCAGAGAGTACACTTAAAACGCCACTTACGATCATTGTTGTTGTCGCAGATGACCAACTCTTCGATCTCGCCGTACTTGCACAACTCGCACCATACGTCCTCGTAAAAGGCGTCGAAATGGTTTTGCATCTGGCTGGGGTTCATCTTGTTCTTAGGGTCGTAGGCCGGGTTCTGATACATGTTCGGCATGAGGATGGTTTGCGAGTACGAAGGCTTGACATGCTTGCGAGAGCAGCGATCACCGTGTCGGCATGCGCCAATTTTGTAGTAGAACGAACAATTGACCTTGTCCTGCTCGGTACCGAAGATGGATGCAAGGTAGTTAGCCATGGTTGCTTGCTGTCAAGCTCTGACGTTGGCTGGGAAGGATATGAGAAAGGTGAGATGAGAGCGTCAGTTCGCAGGAGAAACAGGCACAAATGAAAGGAGGGCGGAATTGCTTTGAAAGCTGGGTGATATGGGATGCCTGAAGTTTCTGGAGAGCTCAAAGTGGCGAATAATTGATGACTAAACCCAGGAAGCTGCTCGGGTCGGATTATATATCATCCGAGTTCATGGAGGACCTCGGAAGTATTTGGCGGCAATTTTGTACCCTTACAAAGTGCTGTCCAATACTTTATGAGGTCCCGATGTACATACCTACTTGTATACATGCAGCAAAACCATTCTACCTTCCTATTACATATATTTTATATTTTCACAGCTAATTATTTTAACTCCGTTAGCTATGGCACTAAGGAGCATGAAGATGTCCAAAGAAATGACGTCAAAAATGAAAAAGAAGTAGATGCTGAGGAAACATTCTACGGATGGTCTAGTAGTCTCAACGAGGTCACTACGAAGGGCTGGGGTTACTTAGGAGCCTCCAGGATTCTTGCCATGTCTTGAGCGCCTATCTGATGTTCAAGAAAGCAGCGAATGACACGCGGGAGACTAGCAGCAGTGGACAAAGCGTAGATGTAGGGAATGAAAATCACAGAGGCTGTCTTTGAAAGCAAGAAAGATGCGGATGTTGAAGAAAATAAGAGAAATGAACAATGGGAAAGCGAAATAACTGTAGAAGGATGGGCGGCGAGTTCAGGTCGTTTATTGAGAACAAGAATAGTCAGCCGCATAAAAGGCCTTGTGATGTCTTCCCAGTGGTCTTTCCAGTGGTATCTTTAGTAGTCTTCTCGGATATCATTCTGTCTTGTCGGTTGTATGGGGTCGAAGGAAAGGCGGATAAATGCTTTGGGAGTGAACTTTTCTGAGTATAACCTTTGATTAGGGTTGATTGGCGCCGTCAAATGATAGCTTTGTGGTGGATCCCAGGCCCGGGTGGTTGCAGGGTCTGACATGTTCAATAAATTTTATGTTTAGAATAGATGTGATTTAGAGGTCTATAGTTTGCTCACGCTCCTAAGGTATACAGTGCGAGCTATTTGCTATTATCGGTGGGCTTGAGGGTAATCAGATTCAATGGTAGACTTACCTTTGTGTCCGTTGAATGAGATACCAAGGACAAAGTAATGAAGTAAAGGATACTAGATAGGAGCAAATATCAGCCTAAGATAGCCTAGTCCATGAATCTTAGTAGATAGATCAAAATAAATCGACAAAGTAGACCCAACACATCTATAAGAAAAGGGAGGAAAGTAATTGAGTCTTCATAGTCATAGTACCGGACGATGTCTTTGATAGCGTGGTCGATAATGAGGTGTTCGAAACTGAAATCATAAGGCTCTGGATTTCATCTGTGGAAGCCATGTTGTCAAAGCCGATGACTTGAAAGCTCCATGATCCCCCAAAATATAGTCGAAGTCGAGTTGTCCTTCTTAAATAGTCACGAGTGTTCATATGCAGGCGCAGCTCCCATTTGACTGAAAGAGGATTCTTTGTGGTGTCGAAGAGCAGAGGCATGGGATGACTTTAATGTTAAATTCGAAAAAAGATCGAGTCTGAGCAACTCAATGTCAATCTCGAACAGTATGAAATTCGAGAAGTACGTCCACGGCTTGTTTTTCTAACCTCAAGAGAAAGTACGTCTATAGCGCTTTCCTATTTGTAAATCAACTCATAGCTTAGAACTAGGAACTTTGTCTTGAACAGCCAACCCGCTCACATCCACTGAAAGCTTTTGCTTTTTGATCATCTCAGAAACGACCTTTCCAGTTCCCAAGCACAAAGAGATTCCCCACGCACCGTGCCCAGCAGCTATGAAGACACCTCCCTTGGGGTTTGCTTTCACTCCTCCCAAAGAGTAATCTCCAACTTTTCCAATTGTGGGTACACCAGTATTTCCCACTGGTCGGAAGCACAGCCCTTCACGGATAACCTCCAAGTCATCTGTGTTGGCAATCTCCTCGGTAGCCTCATTTGCACCCTTGGGTAGATCTCCCATGAGACGAACTGCAACATCTTTGAGTTTTTGCATCTCGGAGGGATCGAAAAGCTTGCTGGTATCTGCGGAACAAGGCGGAAGTTTCATGCCGGGGTTGTTGAGACCGGCGATATAAATCTCTCCACCCTCCCTGAGGAAGATCTCGGGGCTAAACCCGCATGATGGAGGGTGTGTGGTAAATACAGCATGGCTGCTTCCACGGTAAACATTTTTCTCGTGCTCCATTGTATACCGAGGGGATCGAACGACTAGTGAATAGCCAGCCAGCGGTGATATATCAAATGATACCTGAGAGGAAGGGAATAGGTCTCTAAGAACCTGTGGGGTCCACGGTCCCATGCTCAGAACAAGGTTCGTACACGGAATGATTGACTCCTTTTTGGAGTCCAGAGACAAGATTTTAACGCCGGTAATCGTGCCATTTCCATCCTTGACCACTTCAGTGGCCTGGGCTGGGTTATGAATCTTAACGCCTCGGGAGATAGCACCGTCAATGAGGAATTGACTCAACCGCAATGGATCTCTGAACACAATCAGCAAATCATCTACAAAACACTTGAATTTGATACTCACGCTTGAGCCACAGTTTCACCCTGACTGATTTTCTCCAGTATTCCCTCTTTTTGCATAGTCAACCATTCCGGAAATTCAACCGGAGTGGTATCCTCCGATCCAGCCGCGGTTTCTGCTCTACTGGTACCCGTTCGCAGCCAATCGTCACCGCGGGGACCGCCTCGCTTTCGTTGAGCTACGGTATCCAAATTGAATGCTGTTCCTTTCATAAACCCCCACTTTTTGTCTCCGCCTTGCGCTGCGGCGAGCTCATGGTGCAAGTCGAAGGACATAGCACCAAGAGGTGCGAGAGATGGCTCGAACCAATCTCTGGCTAGGAAGCCCGCGGCATATCCCGAGGCTGCGGTGAAAAGCTCCGGGGACTGCTCAACGATGTGAATCTCGCCTTCTGGCTGGTTGGCAGATAGGTAGTACCCAATTGAGGCTCCAATTATGCCTCCTCCAAGGATAACGGTCGACATGACTGTGCAGAATTCAAGCTTATCAACGCAGATTGTCGAAATGATGTGTTGGTCGCAATTTGATTGCAGGTGGAACCGTTTCCTATATTCCTCGGCAAGCTATGATTTTCCTTTCCGGTTCCTTTGCACCGGGCCGGGGATATGTGGGATGGCTTAGCGGGGAGCAATTTCATGACTTAGCACAGTAGGATAGGAGCTGATCGCAAAAGTTGACTCTTTTAGGCGATCATTCAAGTATTTTCTATCAAAAGTGGATCTCTCGGATCGCTTTACTGAAATCGGCAATGGCTTCATCTTCCATTTAGTTTTTACTTATGATGCACTGCTTCATGATATATATATATATAGATTGTCCATCTGATAACTTGTTTCTTTCAAATATAGATTTATGCTTTTAAGGTTCAAGTCGAGTCTGAGAGTTATTGGAACCACCTAACCTATGGATGATACCTTTAATCTCGTATTTTTCTGTAAATTAATCAATGAAATTAATCAATGACTTGGACTATAGGAATATATTCCTAGTTCTATTCCATATACAGCCTACAACATAATAAAAGGCGTGACGTCTACACCTGCAGGGAGGGAAACCTTCCGAGATTAATAAGCCCCGCACTAAATCTTTCACTCTCTCTGTTTATTCTTCCTTGTCATAACCTTGGAATTGATATTCGGCAAGACATTTGATAAAACTGAAAGTAAGTTAATACCGGGCTATCCACTGTTCTCTTATTTCTGGACTGGTTTTCCAGTATTTGTTCATATCCTCCCCCGCGGTCGATCCGACACAGCTCATGTTTATGGAACTTTCAATCAATGGCATCGTCTTTTAACATAGCCATATTATTAAAACCTGCTACTAAGCATACTCATTGCTATAACATCGAACTCAGTGTCCTCTCTGGCTTTTATTTGACGCGGTGTCGCTTTTCTACTGGAAGCTTCATATCACTAACACCACTATAGTCTTCATTAAAATGGCAGCCAAAACCATTATTGTCACAGGAGCCTCAAGAGGTACCACCCCTCGAGTTTTGTGAACCAGCAGTATACTGAAATCACCCCCTAGGTATCGGTCTTGCTGTGGCCAAGTATCTGCTCACGGCACCCCAATCTCACAATGTGGTGGTGGTAGCCCGCAGCGTTGAACCCCTCCAAAAGCTCAAGGAGCAATATGGCAAACAGGTGGCAATCCTGAATGGTGACCTGGCAGACTTTTCTCTTGCCCAAAAGGCCGTCGACATAGCTATGAAGACCTTCGGTCAACTCGATGGAATGGTCCTTAACCACGGCCTGCTAGGCCAGATCGGCAAAATTGCCGACGCTGATGTGCAGCAGTGGAAGGAAGGCTTCGATGTCAACTTTATCAGCTTAGTTGCTTTCGTACGCTACCTCATCCAATCTACCCTGCACTACTAACAGAGCCTAGGCCAAAGCAGCTCTCCCGGCTCTCCGTGAGTCCAAGGGAAAGATCATCTTCACCTCTTCCGGGGCAGCAGTTACCGGTTACCGTGGTTGGGCTCTTTATGCTGCCACCAAAGCTGCGATGAACAATTTTGCTATGAGTCTGGGTGCCGAAGAACCTGACGTCACTTCCGTTTCTATCAGACCTGGGATGGTCGACACCGAAATGCAGCGCGCTCTGCGGGAGGATCATGCTACGGCATTAGACGCCGAAATGCACTCCAAGTTCACTGGAGTCCACAAGGACGGCAAACTCCTCAAGCCCGAGCAGCCCGGTCATGTCATGGCCAAGTTGGTGCTTGATGCACCGAAGGAATTCAGCGGTCGTTTCTATTCGTATGTGCTATCCCCCTCAGATTACGCAAGATATACTAATAATTGGCAGATGGAATGACAAGGAGCTCGAGGGTTTCCAAGAATAAGAATATCATTGATAGCTAGTATGTTTTTCTTCCGAGTTCATATATCTGTAATCTTTATAGCAAGTCAGTAACGATCGCCATAGAACAAGGAGTGCAAGGTTTGAGACAATGATTGTTTACAAGTCAGTCGAAAGATGAAAAGCAATACATTTTATAAGCATTAGGTGCAGCACACCTTCATGTTTAGCATGGAATGTAAGGGTATACATCATGTAATTGGAACTGAAAATATAACAAAAAAATTTCTGCGCGTACCTTTAGATACAGATGTAAAGATTCCCATCCTCCAGATCCCATTCCATGAATGTAATTCAAGCTGAGAGATATGTTCCAAGCTACAACGATATTGATTTCCTGTAAAATTCTTCAATAAAGTTAGAAACTGCTTCAAAAAGAAGTGATATGCAAATAGGTAGAATTGATGTAGATCAGATAGTCCGTTTGGCTAGGACAGGTTTGGTCACCATGAAATGTATGATAGGGGCGAACACAATAAATTCATCATGATAGAAATTGGGAAAAAGAGATTCAAGCAATAGCTTACCATTAGTGTTTGGCCTTGGAAAGAGTCAATCTCATTTGAAGGACTCTTTCCAAGGTAGTTGGAGGAGAGTGAAGACTGATGAAGAAGAAGTAAAAAAGCAGAAAAAAATTCGAAGCATTTTATGTGGATCAAAGCGGTATAATTCTGCCGGCAAGAAATTGTACTTAACTCCGTCGCGCGCCTGAGATGGGCCTTGAAACTTTGAGCCCCACGCAAAAGATCAAAGAAATTAAAGCCATCCCATTTTGCGCTTCTCTCTTGAGATTTAACACTTGCTATTCATTCACCTGTCATCATATCACCTGATCCGCTATGTCTGACCGAGAATTTAACTGTGAGTGATCTCTAGATCTTGGCCGCCTACGCGCATGCTGACCTGTACGTGAATAGCAAACGATGACCTATCGCTGCCTAAAGGTACGGTTCAATACCCTGTGAATGTGTATACATATCTCTTTGTGAGGCTCGTTGCCGCATGACGCGCATATGTACTTGTGGCTTCATCTCCGCAATTTGCTAGCATTTGCTAACGTAACTTTGTGATAGCGACGGTCCAGAAGATTATCACCGAGATTCTACCACCTAGCTCCGGCCAGACCTTTTCCAAGGATGCGCGCGACTTGCTCATGGAATGTTGTGTCGAGTTCATTACCTTGATCTCCTCCGAAGCGAACGATATCAGCGAGAAGGAGGCCAAGAAGACTATCGCTTGTGAGCATGTGGAGAAGGCATTACGGGATCTCGGGTTCAGTGATTATATCACCGATGTACTCGCTGTTGCTGAAGAACACAAACAGCAGTTGAAGGTATGATGCCATTTTATTTGGAATTATAACACCTTAAAGCGCATACTGACCTCCGATCTTCATTATAGTCACGAGAGAAGAAGCAGAGCAAGATGGAACAAAGTGGTCTGACAGAAGAGGAGCTTCTAAGGCAACAACAGGAGCTCTTCCGGTCAGCAACTGACAAATACCATGCTGTCCCAGAATAGAATCACCTAAGACTCATGCTGGTCATAGAGTGAAAAGGATGATGGCGTTTTGTGTGTTCCACCGGATATGTGGGTCTGGAGTTCTTTTTTTCTCAAATGGTTTCTGATTTTTTCCCCTTCCTCTGCTTTGGGAGGATGGGTTGTGGGCAAGATGTACTATCTAATGAAGCGAAAGCGCACAATGCATGGGTTAATTACATATGATTTGAATTTACAGTCATTGACCACTCTTTAGAAGGCCTAATGGCATACAACGTATATTTGATAAAGGGCGGCTGTATCGGCCGTTCATGATATTCGGAGGCCACAGATCTTATCCAGGCTGCTCTTATAGACAAATCATGCCCAGATGGCTATGTCGCAATGTATTGTGCAGTATCTTCAATGTTCTCTTATTGTATATGTAGTCATTGTCAAATCAATCATAGTTTCAACCTAATTTGAATAGCTATTTTCTTAATTCTCCATTCAGCATCTTGGTAGATGAATGAATAAATATTCCTGGATCAATGCATTCATGCTGTGTAAATCGAAGTTTGCTCTAGGGCTGTCACATATTTTCGCCTTAGGTTCTAAAGCTTCATAAATTTCTAAATGCTCCGCGGGCTCGGATATACTATTTCCCGGAATTATTAGCACGTGATTTTGATCAGGGCCAAAATACGCTAAACTGCAATGGGAAGAAAGCGTAACCAACGCAAATCGAGCCGTCGCGGAGCTCCGTGCAGTCATCATCCGTCGCAACGCTCTTTACAGCCAGTGATAACAATGCCTCCCTTTAAGGATGAGCATATTTTGGTACGTTTGTTTGTTTGCATTCTCTTGCTCAAAATTAACCTATTCATCTAGCTAATTGCGCCCGGTTCGCAAATGACCTTGGCGCAACTCGGCCTGCCCGAAACATTCACGCCCGCGCGATTTCGGTTCCCAACTCGCATGTTCCCTGCTGAAAAGAAGGGAGAATATGAACCCTACCGTGTTCATGAGAGACGCCAAGTTGTCAAGGTCAACAATGGCACAGATGCCCCAAAGGCCGATGTGGAAATGAAGGATGCCGAGCCCGTCGCAGCTGATGGTACCCCAGCCACAGAAACCACTGTCAAGACCGACGAAAATACCCAGAGTAATGGCGAGCCAACCAAGACTGTCGAAGAGGTCTTTTACGAGGAGGACCCAGCATCCGACGAAGGGGCAATCTATCCGATCGAGAACGGGCGCATCGTCGACTGGCCCTGTTTCTTCGCCTTGCTCACTCACATTCACAATACCTTGAGCCCACCTTTCCATACCCCTATTATGCTTGTTGGTCAGCCTGTCTGGTCCGCGCGCGATCGCGAAGCAATTACTCAATTCGTCTTTGAGAAGTTCAAGGCACCCGCCTTTAGTCTGATGGACTCTGCTCTTGCGGCTTGCTATGGCTATGGTACATCTACAGCCACTGTTGTCGATATTGGCAAGGGCAAGGTTGATGTCACTGCCGTGACCGACTTCGCAGTCAACGAACACGGCAGGGGAATCGCACTGGAGGGATGCGGTGGAGACGCTATGACCGATCGTCTTGTTGAGCTGTTAGGTCACAAGGGATTTACCAGAGAGATGTGCGAACAGCTCAAGCGAAGCAACATTACGGAGATTCTACCCGCAGGAACCCCACTGCCTGGCTCTTCTGCTACTGCGCGCCAGGGCGCCAACCCGGCTGCTGCTGCCTCGACCGGCGGATCAGATGAAAATGAGTCTGCTCCACGTGGCCCAGGAGATGGCACCCAGACAGGAATAGAGGGAGATAATGCTGAAGAAGACGAGGGTGTTCTCGATGTCGCTGCAATTGTCAGCGGCAACCCCACTGAATACCTTGCCAATGTCGAGAAGGAAAAGACAACTACCAAGAAAGGTGCTGCTGACCCCAAAGGAGCCCGTCTGCCTAACTCGAAGAAGGAGAAGGCATCTTTCCAGTTTGAGGAGTTTGTTCAGTTGGAAGAAGAGAAGGCAGCAGCCCACGGTGCTCGGCAGTATGTTCGTCATACTCGAGATATTGAAGTCAGTGTTGAGCGTTTCCTTTTAACTTCGCCGCGCTCGAAGGTCGGAAACCGCCTGACTAGCGGTATCCTCGAAGACATTGCGACCCAGATTCACCACACCATTCTTGCCGTCCCAGATGCTACAAAGCGAAGCGAGCTTTGGGACTCTTTAATTATCGTTGGATGTGGAAGCAAGGTTAAGGGTATGTTTTACCATTACTATACCTAGCTAAGGTCTTTTTATTAACATAAAACAGGCTTCACACAAGCTTTGCTAGCTGTTATCACCCAAAAGTTCATCCTTTCTCCATCCGCCACCATCTTCACATCTGAAATTCCTTCGAACTTCACCACTCCCCTTCCAACCGGCGCTAACACACCCGCTCCTATGGGTCAACCTGGCCCTATGTACCACCCTGCGGCACATGGAGTAAACCCTCTCCTTGTGGCTGCTACTCACAATAACCCCGGTATGCCCGGCACGCCCTCCATGGATCCCAGCATGGTGTCACACTACCGCTCAACCGGCCACTCCCAAACCCCAACCTCAGTCAAGACTCTGAAGGTTCCTGAGTACTTCCCAGACTTCAAGGACCAGGGTAACAGCAACGCTCCCGGCGCCAGCAGTGGCAATGCTGGGGGTAATCCAGGCGCGCCCGGCACATCTCAAGGTGGCCATGGAATGGAAGAGGCCATTTTCCTTGGTGCTCAGATGGCTGCCAAGGTTTTCTTTGTCGTTGATCAGGGTCTCAGCAAGGGCTACATGAGCCGGGTTGAGTACAATGAGAGCGGACCGTCTGCGATTCACGAATACATCCTGTAATTGCAGATCGATGATTTAATCTCATTCTGGTTTATCGGACATTCCTTCCCCCATTGAACACCTTTGCCTTGGCGAAGTTTGTTGGTTTGTTTCTGATATATCTCTTTCTTGTTTTATGCACGCTATGATCCTAGGTCGAAAAGCGATCTCGGCATGCAGGCGTAGGGATCGGGGAGTTTTCTTTTAATTTGGTCGGAATGTCAGAGTATACTTCAATGACTCTAAGTACTCAACTTCATTTCATATTCATCCATACTATATGGAGTAATCCGTAGGTAAAGCCTTAAATGAATGTACTAAGCCTCTTTTGGTTGTGTCATGTGATATGTTATGTAATATGGCTTATCGCCGTTGATCTGCGCCACTTCCAAGCTTCTCTCACAACTTTATTCGTACAATTCTCAACATACCCCATCTTTTTGATCTCTTGACTCTTCGAAGCTTTTGCCTCTCGTCGCTTTTCTCGATACTTTCTCTTGATTCCATTTAACGACATATAAAATGGGCCGCGCGGAGGCTGGCAGTACAAAAGCCATTGGCAACAAGATCAAAAGCAAAGGACTGGGTCGCCTTCGATGGTTTTGCCAGGCGTGCGAGAAACAATGTCGAGATGAAAACGGTTTCAAATGCCACACTATGACTGAGTCGCATGGTACGGAACTCCCATCCTCTATGTCCTGACCATCAGCTAACTTTGTATTAATTAGTCCGACAGATGATGATCATTGGGGAAGACCCGCGCAAACACATCAGAGAATTCAGTCGCGAATTTGAGCGAACTTTCCTCGATACCCTCAGAACCACGCATGGAACAAAACCTATCAATGTCAATCATTTCTATAATCAGATTGTGGCCGATAAGCAGGTATGTCCTTGGTATTCTACTATTTTCTGCTGATTCTGGCTAACTATTCTTTATAGCACATTCACATGAACAGCACAGGTATGTTCCTACGGAAAGGAGGAGCAGAGTTGAGGACGAATGCTAACTTTGAGGGCAGAATGGAAAAGTTTATCACAGTTTGCAGCCTATTTAGGCCGAGAGGGAAAATGTCGAGTCGAGGAAACTGAGAAGGGCTTGGTTATAGCGTGGATTGATAACAGCCCCGAAACACTTCGCCGCCGGGAGGCTATCTTAAAGAAAGAACGCCAGGAGAAGGGAGACGAAGAACGAGAACAACGCTTGATTCAGGATCAGATTAAGCGAGCCCAGCAAGCGGCGATGGCGAACGCTACGCCCGACACAGACATAGACCCCGAAGCAAGATTGTTGCAGAGGAAGGAAGGAGAAAAGATAACGCTGAATCTTGGACTTGGCTCGAAGAAGACAGATACAAAGCCTGCCTCGCCTCCTACGACAACAACAGCAAAGGTATCGCTGGAAGATACAGATGCACCAGCCGGAAGCGCTGACTCTCCCGCTCCGTCTGCGGCTCCCGCGCCGGTCAAGATTTCGATGTCAATGGGCGCACAGAAGCCGAAGAACGTGTTTGCTATGGCTAAGAAGAATCCTTTAGCCGGGAAGAAGGGTTCTGTTTTCACGGCTCCGAAGAAGATGACTGAACAGGAGAGAATTATGAGGGAGGAGATGGAAGCAATGGAGCGAAAGCGATCTCGTCCGGACTCTGGTTTCACGAACAAGCGACCAAAGATCACTTAAAGTGTCTTATCTTACAAAAATACATACCCAATTACCTAGCCTCTGCGACTATCATCTTTTACAACACCTTATGGGTTGGTCAGCTTTGGACCGGGTCCGTCGTTTCTTCAAACTCGCTTTATCTTGCAACTGTAATTAAACGTATAGATGGGGGGTAACTGCTGTATCGTATGTGATATGTGGACTTTCATGAAGTGTTCACAACGTCCATAATTGTACACAACATATAACCATACTATAGACTCTAGCCACCGAAATATACATCCACAACATATCCCCCGAACCCTTTCCAAGTCAAGTCAAGTTTAAAATTGATTAAAAATTAATGATTTAAAACTACCTAGATATTTATGACATACATCTAACTGAATAAAAGAAAGGAATAAATATTAATATGTACTAACTGACATCGGCTGCATTTACCATAACTACCCGCATTAACGGCAAAGGATGTTACATATTCGCAAACTTGGCCGAGTGGGTCTAAGGCGCCAGGTTCGTCTTACTTTAACCAAAAGTAATTTTGAATTGAATACTAACATTTCATTAAAGACTTAAGATATTTCTCATGAGTTCTGGTCACGAAAGTGGCGTGGGTTCGAACCCCACAGTTTGCAATCTTTTTTTCCCTTTCCCATATATTTTTTTGATATCACGAATATCATTAAATCACATATAACTTTTATAATTTGTGCTTATATCCTATGGGGGATCAATAGGGCACAAATAAAGTTGATATCAATATGATCAAGCACCTAGTGCCCAGAACCTCAGAAAAGGACCTTGGGATCTGGAAGCACCTCCTATTCGATTTAGAAACAGGAAGCATTAAGGTCGGATTTAAATCTCCATGGAGCAACTTTGGCCGAGTTGGTTAAGGCGCCAGACTCAAGAGTTTTCCCTCTTTCACTAATTTATGTGTGAGCATTCTGGTCACGAAAGTGGCGTGGGTTCGAATCCCACAGGTTGCACATCCTTTTTTTATTTTTATTTTGTACTTTCTATATTACTGCGTATGCTCTTTTTACCTCTATTGTTGAAGTCCAGGCCACAGAGCTGTTCAATAGTTTGGGTACACAGCTAGACAATTAATAAAATGATTGCCGATTATCATAGTGTTTCATGGTGATCTTGGAGCTTGTACCTTGTAAGGTCAAATGAACCAATTTCTCCATAGGGTATATGAATGGCTCATGATGTTGCTTCTGATATACATACATATAGATAGAGTACTCCTTTTGCGCAGATTACGGAGTACAAATTACACAGTTATACGAGAGATATGTCGATCACATCCAATTAAGGCCATAAAGACTCAGCTAAATAGAAAATGGCCCCCAACTCTCTAATTCATTTGTATGCGCTAGTAAGTCTTACTCATATTCGATGGCTATTCCGATCGAAAAGGTATAAGACAAGAGTCTAATGTAAGCACCCTCCCTTGGCCCCCAGTTTCCTTCCAATAACCTTACTTTGACACTCTCTAATTCTTCTATTTAATTTGTATATGTGAACCCGATGTCAGATATGTTGAGTAGCCCATATGGGCTCTCCGTCCGCAGAAATGGCTCCTGTCTCAGCACAGAAGAGGATTGCGGTCAAACTTGGGCACCCTTCCACGCCTGTTGCCCTCACGGCACAAAATGCCCATCTGGCCAAGAAAATGTAAAATGTTGCCCATCAGACGCCGACTGCTCCGAATTGGTTGATAACACACATTGTGCAAACAACACGGCAAATGTCTACAAGGCCAGTGGTTGGTTTTGCTGCGCTGATGGAGAATCGGCTTTCCAGAAAAAGAACGGATATGTCGGCTGCACCGACGATATATCCACTTTGGATAGTAGTTTGAGTCTGTTGAAAATCCGGTACTCTGGTATGTAATGCTTTGGTGGCCTGAATTTGTATTACAAAGTCATCGATGTTGATCTAACATTTTAATCCCCCATCGACAGCCACTACCTCAACGCCCACACCATTATCGACAATATCCAGTGCAACGCCCAGCATCACGACCACTACTAGTACTACAGGATCCCCCCTTTCTCCCACAGAAACTGCCACTGCAGGTGCACCAGAGAATTCATCGTCCAATACTGGGGCTATTGCCGGCGGCGTTGTCGGCGGAGTAGCTGGGTTGGCCATCCTGGTTGGTCTACTCTGGTTCATACTCCGTCGTCGAAACCGGGCAAAGAGCTTAGAACCACCTACGGACCCAAGCCCTCTAATGTCCAGTGCTCCCCCATCGAGTGTTCCTGGATCGAGCGTTCCCGGCTCGAGTGTTCCCGTGTCAAGTGTCTCTGGGTCGAATATCGTCGAGTACTACAATAAAGGCCCCGATGGCCCACAAGAGCTGGCTGGTCGAGACGAAAATATGGTCCATGAGTTGCCATCGCAGACATATCGATGACGGCGTGCATGGTGTCTAGGCGGAGTAAATACCCGAGAGGAAGTCCTATACTCTCTCACTTCTTTGATGATATAAGTATGTAATATAACGAACAATTTTTGACTCTGTGGCGCATGTCACGACGTGAGTCCGCTTCTGCGATATCACCCAGCATTGATGTATGTCGAGGAAAATACCCGAATATAACAAAAACCGGTTCACTGGTTCTCACATCTCACTGTCAACATAACTTCCGGCCGCGGCCAACGTGGCGTAGTAAAGGTCTGTCTCGGCGCAGATAACCATTCTGCCTTTTCCAGCGAAGTTGAAATTCGCCGTACCAGATCCAAGATAGATCTTGCCGATGAGCTTGCCAGATGGGTTCCAGACATGGACACCGTCGCCACAGCCAGCGTATACGTTACCCCATGAATCACAGTGAATACCTTTTCAAAACATTAGTTCCAACAGAATGTTGATTACAGCTTGCTTGACTTACCATCAGGTGCACCAGAGTGAACAAAGGCAAAGGTCTTCCGATTCTCGAAGGTACCGTCAGCTTTCACATCAAATCGGTAGCTGTGATATGTAAGTGAGTAATTAGATCGAGGTCAAAAAAGGGGAACATTTGAAATGCCAGTACATACACAGAAGCAGGACGGGTGAAGTCAAGACCGAAAAAGCCACTATCGATTCCGGTATCGGCGATATATGCGTACTTGCCATCCGGAGAGAAAGTGATTCCTGCTACAATGTCAGTTGCACTGTCTTTCTTGAGTGTGTACACATTTTTGATTCCATACCGTTAGGGTGATCAAATCCATCCGCGACAACTGTCACGGCACCTGTATCGGGGTTGAGCCGGTAAACTTGATCCTGTAGACCGGGTGCAGGACGGAAGTCCTGTACATAGCCATAGATCGTGTCTGTAAAGTAGATATCTTTGTTTCCCGGGTGGATAGCTACATCGTTTAGGGAATTGAATTGTCGGCCGAAGTAGTTATTCAGGATAACTATAGATCACCTTGTTAGCCCGCGAAATGCAAAGAACGAGTGTGTACTAACTTGTAGTGTTGAATGGACTTTTCGGGTTCATGACCCACAAAGCAGGTGGTTCATTGTCCCCTTGGCCCTCCCCGGTGAATATGATCTGTCCCCGGTAATTGGTAGCTCCTGGGGCACTGTCAGTTGTCTTTAACGTGTAAAAAGGAGCTAAGTTCCTACCATTCGGATTGAGAACCATTGGCGACGAGGGAACGGTGATTACATCAACAAGACCTACGGCATCCGACTTGTGGGAGACAGCAGCAGCGTCCGCAAGGGAAATCTTCTCAATGATAGCCGACTTTTCTAGACCGGTGCTGGCGTCCTTAGCACCTGCATTTTGGACAAAGAACACCTCGTCTGTTTCCTTAGACCTAAAGGCTAAATTAGACCCTATGTATCCTCGACTTGTATTGAATTTGCGTGTTGGTTACCTACCATACAACCGCCTCATGAAATAAAGGGTCTTTTGGGGAGTGTGCGATCCTGGTTAAAGTTGGAGCTTCTCCAATGATCTTCAGAAATTCCTTATCGTATACATGGAAAGGTTGCCGGGCTAGACTCTCTCCTGTTGACCCTGGGGGAACAAATAGCTATGCATTGATCAGTAGGATGTGCTATAGACTGTAAATAAGGAGTCACATACACTCTTTGCATTAAATTTGCTTGAGGGCTGAGTCGTGTCTAGGACATTGAAGGCTTTTTGGTCGATCAACTGCGCTTGAGCAGGAAGATTGCTAGAGTTGACTGGGGCTAGGAGAGACCCTAAAAGTAGTAGAGTAGCTAAAGAGGAAAGTTGAGAAGTCATATTTGAGATAGTGCTAGGTAGTACTCCGTCGAATGATAAACAAAAGGAAATATCGGGAATTTATATCAGGGGGCTGGGGGAAGAGTGGGGGATAGACCGCCAAAAGATAACACAATTTATCCGGAGAATATTATTCTCGGAGTTAGCCCGATCTAACAATAATTCCCTACATCATTGCTTCTTTCTACATATTCTAATCTGAATTATCATGCAATCAAATTAATATGGACTAGATAAAATGCTAACCTGAGGCCAAAATATTTACCGTGATATTTACTCCGTAAACCATTTCGACATTCTTTCTTCCTTGCTCACCTATATTTCTTCGCAGTCCTCCTTGGTGCTTCACTATGAGGCAATTTTATATCTAGCGTAGCTAGAGCTAAATTTCACTTGAAATTATGAACCAAAACGACAAGCTGCTTGCATTAGAGCATTGCGCCGCATCTCAGTTACTACCTGGACATTTCCATATCATCCGTCCCGATTCGGGTGATACATAAAATACTATGTAGGGTCTTACTTGACAAGGACCGGGATTTTCAATAAGATAACGTGTGTAGTTATGTTCAGTCATTTCCCTATGGGAATTAGACAGGTTGACCTGAAGACACTTGACTTATCAGAAATTCTAGCTTTGTGTTTCCTCAACATTTATCACATCCCTGGAGCTGCTTTATCCTTCTGCATTATAGTTGGATAGCCGGGAGCCTGGATATTCCAAGGTTGTTTGGTTGGCCTTATATCATGGTGTCGACACCTGACGTCAGATAAAGGCCTGCTAAAACAGGTGTAAAAGCGCTGAACTTGACAATAATTCTATCTTGGGTTTGTAGAATAGAACACATGATATATATTATTCTCATTTTAGGGTAGATGTTAGGTAGAATGCAGCACCACCTGAGCACGTAGTAAAATGCACTGTGTTATTGCGATGAGACTGAATTTCTGGAAGTAAAGAAAGCCCCTTCAAAAAGTTAACTTTTCAATAAGCATCGCAAAGCCTAGCCAACTAGGCCTTTTACATGTCTAGACTTGTCTTTGTCTTAAGAACCCACAATTTTGGCCAAGTCTCACAATGCTGATCACTTTATGGGGTCTTTGTCTTGCGTAGCGTCTAACTTTATTTCTCGACCGTTTTCACTCAAGAAACCAGTATTTGTTCAAGTTTATAAAACAACCTGATAGATGCTATGGCCTGTTTCCGCGTTTGGGCGATTGCATTGATTCCGAGGAACACCGAGTCTCCTCCATGATTTACTCGACAACCTTGATGACTCCAAATCCGCATCTTCCCCGAGTCCGCGTCTTCTTGATCTAAGCCTGGGCAGTGGCGCTTCGGTGGAAGGCTGCGGAAAGGAAGAATCAAACGATCCACCAGGGGAAATCTAAGCCGCTGGAAGATGGTGGCGTCCTAAGAGATTTAGCCGGTAGCTTACATGTGAAGGAGAAGCCAAGCCTGAATTGCGGCTTTTTTTAAAAAAAAAAAAAAAAGAAAACGCATACTTTTTGAACAGAATTCAAGGTACAAAACAGTAAACCATGGATTGTTCCCAGAATAAAACAGGGGTTGATGATGATTGGTTACAATATGACCCATGCCCTGCCAAGACTGTTTAATGTAACACGATTGGTTGAAATGTTCCAAATTTTCAGCCTATCAGACTACATTTCTCCTGGACCACTACATGGACGTCCATGGACACGCAAATTCTACGCATTCTATCAATAATTGACTTCAGACCTTTCGGGGGAGTGATAAGATGCCCCGATCACTGAATTAATAAGGCGTTAGAGGCTATGATGGCACGTGTACAACTGCTATGCTTGACAATACAAAGAAAATGCAGTCATAGTTATAATCATTCTGGATCTAAGTTCCTAATGGTTCCGTTGCCTTTAGTCCCAGACTAGAACGATCTGACCCCTATTGGCCCCAAACTCATCCTTACTTAGATTTAAACGATACAATTCAACTTTCATCCCTAAATGGGCTTTCCGATGACCCCGACCTTAGTCCGGGATATGTCCAAGTTAAAAATGGATCCACGGTTTAATTGGTTCACCAATGAAAAATGTTCCGAATAATCTAGAAGTCTAGATTTACTGGCTCAAAATCGACATGACCCAATCAGACTAAATGTACGATTTGAACCATGGAATTTAACCATATCTTAACACCAATAGTATTGCTTATATCCAGCCAGTATCCACCGACCCAGGGACAGTATGTTAAATCCACAGCCCTGGAGCCTCGACCTTTGTAGACTCATCCGTGGTGTACGAGTCCTTTCAGGCGGGTTGACGTATGTGTGCCCCCCAGTGGTTCGCTAATATGGAGTCAGGTACCCGACACTCTATGGTTCAACCTTTGCTCTCGTCTCACGAGGCAAGCGTGGCGGAAAGAAGATTTTGTTCTAGAAGGTATATATAGCTGCCTTTGTCCCTCCTTTTTACGCTCTTGATTCAAACAACCACACTCCTTTTTGGTGCTACCATTCATTCATTTCAATCTACAATCTTTACAATCCAACCATATCACATTCGTTTATATCTTCATTGATATTCACTCTCCTTTTGTGACTTAAAACAAACACACATCAAAATGCAATTCACCAAGTCTCTCATGCTGTTGGCTGCTGCCCTCACTAGCAGCACATTCGCTAGACCAACCACCCTCGAGCGCCGCCAGGCCACGGCTACAGGCACCTCCGGCGGTGACTGGACCTCCACTCCTTCCAGTGGCTCATACTCGACTGCTGGCTTTGGCTCCTCCACCAGCTCATCAGGCTCAGGCGAAACATACGCCGGCAACGTGGGCAACCCCTACGGTAGCAACATCATCACTATTGATGCTGCCTCCGCCAGTAACTACAAGTACGTTGCGCAGTTCACAGGCCACAACACCGATGACTGGACCGTCGCCATCTTCAACAAGTACGGCCCCGATGGCAAGATGACAGGCTGGTTCGGCAACGCCTGTAATACTTTCACTCTTGCCCCTGGCGAGACCAAATACGTCGCCTTTGACGAAGATACCAATGGTGGCTTTGCCGCCGCTTCAGGCTCCAGCATCCCCACTGATTCTATGGGTGGCTACGCCTCCACCTGGGGCGAGTTCGACTTCGGTTCCACCACCAACAGCGGCTGGTCTGGATTCGATGTGTCTGTTATCTCTGCTCAGAATGCTGGCATGTCCATCTCTGGTATGAAGATCTGCGACGCCCTTGGCAGTGTTTGCTCTTCTGTCACCAAGGATGCCGCTACTGTCGATAATGCTTACACATCCGCCGAGACTGCTGTCGGTGGTATTGGTGCTAACTTGGGCTCTGGTGCTGTTCGTCTGGCTGTCACTATTGATTACAGCGGATAAATTAGTTTTGAGATATGATTTTTATATGATTTTGGAGATAAGACTCTTGGGTCATTCTGTTTCGGGAGGATGATCTATACCCAGCTGGTATGGTTTCTACTTCTATGTCAATATAGAAACTTATAGGCTGGTCCTTTTTATAAAATACAACACACTCTTTCAAATACTTCTTTCTATTATAAAAATCTTGGCCTTTCGGAGTTTTGGGTAGTTTTGGGGAATCTCAGATGGCCGCGTGGCGTTAACGTGAGCAATTGTATACGCAATCACTACTCGGGAACATACGTAACCACCACACGCCATCAAGAACCACCCATGTTTCAGAATCTAAGATAGAAAATAACAAAAAGAATTAGGCTCGTCATATTCTGAGACCCTTAATAGCGTTGGAGTATATCGACAAATTCATTACTGACTTCATATCCGCTGACCCAATCACATAAAATCAATTCCAAAATTACTTCCGTGGGCTGACAAGGCCGTAGAACTCAAGCGGCTTTATACTGAATGCGCCGTTCGATTCAAGCTTGTACTTGGGGTCCGCCAGCTCGAACGTGGTCTCCTTGATAATGCTGGCGAGAGTAAAGAACGACCACCGCCAAGCCCAGAGCTTGCCAATGCACTCACGCTTGCCGTTACCGAAGCCCTTCTTCGCGGCAGCAGGGAGCTGATCCCACTTCTCGCCAAGAACACGCTCGGGCTTGAAGGCCTCGGGGTCCTCAAAGACAGCCGGATCGCGGTTGACCTGACTCAAGACTGCGATCATGGGCTGGTTGTGAGCAATTTGGTACTCACCACCGCCTAGAAGAATAGGGCTCTTATCATCGGAGGGAATGGGCTCAATGTTGAAGCCGGGCGCGGTGGCAGAAAGACGAATTGACTCGCGCAGGATCGCCTCCACATAATTGAGGCTCTTGAGGTGCTCCAGGTCGATATTGCCGTCACCGACCACGCGGTCGATCTCCTCTTGCGCCTTGGTCAACTCGTTCGGATTCTTCATCAGGTAGTACAAGGCGTAGGAGATGAGATTAGGTGCTGTGGCTGCACCGATGAAGATTGAAATGATCTCATCGATAACCTGCGACTCGGTGAGCTTCTCGCCGCTTTCCGGGTCGGCACCGTTCAGCATCGCATCCAGTATGTCCTTCCGGGCGGTCTCTGGCTGCTCTTTTCGGGTCTTGATTACCTGCGCAGAAACCTCGCGCATGGTCTTCGTGTCCTTTTCGAATTTACGCTGGTACAGCCAGTTTAGGAGCTTGGGGCGGGTGGGTCGCTTCATCGCCTCCATGGTGGCGCCGTCCATCGCGCTGAGCATAGGTGGCTCAGCACCTTCAAGCACGTGCACACGCTGGTTGAAGAAACATTGCATGCATGATGCAAACAGGAGACGGTCCAGGTCGTTGGAGAGTAGAGTGCGTGTCTTGGTTCCCGCGCTCCACTTTTTGGTCAGGTCCGGGATAACCTCCGCCATATCACCAAAGAGGCTGTCGGTCGCAGATTGCGTAAGATGAGGCATCATGATTCGGTGGGCTATACCCCAGCTCTTCTCATGGTCATATGCTGTGAACAGACTGTCGTGCACGGCGTATCTGATTGCAACTACTGGTCCTGTAACACACTTGCGGAA